CGCATCTGGTACCAAGTATCAAGTTTTGAACTTGGTGTGCCTCGGCACATGTTTCCAATTGGCCGAAATTGTTCGTGAAGGTCCTGGAACCCCAACTAGCTCCAAGTGTTTGGAGGCCATCCAGAGGCGATGGATCACTTGGGCTGGCCATCCTAGCTCCATGAAGTGTGACCGCGGATTGCACAACCGCGGGATCCTGGCCCAGTATATGGGAGCCCATGGAGTGCAGGTCACCCATGCGCCTTTGGAGACTCCAGAAGCAACTGGACGAGTTGAACGACATGGAGGCGTTCTCAAGGCTATGGTCCGGAAGACAGCTGCCCAAGTTCAAGCACATGGTTGGCAACAGATGCAGCAGGTACTCGATGAGGCCTGTTTGGTGAAGAATAGCCTACTCAGGCAAGGAGGCTACTCACCGGCTCAGTGGGTGCTTGGACGAGCGCCACGCGAGTTACCATCTATCCTCAGTGAAGATGGGCATGCAGATCTAGGAGCCATTCAGGACTCCATAGATCCGGAGTCAGCCTTTGCACTTCAGCACCAATGCAGAGCCGAAGCGAAGAAAGCATTTGTGCAACTCGACACGTCGAAGCGAGTGCAGAAGGCCTTACTCCGCAGTGCAAAACCAATACCCGGCGAGTATCGGGTTGGAGATGTTGTGACCTTTAGGCGCACAAAGGCCGGGAAGACGACCTGGTCTCCTGCATCCCGAATCATTGGGTTCGAGGGACGCGAAAAGGAAGCAGTTTGGCTCCTTTGTGAGAACGTTCCTGTTCTAGCCTCAGCGCAGAACATAAGGCCCGCGTCGGATGCAGAAGCACTAGCCTTTGACATCCTCCATGGCAAGCAAGTTTTCCCAGATGAGATTCTAGGGGGACAGCAGAACTTCGACGATGTTCGCGAACCTGGAGCGGAGGATGCAGCCCCAATAGAAGAGGATGAGCAAGCGCTCATTCCGCAAGCGCCAGCTCAGGAGGATCAAGGCGGACCTCCTCTACCCTCTATCCTCGAAGAAGAGGATGAGCCTACGAGAGAAAGGTCCAGGTCACCACCTGAGCGGCGTATGCATGCAGCTACTTCGTCGGCCACCTCAACGTCAAGAAGGAGGCCTAGTGTTGCAGAACCAGAAGGAGAGCGAACCCCTGGTGGAAGTCGCAGACCGTCAACCTACGACATCCAGGACGACTTGCCAGCGCAGATCCGAGAGAGACTGCAGAATATACGCGACTCAGAGACAGCGCGTTATGTCAATGATACAGATGGTGCGTTGAACGCCACTAGGGCGAAGCCACGAGCGAAGTTTATGGCCTTCATGGCAACAAGACTGACGAAGGACGAGATGAAGGACCTGCCAGGAACGCTCAACTACTTCGATTGCACCCCGTCTATCCAAAAGAAGATCGACGAGTCGCGCAAGAAGGAATGGTTGAAGTATGAATCGTTCCAGGCGGCGATCCCTGTCTCAGGCAAGATCCGACACATAGCACTGCCTTCGAAGTGGGTCGATACCGTGAAAAACATTCACGAGCAGCACACCGAGAACTTCGTTCCGGAATTCAAATCCCGACTCGTTAGTTGCGGGAATTTTGAGGCCGATGATGGGATCCGTACGGACTCACCTACATCGGACCTAGAGACCCACGCGATGGTGTGCGCATTTGCAGCTTGCGAAGGAGTTCCTACCCAGAGCTCCGACATCAAGAATGCGTACTACCAGGCCTTGCCCATTGACCGGATTATCCTCATGCGACAGCCCCGAGGCGGTTGGTGTAGATCCAGAGGCTATGCTCCTGGTCAGAGTGCCTGTCTACGGTCTCCGAGACAGTGGACGTGGTTTTTGGAAGCGAGTGGACAAGGACGCCAAGGACGTTGGTTTGAAGGCGAGCCGCATTTTTCCTGCGTTCTACTACCACACCACGAATGGCAAGGTGGACCTGCTTCTCACCACGCATGTAGACGACTTCTTATGGGCGTCTACGGAGACTGGAGATGCCATCATGGATCGACTCTTAGAGCGATTCGAGGTCGGACGACGTGAGCGAGATCGACTCCGCTTTTGTGGAAAGCAGTTCGATCGTGCTGGAAGTGACGTACTGCTGGACGTGACGGACAACACACGTCGAATCACCTACATCGACATCGCCAAGAGCCGCAAGCCCTCCGATCCCATCACTCAAGGTGAAGAACGACAGTTGCGATCCGTGGTGGGGAGTTTGAGCTGGATAGCTCGACAGGGGAGACCGGACATACTTTACAAGGTGTCCTACCTCCAATCCAAGATCAAGGGCGCCAGCGTTGCTATCCTTAAGGAAGCAAACAAGGTCTTGGAACTTGCCCTCACCGGCAAGGATCTTAAGATCAGATACAAGCATGGAATCTGTGAATTCATGCAACTTGGCGTACTGACGGCTTCAGACGCCAGCTTTGCCGCTGAGCCCGGAATGCGATCACAGCAAGGACGCATTCACTTCCTTGCTCCAAGGAAGCAGTTGACTGATCCCAGCAACTGCGATTTTGACGTGATGCTCGTGAGCTACAGCAGCACCACGATCAAGAGAGTATGCAGAGCGACTCTCCAGGCTGAGACCTACGCTCTGCAAAACGCACAGGAATCCGGAGACAGGATTCGGGCCCTCTTAGCCGAGCTCTACGACTGCGGCAGCAGTGGTTCCGACTGGTATGAGAAGTCAAGAGCAGCCGTACCGCACCTGATGTTGACAGATTGCAGATCGCTATCTGACAATTTGAACAGTGAAGTTCCATCAAAGGTTCAAGACAAGAGATTGCAAATTGAGCTGAACGCATTGCGTCAGGCACTGTTCGATGATGACGGTTCAAAGTTGGTTGACCGTTACCCTGATGCGGCTGACAGGATCACGTGGACCTCAACGGCCACCATGATCGCTGATTGTCTCACCAAGTCAATGAAGCCTGACTTGCTCATTAGAGTACTCAAAGACTGCTTGTACCATATCGAAAGGCAGTAGAGGCTCTACCCGTTGGCTACGGACAGGAGTGGCTACGGAGACGTAGAACGTCGATGTTTAACACGACATTCCCTCTATCTCATATTCACACCTGAGAAGAGGATGAGTCTGAATCCAGGCTATGTATAGTATGGAACCATGCCAGGGTGTGAATGTTCCCTGCTACATATGGGTTCAAGGGGGCCCCCTTGTAGCATACTTCGCGTGCGCTATGCAGTAAAACAGGACTGACAGCGACCAGTCTTGGACTGAAATCCAAATTTAGGGTTTAGGGTTTAGGGTTTAGGGTGGCTACTGGCTCAAGGTTTGGCTACGAGACTCAAATGAGTATTTGTGTATAGTTTTCCCTAATTAGAGTTGGTCCCTCGTTGTGCCTGCGATGGGTCAACACAAACAGCTATGCGCGTGCTTGGGGTTTAGTGTTCGTTTGGCAAGAAAAGAAGGTCGACATGATGTGGCAACAGGTCTATGGCAAATTCTGTACTCTCTTGCACATCCACAGGAGGACATCCGAGTACCTATCAGCCTACATGCTTCTCTGGGCTTTGGGAACGCTCCGATGCCGCAGCTGAATGCAGTGTACCAGAGTCCAATGGCTCCTCAGGCAGAGTCGTGTGGTGGTTGCCAGGCAATACAGACTGACACGTCGGTTCAGACATCGGAGGAGATGCTGTCACAGGAAGAATGCAGAGCCCTCTTGGAAAAGATCACTGAGAATGTCGTGTCTAGTGCCCAGGAATCACTCCGTGCCCTACAGTATCGATTGGAAACGCTTGAGGCTGCTGGACGACGTGCTGAGACCGTGGAGAGTGGTGTGAGTTCTACGGAGGTGGGCCGCCGGTCAATAGTTGGAGGTTGCACAAACCTTCCCCCTACTTGTTCAACGGGCTCATCGTTGCCTATACCGTCTTCTTGTGCTCCAGATGATTTGTGTGTTCTTCGGGCCCAACATAAAGCACAACGACTTGCTCAGAAGACAGCTCGCCGCCAAGCGCGCTTGAATGCGAATGCAGAGTCATTAGATCCCTAGTGCGATTTCGGATGCTAATTTGCGTACCTTTCATGCCCTGAAGAACTCCTTCTGGCAGTCTTCTCAGACAATCGTGAACATGAGTTCCGCACCTACTCACGAGTGTGGTGCTTCCTGCAGGACTGATGCTGGCTAGATCGCCAGCCGTGCATTTGGCCGGTTGAGGAAGTAATTCGTCTTGTCCCTTTTTGAAGATGCTGCAACCTAGTTTGTGGGCGATTGATTTGATTGCCTCAGCTGATGTGCTGTATATTCATCGAGAGTTCTTGCAAGAATGGACTCGAGTCATGTGGATGGTTCACATGCTGTCCTCCTGTCCTGCTCAGTGGTGCCGGAGGCACAAGTCCCTTGGCTGCATCGCTTTTCGGGTCTGCCCTGAATGAGGGGTTGGCTTGGCGGGACTCCCAGCAAGCTTGTCTGAGCCTGGGTTCAAAAGGGTTTAGGGTTTAGGGTTTAGGGTTTAGGCCTTATAAGTAGGGGTCAATTTATAGGATTTATAGGGCTTATGGGGCTCAACAGTTTTAGGGTTGAGTGGGGGCTTTCCTTTCTTCACAAATTCCTTACCAAGTTGGGGGCTGGAATCCCTAGCTTGATCTCATCGGGGCTGGATAGTTAACCTTTAACTTCTTTGGTCATATATAACCTTACTACAAACAAAAGGTTAGCCTTGCTTGGGCTAGGGTGTTCAGCCAGTAAGATCAAGGGCTTGCCGAGCTTGAGCATGCCTTTGTTTTCCCACGGGGCCCGTGAAATTGACAGAATGCGACGAGCATCCTCACGTAACATCTTGCACAGGATCCTTAGTGCATAGAGAGAGAGAGAGAGAGAGAGAGAGAGAGAGAGAGAGAGACACACACACAGACTCGGTAACGCATACCCCTTGGGACGGCTCCCCTCGGGGGGTCTTATGCGCTGGAAGGAAGGAAGGAAGAGAGACACAGAACAACAAACCACGATCAAGTAAGACTTGCTCTCGCTCGGAGGTTCTTGCCCATCGCTTCGAGGTGGATGTTCGAAGCTTGCATTGATTGTGTTGGAATGGACTAAAACCCTAAACCAGCCCTAAACCCTAAACCCAAAAGTGGCTTCATGAGACATGGAGTCTGGAGACTCCAAGCCTTTTGCTGCCGCGTTCGGCAAACCTTTCGGCCCTTCCTGGTCGTCTGGTGACTGGTCACGAGCTTCGAAACGTTTGAGCTCATACAGTCCCGTCGTCTCAGGTTGTACAAAACGCCCGTGACATCCTCCTGAACAAAGCAAACCGCCTTAGCCATGAGCTGAGGCCTCTTCAACGAGGTCATTGGTGCCTGCGGTCGCCAGGGTCTCTGGGAGGCGTGTCTCTTTGCAAATGCAGAGGGCGGGTGTGATCTAAAGGCTCCCATGTGGTACCTTTTTGGGGCAGAGTAGTAGAATCCCCTATAGCTAACCCTAAAAGGAACGACATGGGAGCCTTCAGGTAGAGTCCACATTGAGCATGTTCGTGACGTTCGCAGTCTTGGCTGTGGGTATTCCCGTCTGCGCGCGCCGCGCTGGCCTTCATGAAGGCTTGCGTAAGACATCATGGTGCAGAACCCAAGAAGTGTGGAGTTTTCTGAGAAGGTAGCAAGAAAGAACCTTCTAGGTGGGCGGCCGCCAAAAAGTCAAGCTGAACTTGGGCAGGTGGCCTTGGCGGTACTGGCGGCGCTGCCGGAGCTGGGCGTCGCAGGTGGGCGCGCCAACGCGCTGGTTTTTGGACACGCTGCTGAAGTTTGCGCATCTCCTGCCCTGTGCATGAGCGTTACGACGCGTGGAAGGAACCGTGGTCTCCTTTACTGCGGCCATCGATGCCTGCGCCATTGCGGGCCAGTGGCAGCAGGTGGGGCCCTGTTCAAGTCAAACCCAGTACCTGCAGTTTAGAACATCATGAAGGCTCCAAGTGCTGTAAGCTTTTGTCGATTTGCTTAAAGACTCCCCCCACCCCTTAAAAAAAAGAAAAAGCGAATAATATCCCCCCCAAACCAAGAAAGCAGTAGAATCGCAATGACAAGGGCCGTACCGTTCTGATACGCAAATCCCTGGAAACCCTCTCAACCCCGGCCCTAAACCCTAAACCCTAAACCCTAATAGATCTTTGAGCACAGGCCGAGGCGCTGCTCGAGACTATGGGGGAGGTAGCCGTGGAGGCGCCCCGAGGATCATGACCAAGGGCTAGAAACCCATGGGTTTAGGGTTTAGGGTTTCGGGTATGGGTTCTTGAGTTTATAAGACGGTTTTGCAGGGTTTGTCTTGGTTCAAGAACAGGGTCTGGGGCTCTTGCGTACTAGGGGTCCCTAAAGCCATCTAAGCCTAAACCCTAAACCGCCATTCGTGTAGGCAGAGAGCCACCGTGGTCCTAGTTTAACGTTCGGATCTGTACAAAAGGCCCAAAACTTCCCCGAAACCGAAGCCCTAAGCCACTGAGCCAGACCAAGCCCAGGCAAACAGCATCACTTTCAATGCCCTTATCGGTGTGCATGGACGCTCGGCAGTGTTTAGGAAGAGTTTAGGGTTTGGGGTTTGGGGATTAGGATCGCAGAGTCCAAGGAATGGCGCTCCCCACTGAGCCCAATACCCGTTGCGTCTCGTTTAGTGCCCAGGGCTTGTGCTGTATTTCATGGAGCCCTGTTTGGTGGTGAGGTTTTGTTTGGGGATTTGACCTTGTCTTTGTTAGCTTTCGTTACTAGCCGCAGAAATCATGCCGGAGGGTGTACGAGAACGAAAGCACGAAGGGAGGAAGGGAGGGAGGGAAGGAAGTAATGAGGCAAGGAAGGAATAAAACGAAAAGCAAGCAACGCTCTTTTTTGAGCAGCACGTGCTGATTACAAATCTGGATAAGGGGACTGTTCGGCGACTGCTTCACTTTGGGGGGCTTCTGTCTGGATAAGGGGACTGTTCGGCAACTGCGTCACTTTGGGGGGCATTTGTCTGGATCCTCACCCTAAAACCCTAAACTCTAAAGCACAGACCCCGCAGTGATGTGGCTAGTCAGGCGGCAAAAAAGACCCTAAACCCTAAACCCTAAATCCCAGATCACGGCTTCTAGCTCCTCATCCGACCATGGTACAATTTAGAGAGCGGACGTCGTCCCCAAGGAGCAGAGGATGAACCCCCCCCCCCCCCCCCCCGTGAAGCACAAGCATGGACGGGCCCTCAAATACCCGTTAGGGTTTAGGGTTTAGGGATTGGGGTTTGGGGTTTAGGGTTTGGGGTTTGGGGTCCTTATAAAAAAGGGTTGGAACCCAGAATTCCGAGACCCCGCAAAAAAACGGGCCCACAGTAGACATCTTAGAAGATTGATCCTGCACCCTGTAATTTTCCAGCTATGCGGCAGCCACAAAGAACCCTAAACCCTAAGCCCGTGCCAAACCCTCAACCCTCGAAGCAGCTCGAGGTCAAGGCAGTGTGTGGAGCCAAGGGCTCGAGGTACTTCACATGATGCAGGCAGGAGATGGGTTGAACCTTGGAGCCCAAATACCATAATATACTCATCTATTCCAGTATAGCAATATCAGAATATACGAATATCAGAATTTAGCAATATGCCAGAATAGAAGAATATAGTAACATAAGATGGTCGCAATAGGATGATCCTATGATTGGCAGTCTCCACTCTGGGCGCCTGTGAGGCGAAGCCTCTCAGAAGCTTCACGCAGACATGTTTGCAGCCCTTCTGCCCTTCTTGGCCATGGTTTAGGGTTTAGGGTTTAGGGTTTAGGGTTTAGGGTTTAGGGTTTATTTAGGGTTTAGGGTTTAGGGCATCCAGGCGAGGACGTTCTGCAAGCCTGCTGCAAAAGGGTTTAGGGTTTAGGGTGTAGGGTGTAGGGTTTAGGGGCGCACGCAATGCGCTTGGCCTCAACCTTTTCACGGCACCGCACCCATGCTCATTATAATCGTGGCCAAAGTCGGCCGGGCCACCCATGCAGACGCTTGAAGATGGCAAAGGAACCCCTCGCCCCCAACCCTGCGCCCTATAGACTCCAACTCCTGGCCGTCCCCTGAGCAGCTTAAAGGTCGAAATCTGCAGGGGCCCAGTTCAAACCCTAAACCTTAAACCCTGTGGTTGAGAGGTGGCGGCAGTGCGGCGTGATCAGATCACCTTCGGGGCTTCCGCGACACGGCTCTCCGAGTCCAAAGTTGATTTAGGGGAGTTTAGGGTTTAGGGTTTACAGGGTTGAGCGCTTCATCTCCCAACCCCCCCCCCCAGGGTTTGGGGCCTTCAGGGTTTTGGGTCCGGCGTCTCTCTCCCATGGAGAAGCTGCAAATCAACTCCCAGAAAAGATTGACAAGCGACCCCGACTGACAGAAGCACCCGATCCAGGGCTCAAGCACTTCAGGGAGCTGGTATCTGCAAATGCTGCCCAGTGAGACCGTCGCCATGTGGTCGTTGCTCCTCCAGCTGGTCCCCAGCAGTGCCCTCAGCGCTTTCAGCAGCAAGGCGGAGTTGCGAGGAGCGCTGGAAGCATGGCCAGGCACGCGACAGTTGGGGCTGTGGTCTTCAGGGTTTATTTTGGGGCTTGCGGTGTCGGTTTAGGGTTTTGGGTTTAGGGTTGAGGGTTGAGGGTTGAAGGGTTGCCCTGTGGGTGTAGAGTTTGGGCTTGGGCTGCTTCAGATGCCAGCATCGCGGCGCAGCACGGCGAGATCGAAGATTGGGACGTCACGAACGTGACCGACTTCTCCCAGTTGTTTTCAGGGCTCATCACCTTCAAACGAGAACATCAGCGGCTGGAACAACGCTCAAGTCACCGACATGAGCTCCGCGTTCCTTGTTGCCAGTGCGTTCGACCAGCCAATCGGTTCGTGGGACACGTCGAACGTCATCGACATGAGCCGGATGTTTTTTGGGGCCGATGCCTTCAACCAGCCCGTCGGAGCGTGGGACACATCCAGCGTCACCGACATGAGCAGGAATTTTTGCAAGAGGCTACTGTGTTCAACCAGCCAATCGGGTCGTGGAATACATCGAACGTCATTGACATGACTGGCATGTTTTCATCAGCCTTGGCATGTTCAACAACGCGGCTGCGTTTAACCAGCCCATCGGGTGGTGGGACACCTCGGGCGTCACCGACATGCGCCGGATGTTTGATGCAGCAATGGCGTCCAACCAGCCCATCGGAGCGTGGGATACGGCGAGCGTCAACGACATGTTTGGCATGTTCGTGGACGCTTCGGCCTTCAACCAGCCTATATAGGGTCCTGGGATACAGCGAGCGTCACAGACATGCGCTCTATGTTCTGGGGCGCAGTGGCCTTCAACCAATACCTAGGCTGCTGGAACGTGACGAACATGACCTCGATGGCAGACATGTTCCTGGGTGCCACCAGCTATCAAGTGCCACCCTGCCCCGTGGGGACCGCTGAGTACAGCGCTTACAGGCCAACTATGCCTCCCTGAGCCAGAGCCGGACACAGCTTGGTGCAAGGACCTGGACGCGCTCGACTATGTGCTCTTGGGGAAGAAGCGCAAGGCGGCCGAAAAGTGCTTGAGGAATTCCTTCATCCAAGACAGCGAGCTCCCGGAGGCCGTGACCACTGCGACCACTTCACAGTTTTCATGGCCTGGCACGGCCCTGGCGATTATCGCCGTTGCTGCTACAGTTACTACGGTTGCTGTGCTAGCGCGTCGGGGCCGTAGTTGGCTGTCTGTGCAGTACGAAGGGCTGCCAAATGCAGCAGTTTGAAAGCATAAAGGCTTTGGCAAGTGTCGGCATGTGCCGCAGTGTGAAGTTTGTTGAGACCCTTGGTTTTCTTGGTTTTCTGTGGCCAGGGAGAAAAAATCACCGGCCATTTCGGCAGGCTCGGCACACAAGCCGTCAGCCTCAGGACCGCTTATACTTATACCTCTGCTATACAAAGCACACAAAAGGAGCAGACGGCGTACCAGTGACAGTGTCAGGCAGTGTTGCAGTTATGCCAGTATGAATGCTGTCCGCCACAAGCGCTGGGCTTGGAAGAGGCAGCACGTGCCGGGCTGCAATTTGGGCAAGACCCGGAAGCAAAACCCAAAAAACCCAACAAAAGCCTGAAAGGGGGCACGTTTACATCGTTGTTCGTGTGTTAGGGTGGGCCCAGGCGAGCGCTGCGGCCCGTGCTGGGGCGTGGCCACAGGCACGCGCTCTGCTCGGCATCACCTGTACTTGGGGACCAAGTGAACCTTCAGAAGGGCACCTTAAGCCCCAAACCCTGAACCCGAAACCCTAAACACTCTACTAGATATGACGCCAATCTAGGGCACTCTGGTGCGTAGGGTATACCATGCAACCCGGCCTCAGAACTCACGGGATGTGCACAATATTGCATCCCCAGCCTTGTGGACTCCGCATCACAGGAAGCTAAACCTTAGTGCAGTCATTTGCTGGGCGACCACAGGGGTTCCGAGTTCTCATAGAACCTGGTTCGAAGATGTTCGAAGCGAGGCGATCGGGCTGATGGCCGCACTTCCTTCCCAGCACCTGCAAAGCGATGCCGCGAGCTTAGACGTGCTCCCAACCTGGGTGAGAGTATGCGCCAGTCTCATGAAGAAGAGCTCCCGAGGTCGTCACTCACAGCACTGCTTTGTGCGCCTGTGGTGAGGCCGAGCGATGGCGACAGGCCCCAGGATTTGCCCGAAGTTCCCGGTATTGTTTTGCTGAGATGAGCCCCCCCCGGCCCTCAGATGCGGGTAGGAAATGTTAGTGCTTGTCGCAAGCCCGTGCAAGGGCTTTGGCGTTGCGCCTGAGCACAGACCCGAGGTCCACACTTTCCAGAGTTGGGTTCGGCATGGTAAAAGTGCATCGTTGCAGCTGTCCCGCACTGCAGGACCAGATCATGGAGCGCAGTAGGGCGTAGGGCCACCCGGCACTGCACTTCCTTAGAAATGGCAGCGGTTCCTCATGCCTTCGGGTTAGGCTAGTCTTCAAAGTTGATGGGCCGCTTTAAGGCAGCTCCCGAGCAGCCCTCCTGACTGGGACCAGAAGCTTTCACAACTATCAGCATGGGCTATACATGGCTATACCCAAGAATTTCTTATAAGGTTGATTATGAGGATTTTAAGGCCAAGTCTACCTTCACCTCCATGTGCTGAAAGGCTCTGGAGCTTTTCACCTCCCTGGAAACTTTGGCCGTGCAGGTCGCCGGGGGCCTGGCATGCAGGGTTAGTTGGGCGATTGTTGAGACATTCCGCATGAACTTCGGAAGTTATTGTTGACATATTTCGCTTCACCGCCGGATTGCGAAAGTTGCGTTTCGTGCACAAGTCCTCGGGAAGCCAAGGGGAGTTCCTCTCGCAGACATTTCGGCCCCCAGTCGCGCCTTGCCCTCGTCTTCCACAGCGACTGACCACCTGACCATGCGCGATTTCCTGAACGTGTCCACGGCTCTCACAGTGGCGGCGCCATCCTTAGAAAAGACCCTCGAAAACCAAGAGGACCAATGCTGCAGTCTTGTGCCTCCATGCTCTACCATGCCTCTTGGGGGTATATGGGCCGTCTATGGGCCGTGTTATACCATGCCTCTGAGGAGTATATGGGCCGTATATGAGCCCAACAACCCCCAGCATCTTCAGGTGCTGGGCGTCGCCACCCTGCTGTTGTCTGAACAGCCCGCTGCCTTCACGGCTGGCGTCCATGGTGTCCAGGCGCAGGCCATGGGCCGAATTGGGCCAGAACCACCCTGAGCCCCCCCCCCCCTCCTACTATCAACCACCCTCCCCCCACCATGTTCAGCCTAGCATGGGGCGTACGGTTGCCAGTAAGGTGTATATAGGAGGCCCATCTCAGGAATGACGCGCCCCAGGAGCCCCAGTTCCCCCCTCACCCGCCATCTTGCGGCCACATACGCCGTGAGTGCTGTGCTAGTGATACCTGTCCGAAAGCCTTGCCTGCCATGTGCGAGCGTGAGCCACGAAATCTTAAACCTAAACACTAACCTCTCAACACTAAACCCTGTACACAACTTTCCCTCTTCAGTTGCCCCGTAGAGGATGGCTGGACGGGCGGCAAAACAAAACCCGAAACCCTAAACCCCAAACCCTAAACCCTAAGTAAACCCTAAACCTCAAACCCTAAATCCAAAACCCTAAACCCCAAACCCCAAACCTAAACCCTAAACCCTAACCGACGCCTGCACGCGTTGGCGAACCTGCAGTTCGGGGTTTGAGGCTCCTGCGCGCGGCCGCACTTCCACCGTGAAGGGCCCCACCTTTGCCTCCGCTCACGAGGCCTTGGGCGGTGTAAAAGGGTTGGGGTTTTAAACATGGGTTTAGGGTTTAGGGTTTAGGGGTTTAGGGGTTGGGGTTTTCGGCTTCGGGTTTAGGGCTTAAGATTGGGTGCAGGGTTTGAGGTTCAGGGTTCAGGGTTTAGGGGGGTGTGGCGATGGTACGAAGAAGGAGTTTCAGGTTTGCTTAGAGATGTGGTTTTCCTGGGAGCTACAGCTACGGAACTCGAAGGACGTCCAGCATACCATCTTATTATGGCGGCATAGCGCTTTCAGCATCGGTCCTGCCCACTAGAAAAAGCAAGCACTAAACCCTCCACCCTCTGGTTCCGGCCCGCTTGAGATCCCGAAACCCTAAACCCCAAACCCTAAACCCTAAACCCTAAACCCTAAACCCTAAACCAATGTAAGTGGATTGGATGAAAAGGCTCGGAGCAATGATCCCAAACCTGGGTTTAAGGCTCACAGTGCAAGATGTTGGAAGGACTTTCGGCCACGTAGGTTATGATTCATGACTCTGGCCCCTGTTGGGATAAGAATACTAAGGCCCTAAAACCCGAAAGAGCTGTGCAGGAGGAAATGTAACAACCTTAACGCCCTGACTCCCCGAACCCTGAAACCTTGAACCCTGAAACCTGAAACCCTGAACGCCAAAGCCTAAACCCCTGAAACCCTGAATCGCTTGAAACCCGTTTCCCTGAACCGCTTAGGGTCTATAGAGGTTGAACCCTCAATCCCAAACCCTAAGCCCTACATTACTAAACTTTAAACTTTAAACTTTAAACTTTAAACCCCTAAACCCTAAACCCCAAAACCCAAAACCCTAAACCCTAAACCCTAAACCCCGAACACGCGGAGGCTCTGGGCACCCAGGGCATCCTTTGCTTTGGCATGGGCTTTGGCGCGCTGGCGCTTTGGGCAGAAATCCTTAGGGTTTAGGGTTTAGGGTTTAGGGCTAGGACCAATCAACTTGAGAGGTGCCCTCTGCGGTAGAGTTTCACTGAAGCCAACACTTCAGAGTGTTTGTGCCTCCGGCATGGAGCTTAGTTCCGGTTTCAGGGTTAGGGTTTAGGGCTGCGTTACATGGGGTTTGCGGGGTCCAGGGTTTGGGATTCCTCTCCTTTCGGGTACCCTAAGTTATTTCATGGGAAGCCAAACCCCGCCCCCCCCCCCCCCCCCCCCCCCCCCCCCCCCCCCCCCAATCTCCTGGAAGCCCCCCCATGATGTGGGGCAGGTATGTACACAACGCCCATTCGGGCTACGGGTGTCCTTTAAGTTTCGTGTTTTCGGGCCCCAAATATCGAACATAGGGTGACATGAAAGTCCGAATAACGAATAGGATGCTCTTATAATTAATCACCTCTCAAACCCGATTGTACTTACTAAGGTCCCAAATATCTGCGTTTTTCGTACTGCCTTGGGGGTTCACTGGGTTGTCTCCAGCCAAGGCACCTGTATACATAGATATGCACGTATGTGTGTAATGTGGGACTGAGGGGCTAACATGTAAGAACTTCGACCTTCGCCCCAAGACCGAGAAAAGGTGGCAGTGGGCCGCGGCCTGGCGGCCCGCCGCGCAGAGGGCTCCGACATTGCGGCGCTCCGCCCGGCGAAGTTTTCTTTTCCACTGGCCTGTAAAGTTTAGGGCCTAGAGGGTTTTTATAGGGTTTTTTAGGGGTTAATAGGGGTTTCTAGAGTCAGGGTTTAGAGGGTTTATAGGATTTAGGAAAGGGTTTTGAGAAGTGTTCCTTCCCACTTTCCTGCGAACCTTTGTCGTATTCTACTCTCGGGCCATGCAGGCCCGAGAGTCCTAAAAGCCTTCAGGTCTGAAGGTCGTGGCGATGCCGTAGAATTAGGCCTTCAAGGGTCGTTTCCACGCATCTCTCTGTGCTTAGGGTACTTGCGTAGGTCACCTGTGCTCAGCACAGACTACAGTAGCACTTGAGTGTGTGAATGCCCGAAGGTCTCTTTCACATGGGAACTGAGCGCTGAGAATTATTGGGGATGTTGTCGTGTGTTTGAGCACCGGCACGCTTCATCCGATTGCCATGTGATGAATCATGTCATGAACCATACTCCCTCCCTCCCGTGCCTGTCTTATCACTCTGTCTCAGTACCTTGGTGTGTTTCAGTTCTTCTGTTGCTGTTCATCGGAGTGCTGGGTAGCGGGTAGCCATCAAGGTTAAGGAGAAGTCCGACATTGCGTCGATCGGCTACCTGAAGGACTTTGGCAGCGGGTTCAAGCACAAGCTTGAACCACCCAAAACCACCCCAAACCTGTCGGGCTCAAGCCCGAAACCCTAAACCCCAAACCCCATACCCCAAACCCCAAACCCCAAACCCCAAAACCCTAACCCTAAACCCTAAACCCCAACCCTGAAGCTCGGAGGACATCCCCAGGACCATCGTGGAGATGGACACCCTCGAGCTGATTCTGAAGAACACGCCAAGGGACCAGTGGGAGACTTGGTAGCCCAGTGGTACCCTTTTCCCTTTTTTTTGGTTTAGGGTTTAGGGTTTAGGGTTTAGGGTTTAGGGTTTAGAAATGGCTACGGCTCAAGGGTTTATTGCTCGAGACTCCCCGGTTATGTCATAGTGACTCCGAAAATACATGGATGGTCAGAAGCCGAGACATGAACTGGTGCATGTGCCAGACGACGACGAGCCATCTGGTACCGACAGCCCCAGCAAGAGATTCAAGCATGTGGATCCTGATCGTGAACTAGACAGAATGCTGCAGGAGCAGTCCATGTTCCCCGATCATGTCAATGAGACGAACTCCCTCCTTCGGTCCTTGAAAGATAGTGTTGGGCAAGTTGGTCAACTGGCCTACGTCGTTACATCTCTTGCCAAGCGAGTGGAGCAATCTGAAGCTGACAATGACAAGAACAACTCACGACTCGACAGAATGGAGCATGAAATAAGTCGACTCGCAGGCCTCCTTGAACAACAGCCCCGCGCAGGCGTTCCACCGCGTGACCAGAAAACGCACCCTGAACGAGAACGAAAACCTCACACAACAGCCTCTTCCTCGATGACAGATCCATGGGCGCGATACCGGCCGCCGGCATCTCCGTCACAGCCAGTCCGACCACAAGATCAAGCAGCCGCCTCGCCGACTAAGAGCACTGGTGGCAATGATGACACCAATTATTGTCACCTGGTTTTTGGAGGCTGGGAGAGGGATTGCCGACGAGCAGTGATGGATGGTGACATGAGACCCCTCATCGCTGACATGGGGCTTGACAACGCCAAGCTCCAAATATACGGCCAACGATCCTCCACCGCGCACTACCTCTTGCCAGAGATTGGGTTTCAGGAGTCCAAGGTTCGGTTCTATGAGCTGCAAAGCAGATGGAGCAAGGAGAGAACGACGAGCAAGGGTGTGCACATCTGGATTGCGCCAGCGAGAACACAAGCGCGCCGACACAGAAACCGCATGACAAGAGATGGCCTCACACGCATAGAAGCGGCAGTCGGGCCCGACCTAGTACACGAGATCGAGACTGATTGGGGCAGACAGCTTGTCTGGGTCAAGGACAGACGTGTCTTGGCAACCTCGCAACACGATCTTTTCGCAGAGGAAGATGATCGCACCTGCCTCGTCGCTTACAGGGAGAACAAGGGGGAAACGCTTGAGTATCACATCAACCTCACAGTGCTCTCGGGCATCACAGGCCTAACGATCGCACAGCTAGAGCCGCGTGTGTACAGCATCTGAAGTCGCGAGCCATCAGCGCCACTGTATTCCGCAATTCTTGATAGGGGAACTTGGAATGTACAGGGCAACAATCTCTCTTCGTTGGGTGAGTGGGTGCACAACACAGAGATTGATTGTCAATTTTGGTTCTTTCAGGAAGTCAGCGGAATGGGAGGCGAGAACTGGCAACCTGCGCCAGGGAGTCTTAGCATGTTGCAGGAAGACTTTGAAGGTCCCTGGATTGGGTACCATGTTTTCGCTGGGGCGCCCCCGGATTCGCACCTAGGACAGGTGATTGCGGTTGATGATGAAGTCTTTTCGCATGTCGTTGACTCTGTCATCGCCCCAAGATGTATCCTACTTCGAGCCCGGCTTGCCCGCAGCCCAATCGACTTGTGCATGATATCCTGTCACTTACCCCATAAAGATAACTCAGCTGAGTGCTTCAGTGACGCAGTTGCCGAGCTTGACGGCCTGATCAGGGCACACAAGCATCTCCCCACAGTTTTGGGTGGTGACTTCAACGCGCAACTGGGTGATGACAGGTTTCTTGAATTAAGCACCACACTTGCCTCGCTTGGCTTTGTCTGCAGACAGTCTGGGTTACCCACACGACATGGCAGATATAGTCATCGTGAATACGACTATTTCTTTGAGAATCTTGGCAAGCTCTCCCTTACATGTCACCACCAAGATATTCAGGTTACAACGTACAAGGAGCCAGCCAGCGAACTCCGTAGTGATCATGATCTGGTCCGAATGTCAACCGCTGTTCCCGGCCCTGCTCAAACGCAGCAGGCCAGGAGCCGAAAGCACAATCGTGTGGGCCATGTGTCCAAATGGAAAGTTGACTCAGCGGGCCTGTCAGAGCAAGTTTGTGCTCTACAATCTTTCCCTGATGGTGCTCAGGACCAGTGGCAGTGGCTCAAACATTCCTCCCAGAAGGTCTCTGTTCGTCCTGGTAGTTGCAAGTATAGAGACCCGCCTTACCTCAAAGAGCTTTGCCAACAGAGGCGCCTGTCAACATCAGCTGAGGAGCGGTCATCCATGATGAGACGCATCATGTCCAGCAGAAGACATGAGAAGGTTAAGTGGTGGCAACAGCTGCAACAACAAGTCAGGGAGGGATCACCTTCCGCGATAGCTTACGTGCGCAGGCGCGCCGCCCCAAAGGCTTCCTTTCAGAAGTTGGTGCATGAACAAGGTGGTCCCGACAACGCAGCAGCCGCTCTGCAGGCAAGAATGCAGACGCAGTTTTCTGCTGATGACGAGACAGCCCTGAAGGAGTACTTGCATAATGTGTATGTTGACCTTGCCCGGCGCGCCCTGACCTCCGACACTCCCATCTTCACTCCCTCTGAACTGCAAGACGCTGCAAGCAAGCTCAAAGATAACAAGACTGCAGGATTGTCGGGCATGTCAGCTGAGTATGTCAAGTGCCTCCTGAGCATCGAGGGTGGAAGTGACTTGTTGCTTCGCCATCTCAATACCTTGCTACAAGGAGACACCCTACCTGATGACTACTGTCAAGCCTATGTGGCCCTTGTCCCCAAAGTCTCCCAAATCGCTGACGCGAAGCAGTTCGGCCTATATGTATGCTCGAAACCCTCAATAAACTTCTCTGCACCATGCTGCTGCGAAGAGTAGCGCCTTGCTTTCCCCGGCAGCCAGAGCAGATGGGCGGACTGCGCAACTGCCAGGCTTTGGATGCTCTCATGACAGCCACGTCGCGACTTGAGTATGAGAGCAAGACATCTCAGTATTCCGTATGGGCCTCTTTAGACATTGAAGCTGCCTTCGACTCGATACAGCACCAAGAGCTTGCTGACTATTTGGTCCAACAGGCAGGAGAGAAACACCCTCAAGAAGTAGCGCATCTCCTGCGCATCATCACGTCCCCCACCATGCATGCCAGCTTTAGAGGCAGAACGTGGACTCAAACACAGAAACGTGGAGTTCAACAGGGGGGTAGTCATTCCAGCTTTGTTTTCTCGTGCATGCTGGCCTGGATCATCGCACAAAGGATGCAGACCTGGACAGAATGGGGTCATGCCACTTTGCATCAAGGGTTTGGCATCGTATATATAGATGACATCCTGTTGAATTTCATTTCCTGGGAGCAAGCCGACCAGCTCTTGGCAGATCTAAGCACGCATATGGCAAAGTATGGTCTCAAGGTGAACTGGAAAAAGTCAACTATCATGTCCACTGCTTCAGTTCTGGAACAAGGCCGGGTGACTGTCTCGGAGCATTCGGTGCTCAGATCTTGTCTCTGGTCCAGCACGCTGCGATATTTACGACGAGAGCTTCAACACCCGAACCCTGAGTATGACCTCACCTCCCAGCTCCTCAATCAAGTTTCTGGTGTACTACACTTGGCAGTCGAACAGCTAGCTGAAGTAGCGAAACTGCAGCACTGGACCAGGCCCCTGCAGGCCACACAGTTCGCCAGCAGGTACATTGCAGCGCGCTTTCAGTGGCTATCGCCCATGTTCGAAACTCTGCAGGTGCACATCAGCCGAGTCAATGCCATGCAAACGACCTGCCTTGTGTTCCTCCTCAAGTTGTACCTTCCCCAAGAATTGTCAAAAACACTAGCTCTGGAACTCAATAGGTTTCGACGAAGAGTTGCTAAGATTGTGGGTGTGCGCTATTCCGTGTCCTGGGTCACTACTTGGGTCACTCGACGGTGGAACTACTTAGGACATGTGCTTCGCTTTGAAGATGAGCATATCACGCGGCTGGCGCTCGAGCATGTTCACCATTCTAAAGGCAGAGGTGGGCCGAAGCAGACGTTGCTCACATGGGCCTCGAAGGAGGCCGCAGCGGCGTGCCACATGGGTGGTACCGTCACGCTATCAGAGCTCGAGGGTCTTGCTTCAGACAAGGCAGTCTGGCAATCAGGCATCACATCAGTCCAGCGGAGACACGAGCCACAGACAAGCTTGTACAACCCCTCGCTGTGGGCGAAACCACTGCGCGTCTTCACGCTGCCCGTGATGTGGATGCAAGCCCTACTTCTCACTAGTTCGCACGATGGCAGTTTTGCTGTACACTGGGTTTCGACGGAGTATGGGCTGATGCACTACCCATTGCCAGATTTCTCGTACATTCAAGTTGTGCAGTTCTTTCGACACTTGCAGATGAGCTGCAGTGCCATTGCCTTTCCTACATTTGTCACCATTTCCTTGCAAGAGCTCCTAGTGCTAGAGGCTGACTCAACTGCTTCCCGCATTTTCTCTGAGTTGGGGGTGTGCTGGTTGTTTGAAGTCCTCAGTGAGCCTCAGTACGCAGAGCTGCTTCATAGGTTGGCGGAATAACTGCTTGCCTGAAGTTCTTGCATGTTGCTTGCTTCTTTGCATCTCAGGCCGGAGCCTCAGCAGTCCTGGGTTAAAAGGGGTTTAGGGTTTAGGGTTTAGTTAGGAGTTCCCTTATAAAGTAACCAAAAGGGTGCCCTTATGATCCGATGGCTTCTGGGCTAAGGAGAACCCTCCGGAGGACAGCGACCTCTACATGGCCGCTTGCCTCGAAATTCCTACTCTTTGCTTAAGAGCCCTCCTCCTCCCCCCCCCCCCCAAAAAAAGAGAGCACATTTTTTTTATGTGTGTGTATATATGTTGTATATATATATATATATATATGTAAGTATCTTCCTTATAAGGGCAATAAAGTGAGAAGTATCTGTCATTTTTTGGACTCTTAAGCAAATAGGCGCTGATGGCCCCTTTTGAGGTCCTTATCCTAAGGCGGCCCTATTTGGGGTACCCCAAAAGGTGACCGTAACTTAGAGAACTGATCCCAGGGTGCGAGCCAAAACTTGTTTGGGGGACGAGATCCATCCCATTGGGGGGGGGTCATCTACCATATGGGTCGTTCTCTAAATTAGGGTCCCCTTTTAGGTCCTGACTTTGAGGTACTGCACAATGTTGGGTACCCAATTTCGAGAACTCACTTTTTTCTACCAGAATTCCCTAGGGCCTGGGGAGTGCCTGGGTAGGAATTTGGGATATTTGGCATTTTCCCTCATTGGGTTTAAGAGGGCCACGTTTAGGGCAAAACACATTCCGAGGCTATCAGGGCGCCAACCCCAGTTTCCTTTAGGGGTTTAGGATTCAGGGCTCACCGCGACGAGAAGACCTCCTCTTGCTTGGCGCGCGCCAAGGTGAAGGCCTATGCAGAGATGTACGGTCCTGGCAAGGCCACCAAGATGGGATGGTGGGTCTCCTGGCCGTCACTTTAGTAGGCAACACAAGGGCTGCCCTACATTCGGTCATTGGGGTCTGTGTAAGCGCAAAGTTCCGTATAAGCAGGCCCCCCAATTCAAGGAGTAAATTTGCAACAGCCCCCCCCCCCCCCAATCAAGACTCGCACTTGCTGCGTTCGCCCCCCTAAACCCTAAGCCCTAAGCCCTAAACCCTAAACCCTAAACCCTAAACCCTAAACCCTAAACCCTAAACCCTAAAGTGAGTGGAAGTGCATCCACAGCTTAGGATTACCTCCGCCTGAAGAACGAGATCCCGGACTGCTCTCGGGTTTAGGGTGGACTACCAGGTTCTTGGTAGGGAATGAGGGAATGAAGGCCCGACAGAATCCCTGAAAGGGTATATATATATGGTCACCCCCCCCCCATGATCTAGGTTTTGCTTTGTCCCCATAAAAACCCTCGTAAATACCGATTAAAATGACATGCTGGCTATGCTAGGCGATGTCCTGTTTTTGCACGTCTAGTCCTATGCGAGAAAACCTGTAAATAGTGAAAAAAGCGTGTGTTTAGCACTACTTCCACATCACCACATAAAAAAACACCCCAAAAACACAGGAAAATGCAATTTGGTAAACATGTCTATGAATTATTTGCATAGGACAGGCTTATAAACACAGAATTGTATGCAAAAAACACTTCTTTTTTGCAGAATTTGCAAATTTTGACACAAATCCAAAAATCCAAAAATTCAAAACCATGGAGCCGGGAGGCCGCCTTTTTTGGATTTTTTGGTTTTCTCGAGGTTTTTTTGGTTTTCTTTGGAAAAATCAAAAAAAAACCATGGTTTTTTTTGGATTTTACTTGCTCCTGGCCTCAAAAACCTAAAAAACACATGGTTTTTTTTGGATTTTGAGTGAAAATCCAAAAAAACCCTCGTGTTTTTTTAGATTTCAGGTGCTCCTGGTCTCAGAAACTAAAAAAACACATGTTTTTTTTGGATTTTCACTCAAAATCCAAAAAAAACCATGTGTTTTTTAGGTTTTTGAGGCCAGGAGCAAGTAAAATCCAAAAAAACCATGGTTTTTTTTGGATTTTTCCAAAAAAAACCAAAAAAACCTCGAGAAAACCAAAAAATCCAAAAAAGGCGGCCTCCCGGCTCCATGGTTTTGAGTTTTTGGATTTTTGGATTTTTGGGTTTTTTTTTTAGCAAATTTTGCAAAAAATGCTTTTCTTGTATAAAGAATGTGTATTGTTATACGTTGTTTCTGCTAATGTGACTGCCTTGCACACACACAGAGAAAAGCACACAAACACACCCACCATTCGTTTTTTTTTCAATTCAGCCTATTCGGTATGCAGGGCGTGGCGTTAACATGTAAAGTTCCATTAGATTTAATTACGAATGAGGCTTAGAAGAGGATGTCTTGGGATGTGGCGTCTTAATATGAAAAGTAATAAAAAAAAGAAATAGAGAGGGTTTCTTAGGGTGTGGTTCTTTTGAGGATGTGGACCTGCAATTCAAAAGTCTAATTGGACTTAAAAAAGAGTGGGGCTTCGAAGAGGATGTCTTGGGGTGTGGCCTCTTAATTTAAACGTCTATTTAAGTGGAATCACAAAGGAAGTCCAGTTGAGGATTTCTTAGGGTGTGGTGTTTTAGTGCAAACCTCAAATTACATTTCATTATGAAGCGGGGCCAGAGGAGACTTTCACAGGGTGTGGTCGGTAAAATAAAATTCCAAAGAGGTAGTAACGAATGAGGCTTAGAAGGGCGTGGCCTCTTAATTGTTTTACTTGGTTTGGTTTTACGAACGAAGCTGTGGCTTTACCATACACAGGTCTTAGGGTGTGGCCTTTTAAATTCTGTCCAAAGGGGTGTGGCCTCTAAACTTAAAATTCAATTTAAGTGGAATTCCAAACGAGTCCAGATGAGGATTTCTTAGGGTGTGGCGTTTTAATACAAACCTCAAATAACATTGTAGTATGAAGCGAGGCCAGGGGAGAATTTCATAGGGTGTGGTCTGCAAAATAGAATTCCAAATAGGTATTAACCAATGAAGCTTAGAAGAGGATGTCTTGTGGCGGGGCCTCTTAATTTGTTTGTTTGACTTGGGTTTAATTTACTAACGAAGCTATGGCTTTATCATATACAAGTCTATTGACATTTCACTAATAGGCACCAGAAGAGGATTTCATAGGGTCTAGCGGTTAAATATGGAATTGTAAGTACATTCAAATACGAATGGGGGCTCATGATATAAATTTCTGTCCAAGAGTTACATACGAACCTAGCCTAGGTCAGAACTTCTTAGGGTGTGGGCTTCTTACCTAGCATTATAAACTTCTTACGAGATTCTGTTACGAACAGGCCCCAGAATGGTGTGGCTTTTTTTAATACAAGCATCTTGGCAAATCGAAAATAAGTCTAATTACAAACGAAGGTCTAATGAGGATTTCTTGGCGTGTGGCTTTGTAATACAGAATTCTAATTAATTAATCTTCATTACAAATAGGGGCCAGAAAGGGATTTCATAGGGTATGGTCTGCAATATAGAATTCTAACTCGGTTTCATTGCGAGGAGGATGTCCTGGGGTTGGCCTCTGAATATACACTTGCTTCACTTGGGTTCAATTACGAAGCCCAGAAGAGGATTTCTTAGGGTGTGGGCTTACAATATGAAATCAAATTGCGTTTCATTACGAATGGGGCAAGCGAAAGATTTCACAGGGTGTGGGAAAAACAAAAATGTTCTAGATAGGTATTAATCAATGAGGCTTAGAAGAGGATGTCTTGGGGCTGGGCCTCTTAATATGTTTTTTTACTTGGGTTAATTACGAACGAAGCTGTGGCTTTATCAGACACAAGTCTACTGAAATTTCATTAAGAGGGCCCAGAAGAGGATTTCATAGGGTGTGGCCTTTAAGTATAGAATTCTTTTCGTAGGGTGTGGGCTTCTTATGTAGAAGCATTTTCTCAATGAAATAGGAAGGAAGCCCAGATGAGGATTTCTGAGGCTGTAACCTCTGCATATAAAGCTCTTGTGAGATTTTGTTACGGACAGGCAGGCCCCAGAAGAGGATTTCATAGGGCGCGGCTTTTAATTGGCAAATTTAGATTTCTAAAAAAAATTTACTACGAATGAGGCCAGTGGCCTTTTAATTTTCATTCCGACTTAGGTTTAAATCTCGCTTCGATGGGCCCGAAAGGCCTTTCGACCTAGATCATGGGGGGGGGGGGTGAGCATATATATATATATATATGTAGATGTAGATATTCATATATATACATATATATATATATATGGTTCCGTGTCCCGTGTCGGTACCCCCCCACGCCCCCCCCCCCACCCCCCATGGTATCCCCCCCCCCCACCCCCACCCCCCCTAAACCCTAAACCCTAAAGCCTAAACCCTAAACCCTTAACCCTAAACCCCTAAACCCTAAACCCTCAACCCAAACCCCAACCACACCACCCCACAGGGGGGCCCAAACCACAGGGGGCGGGGAGCGGACCCTAAACCCTAAACCCCTAAACCCTAAACCTTAAACCCTCAACCCAAACCCCAACCACACCACCCCACAGCAGGGCCCAAACCACAGGGGGGCGGGGCGCGGACCCTAAACCCGAAACCCTATACCCTATACCCTATACCCTAAACCCTAAAAAAAAAACCCAAAACCTAAACCCTAAACCTTAAACCCTAAACCCTAAACCCTAAACCCTGAACCCTGAACCCTGAACCCTGAACCCAAACCACCCCACAGGGGGGCCCAAACCACAGGGGGGCGGGGCGGGGAAAGAATTTGGGGGTGGGGGGGGGGGGGGGACCATGGGGGGGGGGGGGGGGGGGGAGCGACGCTGCAGCATATATATATATATATCTATATACACACACACATACATATTAATATATACATGTATACATGTATACATGTATATATATATAGGTGTACATATATAGGGCCCTAATTCCCTCATTCCCTACCAAGAACCAGGGCGTGGATGGAACTGGGGTGGACTCACTGGACCAGGTTCTCTCGAAAGATCAGCATGAACCTGGCACCTTCAACACCCAAACCCCTAAAGGGGGTGGGGGGGGGGCTTGCGAAAAGAAGGGTTTAGGGTTTAGGGTTTAGGGTTACGGGGGAAATAGTACGCAGGATTCCCTTATAGTAGAAACTCCAAGAAGGTATCCTCATTTTCGGAAACCCCTAATTCGTTCAAAGGCCCAAACGAAGTCATCCATTGCTGGGCGGGGGGGCGGTTAGACCCAGGGTTGGGACCTAAACCCTAAACCCTGAACCCTGAACCCTGAACCCTGAACCCTGAACCCTTAGCGTAGCCGACTTCCTTTCGCAGCGATGCGGGTCCGGTTGCGGTTCTTTCCAGCCCTTAAAACCCTTGGGGTTTGCTGGGTTTAGGGAGGGCCATCGAGAGTGCGTGGAAGGACTCCACCCAACTCACCACTGAACGTGAGCTGCAGGAGTCGGTGGCGCGTGATTGGGTTTAGGGTTTTGAGTGTAGGTGTAGGCTTTAGGATTGTGCAATTCGAGCTTACCTACCTTCTTTTGATGATTCGAAATTCCCTCCCAAAATCATGGGCCCCATTTTGGGGACTTCCATCCTGTCATTCTCGTACAGTCCTTGTTGTCTAGGGTATCCCGAACCCTAAACCCTATACCCTATACCCTAAGCCGATCAGATACTCCAGACAACTCCCCGAGGCCTGTGCGTCTTTGATTTACGCGCGGCGGTGTGCGGACTTTCATGCAGACCCAACAAACCCCGAAACCCTTACAAAGCCCTAGAAGCCCCTAAACCCTATATACCCCTAAAACAAAAACCCTCAAAATCCTAAAAAGCCCTAACAGCCCTGAGCTCCGGGAATAAAGGCAGAGCTTCTCGGGGCCAAGGCCGGGGCTGTCAGACTTGATACGATTGGCATGAATATCCCTTTAGTATGTATACATATATGAATACAGCCATTATGTATATTATATAGATACATGCACCTCTCACATTCTCTCTCTATCTCTATATAAATAGAAATAGGTAAATAAATAGATAAATAGACAACATGTATGTATGTCTGTCTGTATGTATGTATGTATGTATTTATGTATGTATATATGTATGTATATATATATATATATGCACACTAAAATCGATACTCTCCTGGCGTTTTAGTAACAAGGGGCCACGCAGTGCAAGCAACGTGCCAGCGCTACACCCTAAACCCTAAACCCGTCAAACCCCCAAAACTCTTAAACTTCCTTAAGCCCTAAACCCGTAAAAGCTGCGCTCGATGAGGAGATCGAGGAGTGGAAGCAGCTGCAGATGGAAGGCTCGCGAGAGCATTTCTCAGATTATCGGGTCCTTAAGGAAGGGGGCTCAAGGCGGGTATGTAACCCAAGTTCCCGAATACTCCCTCAGCTTCCCTAATGTTCTGGCTACCTACCCCCCCATGAACAGCCCTCCCTTCAGAAACCTATAAGCAGAGCAACCGGAAGCAAGCCACCTGTCTGCCACCAGGTAAGATCCCATTCGCAGTCCCTGGCCCCTCCGGCTACTTTCTGACGGGCTTCGTCACCCAGTGGAAGGGCAAGGACGGGCACATGTTCGCACCTCGTAGCCCAAACCCCAAGCCCAAACCCTAAACCAGAAACCCTAAACTGAGACACGCATGCAAGTGTGGGATCTGGATCTGCGGGTGAACGCTTCATCTGCCTCCCGGAACCACAACAGCTAGATTCGTACACTGGCAAGCCTTGTCTATGCACAGTTTCCTATGCTGCCAGGAGCCCTTCGCTGGTGATCAGGTCATCACGCTTACGGAGAACGGTCTGTTCGCGAAGCAGTTCCTCAGCGCCGCTTCTTTCAAATACGTTCGGGGAAGCTGACGCCCCAGTTGGTCAGTCTGAATTTGTTGACGGTTGCCACATCACTTTCCTTAGCCCCAAAGCCCAATTGAATTGTTGTATCTTTTTCGGGGTTCCTTTCAGTCAGCGGCCGCGGTCCTATCTCGATCTCTGCCATAGTTCCAGCCAAGATTTCTACGCATGGCATTCGTCATCTTGTCTGTTTTGGCCCGGGAATATCATGCCATGAAAAGCTTCGAAAGAAAAAGGGGAGGGGTTGGGCCGCAAGTGTTTGCTGGCGTGTCTGAGTAAGGAGCAAGACTGCTGGGTGGGGGGGAGCGGGCCGGGCCAAGGGAGATGTGGCTGAAGCCCTAAACCCGTCGCGGGACGAGGAGCTAAACCCCTAAACCCCTAAACCCCTAAACCCCTAAACCCCGAAACCCCGAAACCCCGAAACCCCGAAACCCCGAAACCCCGAAACCCCTAAACCCCTAAACCCCTCAACCCCTCAACCCCTAAACCCCTAAACCCCTAAACCCCAAACCCCAAAACCCCTAAAGCGTCCGTGTGCCAAGAACATGGCCTTCTACCGCGAGGGGCTGAAGCCTTGGCAGCGGGGCCTGGAGACCCTTGAGCTGACTTGGCGAAACTCACAGGGGTTTAGGGGTTTAGGGGTTTAGAGGTTTAGGGGTTTAGGGGTTTAGGGGTTTAGGGGTTTAGGGGTTTAGGGGTTTAGGGGTTTAGGGTTTGGGGTTTGAGGTTTGGGGTTTCGGGTGTAGGGTTTAGGGTTGCGGGATTCGTGTTTTAGGTTTTTAGTGGTATTGCTTGGGATGTTCTCCTTTATACTAGCAGTCCTTAATCGGGATTATGCTAGGGGTACTATGACCAGCAACAGTAGATGCTTATGTTCTTCCCCCCCTCCCTCTGCATAGGGCTGCTATCTACGTGAGCCGTTCTGCTTGCTGACGTCTCCCGTGCCCTAAACCCTAACCCCCCCCCATTTCGCAGCTACCCAACTGCCGGGATGATCCCGGGAGCGCCCAACGCCCAGGTGTTTCTGCGTGGGCATCTGCTAAATCACAGCATCGGCTGTTTTTCTGAATAAATGACAGTAAAGGAAAGGCTTGACAAGCAACAGCAATGAGAATAAACTACTGACAAGCTATCGTTGCAGAACCGAAGGAGGAAGCGACGACCACACTCTACTATAGGATTCGGTATGATTACGAATAGTATTTCCTCATGGTCCCTATATAAGCACAATTTAATGACCTCTAAAACCGATTCTAACCATTGAGGCCCCTAGATTGCTTGTGTGCCATGCTGAAGAGTGCGGTGATCCGAACTAACCACAACCAAAATTCAGGGCCTACACAATCCCCAACCCAACCGTAGACATGGACCGCAGCAGCTGTACGGTTGAAAGGGTTCAGGGGTTCAAGTTGCCCTAAACCCTAAACTCCTTAAAAACACACCCTAATTCCTAAACCCTAAATCCTATAATTAGGGCTTGGGGTGTAGGAGTCTTCCTTGAGGGTGTTCTTTTGGTCGCAAGGATTGGCATGGCGCACGGCAACTTGGCAGTCGTGTGCAGTTACGAGTTCGGTTGCGGGGGGTTTAGGGTTTAAGGGTTTGGGGTTTAGGGTTTAGGGTTCCAGGGCTTACAAGGTTGAACCCCTAAAGCCCCCAAATCCCAGAAACCCACACAATTAGCCCAAAAACCTCTTTTCTTACAACAGACGGACCGTCCAGGGCGCTGGGGGGACCTTAGGGGTTAAGGCGTTAGGGGGGTAGGGTGACTACCCCAGGTTCATAAAGGAGATCTACGGCTGTTGTACGACCTAACCCTTGCTTTATGACAGTTGTATGCCCTGTTCGGACCTTATTCGGGTGGGGTAGTCTGGGACCGCATGATCTTGAATGACCTGACAATGGTGCCTCATGCACAACATGAATTCCTCTGCCCATGGAGCTTCCCATTAGGCTTGTGCCGGACCCCAACCCAAACCCTATAGGCCCTGCACTCTGCAGTAGCCCCATGGAGCATGGCCAGGGGGGTAGTACAAGCATTGGACCAGAAGCCCTGTGCACCCTGAACCCTAAACCCTGAACCCTAGACCCCACACAGCTCAGCACCTCGGCTGCCGCCCTTCCAGGCTACTTCCTGATCGGGCCATTCACCTCCCTTGGCCCCTTGAGGAACACTCCCGAGGCGGGGGTAGAGTATATGCCCAATACAACTCTTTTGAAGAGATTTGAGGAGTAGCCCAAAGCCCGTGGCTATGATCCGATTCCACTTGCTGTTCTACCCTAAGCCCTCAACCCCAAGCAAGGAAGCAACACCCCGGACGCCTCAACCCCCGGCGAGGCAGCGACCGTCGGCCTCCTTTGCGGCTGTGCGATTGTCGGCATCGTCTCCGCCGGGCGCCCAGCGGATGTAGAAAGCATCGTGAACTCTCAGCCTGGAGGGGAGAACCCTGAACCCTGATTGAGGGTTCTTCTGACAGTTGGCATAATGTTTTTAGAAACCTGAACGCTGATTTAGGGTTGGGGGTTCTCGGGACCCGAGGGCTTGACGCGCATGTGCGGTTTTAAGTGTAGGCTATATGGGGTTTACAAAAAAGGATCCCCAATATAGACCCCCAAATAGCAGGATCCCCTTATGAGACACTTAATACAGACCCCAAGAAGGTACCCCCCTCATATCGTAAACCCCCCCATACATAGGGCCTATACTAAACCCTAAACACTAAACCCTAAACCCTAAACCCTAAACCCTAAACCTATAGGTATTGGGGTCGTTCTGCCTCCTCAGATCGGCGGCCTGCTCTTCGGCTCCACCATCAAGCCCACCCGCTTCGACAAGGACCCGGGGGGATTGTGTACTTTTTTTCAGCGCCCCCAAGGTAGCCCTAAACCCTAAACCCTAAACCCTAAACCCTACACCCTGACCCCCAAACCCCAAACCCTAAACTGCTTCTCCCTTGCAATGATCTGTATGTGGGGGCTTGTGGTTCTAGGATCTCTTTTGGAAGGCTTGGGGATGCTCGCGGGGTTGAACAAGAGGTTTGGGTTTAGGGTTTAGGGTTTAGGGTTTAGGGTTTCGGGTTTCGGGTTTAGGGTTTAGGGTTTAGGGTTTAGGGTTTAGATACATATAATTCACGCCAAAGCCCTCATTCTCTTTCTCATCCCTCCCTCTCACCCCAAGCATTGCGTAGATCTGAGCTAGCAAACCCCCATACCCAATAAGGTCATGCCCAGGTGCAAGATTAAAACTTCCGCGAAAGCAAGAAAGGCAGCAAGGGTTGCCATCCAGAACGCTTGAATCCGACGGCGATTTCCGAAATCCATCCCGCACATAGTAGGATATTCACGGGGAGTGAAGTGTACCCCAAAGAAGTGACAACTACGTAGCCACAACTCCGGACTTGTAGAGTTTTTCTAACCCTGCCCCCAACCCTAAATCCTAAACCCTAAACCCTAAACCCTAAACCCTGCTTGCAAGCGCCTTTGTTTCAGTCGGCTAGATCAACTGACCTGCCCGCGAGGAGGGTGACAAGCCGGCAGCCGGTTTCCAGGATGTAAATCATAAAATGCTCCATGAGAGTAATTTTCGAAACTATAGTAATTATAGTAGTTATAGTAATTCTAGTAATAATAGTAATTGTAGTAGTTGTAGTAAATATAGTAGTTATAGAAATAATTGTAATAATATTCATTTAATTGTAATAATAGTAATTATAGTAGTTATAGTAATTCTAGTAATAATAGTAATAGTAGGCTTTCCGAACTTATTGGTTCATCGGGGGGGGGGGGGGGGGGGGGGGGCATCCTTTTGGGGCAGTCCCTCTTTGGTGGCTGAAGTTCTAGGACTAGGGTTTAGGGTTTAGGGTTTAGGGTTTAGGGTTTAGGGTTTAGGGTTTAGGGTTTAGGGTTTTGGGGGGTTGTTGGGGGGAGGGGCGGGGTGTGGTCGCCGGGCAGCTTTGTTTCATCTGCTTCCCTGCTTTAAATCCAAGTTGAGATACTAACAGTCCTTAATCGGGATCATGGTACCCCCTGTTATACTCCCTATTGAGGACTGTTAGTATAAGGGGGAACATCCCAAAATCGCAGATTCACCCATCCTAGAATCCCACATTCCCTAAACCCTAAACCCTGAACCCTGAACCCTAAACCCTAAACCCCAAGCCCTAAGCCCTAAACCCTAAACCCTAAACCCATCCCAGGCTTCATCGAGATGATCAACTGGCACGCCATTGGTGGTCTGGGCGGCGCTGGCTTTGCCCATGCGCTGATCACGGCCCCTGGGGCCAACAGTCATGCACGTGGGTTTAGGTTTAGGGTTTTAGGGTTTAGGGTTTCGGGTTTAGGGTTTAGGGTTTAGGGGTATATCTTGGGATGTTTCCCCTTTACGAACAGTCCTTCATAGGGATTCTCGTACCCCCTATTAGAATCCCGATTCAGGACTCTTAGTATACGGGGAACATCCCAAGGGATGTTCCATGACCCATACGTGCGGAGTTGCATATCTTTTTGTATCTACCGGGCAGGATTACCTCTTTCGGGGCTTCTGCGCTGTCATTAGGGCTTTGGGGCATGAAAGTATAAGCAATAATAGAACAGAGCATAAAGTTTTATGATCACATAATATAGCAATTTAAGTTTTAGGGTATCTATGACTACAATCGAACATAGCCGCAGTCTAGTATCATACCATATCATATCGAAAAAGATTGGAAGGGTTCTGCAACTTGAAGTACTTGGTATTCAAACGGGGGGCCTAGCGCGATGGGGCAGGTCTTCGGCTCCGGCTGAGTGCAGAAAGACGAGCTGAGACGAGCTTGTTTTTGAAGCTGCGGCTGCGGGGGTTCGTTGACCTAGTAGTAGAGTAGGGAGCCTTCAACCCTTTTGGGGGTAATGCTATCCCCTTATATTCCCAAAGGTTCACCTTTAAATCCCCCAGGTTACTGGACAACTAAGTTGAGGGAACGTTGCACGAGAAGATGGCCATCTGAACACTGCAGCACTCCTACCTTTGCTTGCCCGCAGAGGGAGGTACATGTCAGTAGGATCCGAGACTTTGGTTTGTTTCATCAGGGTGGAGTTCAGGTTTAGGGCTTACGGTTTAGGCAGCTTCAAAAAATTAAAAGGCTGAGTGTTTAGGACGTATGCGTAATCTCCCTGAGCCCGCACATCCCCTAAACCCGGAAACCCAGTGAACCCAGAAACCCCTGAACCTTCAACCTTGTTGGTACCTTGCCACAATTACGCTGGAGCCCCGCTTCTGCTGCAGTGACCGTTGCGTAACTTGTGGCTGGGAGGCAAAAAATGTCCGAAGCTCGTGTCCGGTCTTCGAAAGCTGGAGAGTTCATAGGGGTCTAGGGTTATGGTTCTAGGGTTATACGGTTACAGGGTTAGATGGTTATAGGGGTATATGGTTGTAGGGGTATATGGTTACAGCTGAAGGTTCAGCTTCAACACGTCCTCGAAACCCCTCAGATTCAGCTCCTTACAGAACCCCCAACCTAAGAACAACTGCGCCCTAACCGGGCTCGCCCAAAGAAGGGGGTTAAGTTAAGGTAAGTTAAAAGGGTCATTTGGTTTTCTGGCTCGTGGCAGCACGCCTTAGAATTTTGCATGGGTTGTGGCCCAGAATAAAGCTCTTTCAGCCCTTGGGGCCATGGGTTCCCCTAAGGATGGCGCGGCTGTGACGGCCGCCATCTCAGCCTGTGCGGAGGCATTGGCCGAGAGCAGGGAGATAAGGGCATATGTGTCGTTTCTCCAAATTAGAAGGTCCTTCTTTAGGTCTAAGAAGGACCTCCCCAAAAGGCGACCCAAGAACTACCCAGATCATGGTTCAAAGCATTCCATTCAAAAGTAACGAAGTGTTGGAATGGAGTTGGGGGGGGGGCCCTGCAAGCATTATTGGGCCTGTATATGGTTTCGCCCCGGCGGGCCCTCACCCCGGCCGCTGCCCCCCCTCCCCTGTGTTGGTTTTCGGGCTTTAGGGTTTAGGGCTTCGGCTTTAGGGTTTAGGCCTTAGGGCAGTGGGTTTGGGGTCTTAGGGTCTCGGATTTAGGGTAGAGGGTTTAGGGTTAAGGGGGGGTCCGGATGCAAAAGGGTTAAGGGGGGAGACCTGCACAGTGCACGACCATATTTGGGACCGCTGCTGCCCCCTTTGGCGAGGTTGGCCAGTGGCAGCGCGCTTCGGGGCTCCATGCGCATGGTGCCGGTTTAGGCGGGGGGCACGAGGGGGCGAGGTTCAGTCACCTGTTGATTCCGTAGCAGGGTGACAGCTGCATGGGGTGGACGTGGAGACCTCCTAAGTCCCAAGAGGCAATGGGAGTTGTGGTTATTTCCGGGGCTGCCAGTGATGCCCCTACGAGCCACGACATAGGCTACGCAGAATGGGACGCTTGTCTGTTGCTGTTGCTCTCGCTGCGGTTACTGTTGCGACTGCTTCTGCTATTGCTATTTGCTAGTGCACTACTAGTACCAGATACAGGAGTAATGAACCCTAAACCCTAAACCCTAAACCCTAGACCCTGGACCCTAGACCCTAGACCCTAAGAAACCCGAAACCCTCAACCCTGCTCGGGACTTCCCATTGGGCCGGTGCTTGGTGGCACCTTGTCCAAGCAAGTCTTTGATTGGGCAGAAGCCCCTCAGCTTTTGACTCGCCAAACCCTAAACCCTAAACCCTAAACCCTAAACCCTAAACCCTAAACCCTAAACCCTAAACCCTAAACCCTAAACCCTAAACCCTAAACCCTAAACCCTAAACCCTAAACCCTAACCCTAAACCCTAAACCCCAAAACCCTCAGCTTTTGACTCTCCAGGTGACCTGGCCACCTTTGGGGCGACATTGGCTGCAGCCAGCGTTTCGTGGCCGCGGGCCCTGGTGGTGCAGGAAGCGCTGCAGGCACGCCTTTATCCAGGGTTGCACGTGGGATCCTGTACATAACAAAAAGTATACACGTATGCGGATGGGTATGTATATATATATATGTATATATACATGCATAGATATGTATGTATATACAGGTATTTGTCTGTTATTCTATCCGTTATCCACCTTTCTGGTGGGTAACTGGGTTTCGAGGGTGGGCTCCTTCTTGCAAATGAAGGTTTGGCTCCATCTAAATGATAAACTGAGACTGCAGGATCCGTCTACATGAGAAACCTAAAGCTTTAAGCTCAACATTGGCATGTGGAAGTTCAGTTTTGAATGTTGAAAGTTCAACATCTAACTTTCAGGCTTCAAAAAATCTTTACCGGAAAAAGAGCCCTCAGCCTTTAACAACCTGACGACAGAATGCAAATCCTGGCTTATGAATTGCCGGGCGCAACCGAACATTGGAGGTTCACCTGCCGTCTTTATTTCCGTTGGGCTATGCCGTTATACCCTCAATATTACAAGGGTTATAGAACCTACTAATGCACGCCGAGGGGCGAGCCAAGAAGCGTAGGGTTGGGGTTTCGAGGGCTTCGGGCTTAGGATAAGCAGCATATACAAGGGGCTTGGGGTCGGAGAGATCCAGCCCTGAGACAGGGAGCCCGACGATTACGGACTCAGGGCACGAAGGCATGCTGTTTCGACACGTGGTTTCTCACAGGACGCTGGCCTTCAAGGGAATACCATCACGCAGAATTCCCTGGCGCAGGCCTGTGCCAAGGGTGGCTGATGCACTTGTGAAGTCTCAGGGTGTTCTTGGGCCTATTGCTAGATCAGACCCCGAATGTGTTCTTGACTATTCTAACAATGTTTATTCTTCTCTGCGAATTCGCTACGTTTTTGATGCTGCGCGACCCCCTTGGCCTGGGCCTGCCCAGCTGCGAGGCAACCCAAACCGGAGATCGCGGGTGTGAAGGTGCTAGCAAAGGCTTCTTTGCAATCATTCCCTTTTGGGGACAGGCTCATGTGCAGGCACCAAAAGAACAGGCGTGGGAGGGGGGGTGGTGCCTGCTTCATGCTCCCGATACACCGACGGCCCGAGCCCTCAGCGGAGTATTCTTCAGCATGTCATCTGAACATATTCACACTTTTGGCCTGGCCTCCGTCCACAAAGGCCTACCAGCTGGGCGCGCAATGGCAGCGAGCCCTGCTACAGGCGGCTGGGGAACCTTCGGAAGCTGTTAGGGTTTAGGGTTTATGATCATCTGACAGAAAAGGAGCAGCCTGGGATGAACAAGGGTCTGGTTGTGATGGTTCTTTTGCTTTTGCATGATGACTGATCAGCATTCTATCTACTAAGCATCATGCAGCGGTTTTGAGGATGGCCGGGTGTTGGGGCATGATGTGCCTCTCTGAGCCAGGAGCACTGGGCCACGGAGGGCGATCCCCTGAGCTACAGCACACTCTTCCAGGCCGGTTGAGGGTTTGGGGGTTTTAGGGCTGGGAGTTTTGGCCCAGTTGTGTTTTGGGTAGGGTTTAGGGTTCAGGGTTCAGGGCTTAGGGTCCCTAATTTTGTGAGGAGCCCGGTATTCCAAAAGGGTTTAGGGACCAGCCCTCATGCGAAGGCTTGCGCCTCCGCGGGCGCCTGGCTGCCCACACCGGCGCTGTCGTCGCAGCTGCGAGGGGCGCTGCTCCGAAGCGTGCGCCCCTGATCTGAAGCTAGGTACCCAAAGAGCCCAATACCCCTTAGTTAAGCCATATACCTGAATTCGTTATGTAGGGATCCTTAATATGATTTGAGGTATATATTTCTTAATTAAGAGGATTTGAGCTCCTCGGGTAGCCCCTTGGGATGTCTACCCTTATGTGGGTTTAAGAGAATTCATCTCTAAAATCTTCTTCAGCGGGGTTTAGGGGTTTGGGGACCACCCGAACGGCGTGGCTGTTGAGGTGCGGAGGGTGCATGAAACCAGAGTGCGGAAGCCAAGTGATTCACCATGTTCGACAGCAACCCAAGCTGAAGACCCCACACATCTAAAAGCCTTAAATCCCCAAAAGCCCGAAAAGCCAGAGCTGAGGAAGCCTTGGGCCAGGACCTGAAGCAAAAAGGCGGAGAAAAGATGACGCTTGCGGGGCTGTTTGGGTCTTGGAGCTTGTTGGGATCTTCCGCCGGGGGGGGGTTGGGTTGTTCGCTTGAACTTTGGGGTGTGTTTCGCGCAGATGCCGTTGAGTGCGGAACTTCTGATGCGTGCCTGGGTTTCATGGACATGGCTGTCGAAAAGCCGCAGTGATGTTGTGAGTGACGCTATAAACCCGACAGGCTCCTGAACCCTAAACCCTTTTCCTAAAACCGGCCTTGTGCGAGTGTGAGAGTGGAAACTGTGCTGTGGCTAGTCGGGTGGCGAAAGAACTGCACCCAAGCGGATTCCTGGTGCCACGCCCTTTTTTGCCAGGACTTTGCCCGGGCATTCCGCGTCCAGATCGAAGACTTGGGCCCAGGCAGTGTGTAGGGTTTGTCGGGTTTAGGGGTGTAGGGTTTAGGGATGTTTAGGGCCAAGTTTAGGGTTTAGGATGCGGGCTATTGGGCTTTTTGGGAGTTTGGGTCATAATGCTACCCTACACAATTCCTATCAACGTCACATGAACCGAAACCCTTTTTAGGGTTCATGTGGTCCCCAAGCTGGAACACATAAGCTTATCAACAACTTCAAGATATTCTGCACGTGTACTAGCAAGAAATGAGTTGGGATTAAAAAGGCCATCGCTGAAAGGAGTTTAGGTTTCAAGGCGCTGAGATCAGAAGTGTTCATTGATTTTCTTGCTGCGTTTTCATAGTTCACTTCGTTTGTTCTTCATGGTTAGGGGAATCGCCTGCCGACTGTGCCCTTCGTAGCCCAAGCCTTGAGAGGATCGGAGCAGAACGTCTCCGTCGTCCTTGAGCTCCTAAAGCCGTGGCCTCAGATAACCTTTCGAGTGTACTGGGCAAGGTGGAGAGTTTAGGGTTTGGGGAAACCAACGTGGCGAAGGTTGAGGGCTTAGGGTTTGGGGAACATTCGTGGCGGAGGGTTTCGGGTTTAGCGATGCCACGTTTCAGAGCCAGCTGGCATGCAGAGCCTGTTTTCAAGGGAGCATTCGCGAGGAATGGAATGACCCGTGGTGTCTTGTGTGTTGGGGACCCTTGCTAGCCTCGGAACTTTCTTGGCCGAGACTTGGCTAGCATGAGGAATGGCGGCATCTTCCACGAGCTCTTCTACCCGGCCTTGTCCTGAGACATCTGTAGAATCAGAGCTTCCTCACTCACAATGGGGGGTGGGGGCAGTTCTAGCCTTTTTTGTGTGTCCTTGTTTAGTAGGAATAATGAAGTTGAACATTTTTTCCTAGGTGATCGGAAAAGTAAGAGTTTGAGTTTGTCGCAAACAAATTCTAGGCATAAAGCCGCGTGCCCAGGCCCTTCCGGAGGATGATGGCGAGGCCACATGGGGCGCTAACTTACACCCCCCCCTAACTCAAAAAGTGCCTACCTTGTTGTAGACTCTTGATATACACACATAATGATACACCTCCCTCAGCGACTTCTTTGGCACCATGGCCCTAAACCCTAAACCCTAAACCCTGAACCCTGAACCCTGAACCCTGAACCCTGAACCCTGAACCACCCTAAACCCTAAACCCTATGCTTATATTTCTTTGAAGCAACCGAAGCGCCAGGCGGATGGGGAGTCCCTGCCGGATGAGGCGCCGACAGGACGCTTAAGTCGTTGCATGTAGCAGTGTAGCAGTCCTGGCCATCTGCACCCAAAGCCTTTGGAATAGGGTGTTTAGGGTTTGGGGTTTGGGGCTTAGTACGTTGAGCTTTTACTGCTGCCAAGCATAGCCCGGACGCAAGAAGGGATGCAGAGCCGATCTGCCAGAGGCCTGGATGCAACAGAACCCTAGCGACTGCGTCAGGCGGGCTTCCGAACAAGCCGAAACACCTAAGCCCGCCAACCAGAGCAACAAGCAGGATTGACAAGAGTGGTGGGCATAGCTTTCGCCGACGGGTTTCCCTGACGCGGGCCCTTAGGCACTCAGATCCTTATCATGTTTCTCTGAAGACTGTTACTGTTGCCCTGCAGCGTGGCTGGTCGACCAGAAGTGTATGCTGCAACCAAGCAAACACAACGTGAGGGCCCAGCGAGCATTCCACACGTCATCGCGGTCGCAACCTACTCCATCGCTTCCAAGCTTCTATTCTTCTATGGCACCCTTGAGGGAGAGACATTTCTTCGTGCACACACGCGCGCCTCAGGAGATCCGGAAGTCTGAGTAGCGACATCTCGGAGTCTCACCCAGCCGGGCCTCGCAGTTTCCCTGGTAAATGCTACCAGGAACTTTAGAGCTACCCCCTAGTTGCAGAAGCTTTTGGCATGCAGAGGCCTACACAGAGGCTCGATTCGTGGGGTTCAGGACCTCCCAGACGGCTTCATGTCAGGGTTCGTGAGGCCGGGCCCCCTCCCAGCCCCTGCACTACGGCCCCAAAACGGGGCCATGTGGGGCTGAAAGATACTAAGCATCTTTCAGTCTGCGAGGGACCCATTCAAGAGGAGGTTCCGAAACACTGCCGAGAGCCACATTTCTTGACTAATATAGGGATCGAAGAATTACGAGTACTAGTCCTATATACTTATACTATAATCACCCCCCCTGCCCCAAAACAAAAAGACAAACTATTCCAATTGCTCACCGTATGTTACAGCTCGGCCGTGGTAATGTTACTCGGCGCCCGCGCCGCCTGTAGAGTGTGTGTGCCGATATTCCCCTCACACTTCTCAAGCCCTCTCGATAGAAGCTGCGTTTCACTCTCCTTGTTGAACAATGCTTGGCAGCATTAGTGCTATTGCCTTGGCACTTGTGTGCCACAACTGAACGCAGCCACTGAGGGCACATTAGGAGAGCAGGTTCGATTCAGTTGGGAGCATGACGGAGCAGGATATCAAGACCAACGTCGGACATGAAGCAGCAGCAGTGGCAACTTGCAGAAGCTTCTACGAGGAGAACCACAGAAATGGCAAGCCTTTTGCAGCATCCGGAAAAGTTGCCCCAGACTGGCAGCAACAACAACAATCACCCCCCCCCCCCCCCCCCCCCCCCCCCCCGCCCCCCCCGCCCCATCCCCACCCACACCCTCAAGCCATAAACCCTCAACCTTAAACCCTGAGCCCGTGCGAACTGCCTGTTCCTCAAGCCCAAACTTTTCTCAAACTCCACACCAAAACCACCAAACCCTAAACCCTAGACCCTAAGAGTACAGACACCCAGCCATCTGCTGCGATGGTCGGGTGCGGACATCGAGTCCCTGTCGGGCACCCAGCCCTCCCGCGGGTTTAGGGTTTAGGGTTTAGGGTTAGTGCTGAAGCCAAGCTGTGGCCCTTAAGAGCCGGTTGCCCCGGTGCGTTGTCCCCCTACCCTGCATCCCACCTTGTGGATGTCAGGGCGGGCGGCAGGTGGGCAGAACAAGTTCATGCGACCTTATATATGCTTGAATCACTTTCTTCAGGTTATGAAAAAGCTATGCGCTGCAAAGATGCGCTTCCGCTATACCATGCCAGAACATGCTTTACTGCTTGGAGGACTTCGTCAGACCAGCATGCCACCGCAATTGCAATGTTGCTGTGATGGGCCTGGAGGATGGAGGGGGGCTGCGATGGCGACGGCACCGTTTTCCAGGAGACACGGGACATTGGTTGTAAGGGAAGGCTGCCCTGGCGGAGGAAGGTGAGGTAGCCGAAAGGCAGAAATCGTCTTCAGGCGTGTAAGCGTTCCTTGGCGCAGTGTAGTGCACGGGCGCGCTCTCGTTTGAGTGATGCCAGATGCTTGGGTTAACGCCCGGGTGGACGGCGGATCTTGGACAGAGTTTGCGTAGCCGGCCCACTGCCGGGGACAGGGGGGAGCAGTGCCAGAGCGCAATGCCATGCTACAGCATGTGTTGGTACAGATGCTCGCTTCCCGGAAGGGATGGACAGCTTGTGAAGAGCGCCCAGCCTTCTGGCGGATGGCAGGCCGAGGGGGGTGCTGAAGCCAAGCTGTAGCCCTTAAGAGCCGGGTTGCCCCGGTGCGTTGTCCCCCTACCCTGCATCGTGGATGTCAGGGCGGGCGGCAGGTGGGCAGAACAAGTTCATGCGACCTTATATATGCTTGAATCACCTTCTTCAGTTAGGGTTTAGGGTTAGGGTTTAGGGTTCAGGACTTTTGGGGGCTGCTGCTCACGTGCCCATGTTTTTTTTTCAGGTGCTACGCAAGAAAGCTGTTGACAAGGACGGCTTTGCAGAGGGCCGGAAGCTGAGTCTACAAAGCTTTAGGGGCAACGTTTACATGGGGCTGTGCCTGAAAAACACGGCTTAGATCTGTTTGGAGGTAAATTCGGTGTCACATTCTGCCGTTGCCTTACCTGCCGAACATGTACACCTTGTGGGAATCGTTGCGGGGCGGTTTGTCCAGCTATGCGGTTTAGGGTCAACTGGTAAGAAACCCAAGCCCCCATCCCCCTTATTTGGGAAGGACCTTTTTCATGTGAACCTGAGGTCTGGAAAAGTAGCACCTTACGGGTTCCCTGAGACCTCAAGGGGTTTGGGGTTCACAGGGCTTAGGGGTTTGTATAGGGTTGCAGGGCTTATAGGGTCTGGGGTTGATAGGTTTGAGGACTGCGTAGGATTTATAGGGTTTATCGGGTTTAGGGTTTATAGGTTAGGGTTGATAGGTTTAGGGTTTGGGGTTTAGGGTTCAGGGTTTAGGGTGCAGGGTTTAGAGGGTGTACAGGGCTCATAACCATCCGGGTGCGGATCGTCCTGTAGCATGGGGGGGAATCCATTCTTCCTTATTATTGTTGCAGAAGACGAACTAGGCTGCAGACCCTGGCCCCTAAACCCTAAACCCTAAACCCTAAATGCTCTGAAGTGCGACTTACGTAGCACGGGCGAGCCCAGCCGCGCCTCGCATTCGCCGCGGCTCTGGCAGCTTTGTTTCACACCTTAGCCCCCACGGACAACTTTTTTCAGCTTGAAAGGGGGTAATACATCAGCCTTCGGATGTACCCCTTATACTAACAGTCCGAATAGGGATTACAGTCTATTGACATCCCGATTAAGGAGTGCTTTTATAAGGGTGTCACATCCCACCATCAGCCATATGTGGTATGACGGATGTTTGAAGTCCTCAGCTCTTAGATGTTCATTGTAATTAATTGGGGGCTGACGAGAACAGGGGACCCCCAATTATAGACCTTCCTAGATCCCGAGATAGTAGGATTCCCGTATCAGGACCCCAAAAAGGTACCCCTAATTTCGGAAACCCCCCAAGTAGGCCCATACACCAGCTGTTCAAGGTTGGGATGTTCCCCCTATACTAGCAGTCCTTAATTGGGATTATACTAGGAGGTACTACAATCCCTTCTTCGGGCGATGTTCAAGGTTTGCATGTTCACATCGCCCCTGGATGGAAGTTGTCCACCATGAGCTCCACACTGGGAGCTGCACAGGACAGACCGGAGTTTGCAAAGTCTGCAGCTCTTCCTTCGGGCTTAGGGTTTAGGAGCTTCCGATAAATAAAGGGTCCCCAGGGGGGGGGGGGGGGGGGGCTCAAATTATAATATTGATCGTTTTTTTTTTTTTTTTTTTGGGGGGGGGGGGGGGGGGGGGGAGGGCGGCCTCATTCATACATTCACATAGTTACCAAGCTGCTTATGTAAAACCCTAAGGCCAAATCCCAATCCAGCTGCAGGACAGCGTGCTGAGCCGGCGACAGCACGACCTTAGATGCCTCAAGTCATCACCTTGGCCCAAGGACCCTGGAGCAAGTTGGGATCATCCATAACTCTAGAAGGGAATTCGGTGCTTTGTTTCCCACAACATTCCTTGAAGGGAGCCTACGGGGTGCCTCATTCCCTATTATGAACCAGGAAGCTTAGGTTTTGGGTTTAGAGCAGACGTGTATGGGTAGTTCTCTTAATTCAGATCCCTTTCTGGGGGCCCCTGTAGAATACGGCGCCCTCATGAAAGGACCCCCTCCAAAATGACCCAAATTTAGAGAAGCAGCCATTTGGTGTTTTGGGAATGCTCTGGAGATTGTCGTTTTGCTTTACCTTGAAACGAAATTCCTTCAAGCTGCGAGGCGTTGCTGGTCATGGAAGAGCTGCACACATCAGCCGTTCAGAGGACGCCTGGGAGGCGTAGAATGGCTCAATGAGCCTGAGGTTGGCGGCTGCATCTCCAGCTAGCACAAGACCTGCAGCCCTCAGTTAGGTACCCTGAATACCCCAACAGCCGTGAATACGATAAAAACCCGAAACATCCTTAGCACCCCTAACCACCCCTAAACCCTTAGGAGCACGATCCTGCACAACGTGCTGCTGAACTCGTGTGCCAAGGCTACGAAGCGCCAAGACATGCATCGAAGGGTGTGGGTTCCATATTGCTGTAGTCTGCTTGCCTCTTGCCCTCTTGCCCTCTTGCCCTCTTGCCCTCTTGCCCTCTTGCCTCCCAGGTTTCCAGCCCTTCGCAGATGCCAAGTAGTTCCCGACACCCTAAACCATAAAGCTTTGTTGCCTTTTATGCTGCGTTGGGTTCCCTTGCACACCCATGAAGCAAAAGGAATACCAAGGGAGCTGAGTGTGTCTCACAGGCCTCCTTCAGGTAGACCAGGAAGCGGATGTGGCCCTCACCAGTGAGACTCCTCTATAACTCCTGTGCCAGCCAAGATGGCTCTTGCGGGCTAAAGGAACCCTCATATAAGTGGCCTAGGGTTTCGGGTGTAGCGTTACGAGGGTTATACTAGCATGGGGCACATGGCATGTTATCCCAAATTGGGTTGCAGTTGGCACCCAATGAACCCCTTACGATCTCAGACTACTCCTGGTACACTCGCCTTCAGCTTTCTCAGGTGGCGCACCTGCTTATTGCAGCTGCAGTCCTTTCAAGTTGCTGGCCGCGGCAACATTGCCCCTTGATCATCACTCACATTCTGATTTAATTAGGGTTTGGAAAGGGGTTCTGCGCGATGAGTGTTACAGGAGGGTTGGGGTGTGAAGAAGGTTATGTTCCAGGCTGGTTTTGGGCTCCAAATCTGCACCCTGCAACTCCACCAAACCGTGGTGGGTTTGGCTCACGGCAAACAGGGCAATCCAGAAGAGGTATGCTGGGACAATCTGGGGATCAGAGGTGAGCCAGTCGACGGCCATAGCCGCGGAAGCGCAGGTCTCAAGGCCATGCGTGACGATTCGCTCGTGGGATGTTCCCCCTTATACTAACAATCCTTCATAGGAATTCTTTCCGGGAATACGATAGAGTCCCCATGAAGGTCCAGGAGCTGTTAGTATCAGGGGGGAGCATCCCAACCCCTAAACCCTAAAAAACCGAAGCCCTAAACCCGAAACCCTACACCCTAAAGCCTAAACCCTAAACCCTAAACCCTGGAGCGATGTCGGGTGGTTTGTTGCTAGCTCTTGGTAGCCTCATGACCGCGCTCCGTGTATCCTTGAAGCCGAGAGTTAGACTAGGAGTGCATGCGGATGCCTGAAGGGCAGGATAGATGGATAGACGCTGTGGGGCTGCCTCGCGACCCTTTCGTAGTCCTTAGTGGTAGCACTACACGCGCCGGGCAACCCCGCCAGTTAATGACGCAGACCTTCGCCCGAAGGGGACCCCTTACTGGTCCGAAACCCTTTTCGTGATGCGCTCACAGAAACGTGTCCACTCCCGGAGACCTCGACTTAACCCTGCGGAGCGGGTGCTTGTGTGCGCGCAGTGCGGGTGGCGAAACCCTAAACCCTAAACCCTAAACCCTAAACCCTAAACCCTAAACCCTAAACCCAAAGTAGATACACATCCCCAAGTAGAGCTCCACGGAGCTGCTGCTGCTTGGAGGTGGTGCAGCTCCCTGGAGCGGCTGGCGTCCCTGGGCAGCCGGCGGCTGCGTCCGAACGCGGCTTGACACAGCCTGTGGGGAGCAAGGCTTTAGGGTTTAGGGTTTAGGGTTTAGGGTTGAGGGTTGAGGGTTGAGGGTTGAGGGTTTAGGGTTTAGGCTTCCTGGGGGTTTGGGGTGGGGGGGGGGGGGTGTGTGAAGTGGGGATTCCCTTCTGGCAGTCACCAAGTCCCAGTCGCAAAGGGTTTTATGGTTTAGGAATGTTTTTGGTTTAGGGTTTCTTCCCGGGCTCCAGGCCATCGCTACCACCGCTGCAGCCCACGCCATCAGTGAAGCCGCTTGGCGCCGGGCGGCCATCTTGCTGGCGCCCGAAGGACCTTTGGGTTTTGGAAGGGTTTCGGGTGTTGATCCAAGGTGCTCTGCAAATGAACTTGGCTCGTGACTTTCGACACAACAGAGTGCGTGATACTTAAACCCAAAACCCTGGGACGTTCCCCCTTATCCTAACAGCCCTTAATACGGATTACAACAGGGAGTAATTGCTATATATAATCCCTTTCAAGGACTGTTAGTATAAGGGGGAACATCCCAACCTTAACCCAAAACCCCAACGCGACCTCTGGGCCACCGACTGTCGCTTCCCACCCGGGGACGAAGCATATCTGGCCATATAGTTTAGGTTTCGGGGTTAGGGTGTAGGGTTTTGGGTCTTAGACACCCAACATCCTGAATGCTCTTTCCCTGCCGCTATTGTCACCAACCCTAAACCCTGCAGCTCCTGGCAAGTTGGTTTTCCGATGCAATTGAGCCAGTGCTGAACAAAGATAAGGGAGATGGGCTGGCAGAGAGGACGAGGGTCTAGCTGCATGGAAGCAATGATGAACCACGCTGCTGGTGCCGAGAAGAAAGGTGAGGTGTGCAGGTTGAAAAACTACGGTAGAGGGTGTATGTTGAAATCCCTCCTCTGCCCAGACCTTGCAAGCCGGGTACGATGTGTACTGAGAGAGGGAAGCTAAATGTGCGGTAGACGTGGTATGTAGCCTGCAAGTACTCTGCAACTGAAAGTATCACCGAGTGTCAGCAGACGAGACAAGTATCACCGGGGCCCACATGGGATCCACCAAGAGGCTTTGAGACTTTGAGACAGTGTGTGCCTCGCCAGGCCTGTCCGAGAGAGCTGTAGCCCTGGAGGAGACCTGGGAGCACAGAATGTGCGCGTGGCTGCGTGGGCCGACGGTGCCTGGGCTGAGGCCCGAGTCGTTTGGAGGGTTCAGGGTTCAGGGTTCAGGGTTTAGGGTTTAGGGTTTAGGGTTTAGGGTTTAGGGTTTAGGGTTTAGGGTTTAGGGTTTAGGGTTTAGCCCCAGCAAGCTTGTCCGAGTCTTGGCTCAAAGGGGTTCAGGGTTTGTTTAGATTTGTGGAACTGTGGAACAGTGTTTCGGCACGTGGAGGGTTTGGCAAAGGGGGAGGGGCCGCTGGGCCCTGCGCTTTCCTCGGCCCTGAACCCTGGCTCAAGCCTTTCTTCTCCAGGCAAATATCTCCGCGTTTCAAGCAATGATGGCGTCGCAGTCACCTTACTTGTTTTTGCCTTTTCCGTGTGTTTCTTCTCCGGCATTTTGAAGTCTTATCTGGATCTCGGCAGATTGACCGTCATTGAGAATGAAGTGGCGGCACCTGTGTTCAATTTCAGCTTCGGGATGATCTCCGCTGCCTCACTGTGGTTTTGGCTGGGCCTAGCGGGTGCGCTGTCTATTCCGCTTTCTGGATACAGCCCGGTCAAGGAGTCGGCAGCCGGCGAATACATAGGTTTTGGGCAGCAAGGGGACCACCTGAACCCTAAAATTGGGGTCATGTACTCTAGACGACTACTATAATTTCATGAAGGTATGTGAACCATAAACCCTTTTCGGATTCATTTGGTCCTCTAGGCCGTGTAATTCTGTCATTCCAAGCTGCGCGCATGGCGTGAGGGGGTGTGTTTGGTAGCTTCCAGGGCTCAGTTGCATATACCGTTTCAACACGACGGTGGCTTCGCACATTTGCTTAAGGCCCCCCCCCAAAAATAAAACATATTCTTCCTTATAAGGGAAAATATATGGGGACTGTCAGCGTTCTTTTTTTGGGGGGGGAGGTTCCTGAACAAGTAGTTGTTCTGTCTTGTGGGGACAGCATTAGTTTGAATGAACACTAAAAGGGTGTATGGTTCATATGAATTTACTAGGAATAAGCAACTTAGGGTACGATTGCCCCAATTCCCAAAGAGAATTATGCCTCAGTAAGGAACATATCTTCATAGGAATTGTAGTAGTGCAAGGTAGATGGCCCCCTAATGTTCGGGGTTCATTTGGTCCCCAAGGCATGCGGGCCGCAAGTTCACCACTATAGACCCTAAACCCTACACTCCCAAGCCCTGAACCCCTGAACCCCTGAAGCCCTACCCCCTAAACCCTAAACCCTACAGCCTAAATGCGACAAAACCCTGGCCCCCGGTGAGGCGCTTGCCGCCAAAGCAGCGCTTCCGGACAGGAGCCAATGGAAGCAGAACATTGGGATTTAGGAGGTTCGGGGTTTAGGGTTTAGGGTTTAGGGATTTACGGTTTATATACCCAGCGCAAGACACCCCCAGTGGTTTGGGAAAGGAAACTCTGGAAAACACGAAACAATGAAGGAGGCTGATGCCCGACCCCATCACCATCAGCAGCGCCATCATGGCCGCGGCAGAGGCAACTCTGCTTGGACATCAGAAATGGGGCGGTGATGAGGTTTTAATGTTGAGGTTGTGGAGGCTTGCTTCTACAGGGCCCTACGCCCCAACCATCCCCAGCCCTAGAAGCCCCAAACCCAAGCCTTGAAAGCCCAAGCCCCCCCCCACAGAGGCCGCTTTGGGGCTTCATGGTTTTCAGAGATGCAGCGCTGCCTCCCTCTCATCTCTCTTTTTGTTCCCTCTCTTTCTCTCTCTGTTTTTTCTCTCTCTTTCTCTCTCTCTCTCTCTTTCTCTCTCTCTCTCTCTCTCTTTCTCTCTCTTTCTCTCTCTTTCTCTCTCTTTCTCTCTCTTTATCTCTGTTTTTTCTCTCTCGCTCTCTCTCTCTCTCTCCCCCCTCTCGCCTGCAGGGGAGATTCTGGACCTCGACGCTGTGCTTTCTCCAGGACGGGGTCCCGCATCTGAAGCTTTGAGAGATGATGATTTGGGGTTTCCGGCAGGGTACCAAAAAGTAAGGCTCAAGAATTTTGAGGGTCTATGAGGGTTTACGAGAATAAGGGGACCTTCTTGGGGATCCTACTATTTGGGGGTCTAAAACGGGGATCCCCTATTCCGCTAACCCCCATATGAGGGGTCCCCGCTTCGGGAAGTGCCCATTTGTGGACAGTCTCGCGGCGCGGTGACCTTCTTGGTAGCCCAGTGGTACCCTTTACCCCCTTTTTTTTGGTTATGGGTTCCCTTATAAAATAACCAACCCAAAAAAGGGTGCCCTTATTCTGATATGGTTACCTGGGCTACCAAGTTATCGGACCCCACTGCAAGGCATGTGCTGCGCAACGCGTTAGGTCGGCTGTGGGCCGCCCCTGCCTTTGTTAACGCTGAGCTCGTAAACCCGAAGCCCGAAACCCTAAACCCTAAACCCTCGCTCTTTGGAGATGGTGCTGCAGAAACCCTAAACCCTAAACCCTAGATGGGCAGAGCTGGGGGGAGATCGGAAGCCCTGAGCAGGAGCTGCGGGATCTCCAGCTGCAAGGCACTACCATCCTCGGCAACTCGGCCATCACGGCCCTGAGCCGCAGCCGATGCTTTGTCATCGTTGGGTAACATTTTACATTTTTGAGGATACTTAAACCCATAGTTGGGTAACATTTTACATTTTTGAGGGTACTTAAAACCCAATAAGGAATAAGAAATTGAGTTGTTTATATAACATCCCAACCATGAACGAGGATGGGAGAAGGCCTGGGCCTTGTTCGCAGAGCAAGGTGCGGATCGCCTGGAGAGGAGTGGGCATGGGGGCATTGGGCATGGGGTGAGCTTAGAGCTGACTTGGTAGGATTTTAGCGAGGGGAGCTGCCTCTGAGAGTTTAGGGTTTATAGGGTATAGGGTTTAGGGTTTAGGGTTTAGGGTTTGGTGCATATCCTTGCGCGCCTGCCACATCCTTCTCTCCCCATTGATGCCATTCATTGATTTCAATGCGTTCGTTTGCCCACATGCCGAGACAGCAGCTGCCTCTTTGCGTGCTTTCCATCAGGAGCACAACGACTTATACTACACTGCTTCTCGGCCGATGGCGGTATCTCCCACGTGCTCTAAAGCCGAGTTCCCCCACCAACCCTCAACCCTCAACCCTAGACCCTAAACCCTAAACCCTGAGGCTTGGGGCCTGTGAGATGGGAAAGCAGTGGGAGCTGGCCCTGAGAGTGCTGACCTGGGCCCATCGCGACGGGCGTTGCAGAACTGTACCCAAGCTGCTTTGGGGTCCAGGGTTTAGGGTTTAGGGTTTAGAGTTCAGGGTTTAGGGTCCAGGGTTTAGGGTTTAGGGTCTAGGGTTTAGGGTCTAGGGTTTAGGCTGCTGCGTGTCCAGCGCTTGGCGGTTGCTTGAAAGCGCTCGGTAGTGCATGGAGTCTGGCTTGCCTTCAGTCCAGTGGCAAAAGGGTCTAGGACTTAGGGCTTAGGGTGTAGGGTTTAGGGTTTAGGAATGTTCAGAGCAGTATCCTGAGTAGACTCCTTGAAAGCTGGGTTGGCCATGGCTCCTCTAGCCCCTTGGTGGAGAGCCATCTAGGTGACCTTCAATGCGGCTCTGCGTGCCTGTGGGCAGTGTGCGCAGTGGCAAGTGGCGCTGCGGCTCATCAAGGACCTTTAGGGGGTTGTGTCGAATGCAGGGGAGTAGCCTCTCGGAAGCTCCACCCTGAACCCTAAACCCCAACCCTAAACCAAACCCGAAACCCTAAACCCTAAACCCCTACTCCCCTAAGTTTACTCTTCCAACTTCCATGAAGGGGGCATCTCCGTGCCGCAGCTCCTGCAAGGACATGGTTAAGGCATCCACCCCATGCGATGCCATCACGTACAACACCGCCATGGCAGCCTGTGAAAAGGCCGGCCGCTGTCTTTGCTGTCCTTTGTGGGCTCTGTGCAGGTCTGTACGGACAAGCGAGGAAAACAGATGAAAAGAGAGGAAAAGAGAGGAAAAGAGAGGACAACAGGAAGAGAGAGAGCCAAAGAGAGCGAGAGAGGCAAGTCTTGTGGGAAGGGACCAAAGAGTTAGAGAACAAGACGAGGGAGAACTTGGCAGTAGTGGAACTCAAGCTTGATCTACTAGAAACGAGTCATCCGACCGAGGCAGGACAATGGCAAGCCACTCTCGGGCTTCTGGGGATGCTGTCCTCCTCCGGAGGCACAGCGCACGCGATTGCTTGGGAGGGCCGGATGCTGGATAGGGAGACTGCCATAAGCTCCCTTCGAAGCCTCGTTAGAAATGACCACTCCGAAACTGGAGGTTTCTGACATTGGGGGTACCTTTCTTGGGGTCCTCATCATCAGGGGATCCTACTATTGGCGGGCTATGGTAGGGGTCCCGTATTGTCGTATTCATACCTCGACACCCCGATGCAAGAGACCATTCGAGGCTCCTGAGGACAGTCTTGTCATGAGTGCTATGTTTTGTAGTCTCCTCATTACTCGTATTCTTGTTAAAATGGTACTAAAAATGCAGAGCCCCGAGGCGCAGACGCCTTCTCCTACGCCACGGCCGCCCGGGCCTGCGCGGTGGCGGCCAGCTGGGAAGCCGCCCTGGCGCTGCTGGAGGAGGGAAGGAGGGCCCAGGCACGGGAGTTGTGCCTTGAGACTTTGCGCTTAAAGACACGTCAGGGGTTGGTTAGGCTTAGTTGTAGTGAAGGAGTAGGTAACCTTAAACCTTTTTGGGGTCATAGAACTCCCTTAGAATTTCAAAGGTTAACCTTTTAAATCCCCTAGGTGATAGGGCTATGTGCGAATCTCACGGTTGCATCGTGTAGAAGGCGCCTGCGGAGCTTGTTCCGTAGAACCAGGGTTGGCACAGCCCTTCATGGTTTGGGGTGTGGGTTTCATACCTTTCGGCCATTTTCGGCGCCGATCTTTGGCAGCTTGCTGTCTTGCAATCTTGTTTTTAGGTCGTCAAGGAATCCGATATAACGGGGATCTGAGGCATGCGGAGGAGGCACCGCCCACTTCTTCCGATCTCGTGGGGGTGGGGGGCGTCCAAGGCCCCCGACTAAACACTGCGCCATTGCCATTTTGTAAATTAAGCCAACAGGTCAATGACGCCCTCACCAACAGGTTAATGACGCCCTCACGGACTCCACGTGCGCATGCAGGTCTTGCGTGTGCACACACCAGGGCATACGGCCACTGCGGAACCGAGTTTCCGCGGCCTGTTCTCTGAAGTTTTCCTTGGGTTGGCGAAAGCCATGAAGGCTTAATATGGGGGTAAAAATATCAAAGCCATTAAGGTCGAATTATAAGGGGTAAATATCGAAGCCACACTTCCTGGAGGTGGAGCTGGACAGCGTGGCCCGCGGCGCCTCGCTCGAGGGCTGTTCTGGGCGCTGGGAAATGGCCGGCGCAGTCCTGACGCGGATGCGCCAGGAGCAGAGGGCTCCCAGCACATCCAGGGGTTTAGGGTTTAGGGTTTCGGGTTTAGGGTTTAGGGTTAAGGTCCAGGGAACACGGGACTGAGAGGCTTGGGGTTGCATTCGCTCAGTCCAGTGAGAGATCGTGGAAGATGCGAGGATTTGTCTGCTACAGAGTGAGAGAAGCAGGCCAACATAATGTCAAGTTGATGTCTCAGTTTGGTTTCAGGAGGCCCTGCCACCCAACGTTCGTTCCTACAGTGTCGCCCTGTTTGATGGCGCGGTGCCGTGGCGGCCTCTGGGCTTAACAGGAGGCGTTTCTTGGGAAGGGGGACTGTTGCAGTCAACAGGTTGGGAGCAGCAGCAGTGAGGACGAAGCGTATGACCCCCAATCGGTTGCACAATGGTGTACCACATGTTTTACCCCCCACAAGCCTGAGAAGCAACGCATCCTTGTGCAAGCTCCCTTGGACCAGGAAGCCTCGTACTCGGCCTAGAGAGCCCCAAGCGACGCCCAGGTTCGCTGTCAGCATCATGCGCCAGATGAGCACGGAGGCACTGCAGCCGACCTCCATCGCCAGTGACGCAGCCATGGTGGCCTGCAACAACTGCGGGCGGATGGCTGAGGCCTGGCAGCTTCTGGTGGAGTCGGCCAGCGCGCCGTGGCTGCCTACTTGCTACTGACTTTGCTTGCTTCGGTTTTTTAAAATTTAGAGCCCAGGCAGAGGCACCACGAACTTCAGCCGTAATTAGAGGCCTTTACATAGTAATGAGCCCTCTATAAAAGAAGACCCATCAGCCCTTGCAAGCCCTCAAACTTGCTCTCAGCCCCTCAACTTCTTCAGCACCCAATGGCCCTATATAAGGCCCCAGTACTTGTCGCCCCTGAGCCTTTAAACCCTCTCCACCGGAAACTGGTGCATCGGAGGATCGTTCGCCCAGTGCCTTCCTCTGGGGCTTGGCCCTGTTGGGCACATCGGAGGCAGAGGCTCGGCTCGAGCAGTATGCGTTTGTTCCTGGGCTCATACTGGTAGGATGTAGAAGGGTTGTAGGGTAGCTACAGTAGGGCTCCTTGTTCCGCGCTGTCGAGCAAAGAAGCCCGAAAGCACATACTTTCTTCCCGGAGGGGGGTTGCTTCGAAGCCCAGGAGGTGGTTCAGGAGGCCTGCGTCCGGGCCCACGCACACCTTGCCGAGCACAGCGGGCTCGGAGGAGATGAAGGGCATGAAGGCATGGGTTCCCCTGCTACCGTAACCCCTTGCTATACTGCCCCCCCAGGTTCCCCCCAGAATTAAGGTAATTAAGGTTACTTAGGGATAGATAAGCCGAAGGCATCTCCTGCAATGATCTGGCTGCGCTGTGGTCGTCGGCTTCACAGCTCGCGGCAAGCAACGAAGCGTTTCAGAGGCCCTGCACAGAAGTAGTGGTTATGAGAAGCTGCAGCACCTTTTGCAGAGAATGAAACATGTTTTTCGCACTTTGATGGCAACATAGCCAGGTGCATGGCCGACCTTTCGATCAAGCAGATGGAGTGCTTCAGCTTGGAGGAACTCGTGACGATTGCGTGGGGTGCCTGTAGCACTGTGGGCTCCCTCGAGACGCTGGCAACCGAGCTGCAATTCCTTCTTTGTCGCTGTATAAGCAAAGGGTTACATCATTATCATAAGGATGAGAATCGTATGCTCTCTGTGGCCAGAGCCTGTCCTGTCTTCATGGGGTTGGAAGGCATTATGCGTAGGCCTCGGACGTACTTGCTTTGGTTAAATGACAGGCAACTGATAAATTTGATATTGATATTGGTGATTGAACATTGGGATACTCAGATGTCCTTGCACCCCCAGACCCTATCCCTAAACCCTAGACTCGAACCACTAAACCCATGAGGTAGCGGCGCAATGGCGAGTGCTGGACATCCTGCCCAACTTGCTGGACACCAGAAGGCAAAGCTTAATGCTGACGCGGCAGGGGTTTCACGTGCTCGGTGCCCTTCGACCCGCATTGAGCCTTGTTCTTGTCTCCATGGCGCAGGAACTAACTTGATGACATCTGGGTAGCTAGTTCATCTTATTAATTAGTGAATAAGGTTCGATGTTGTGGGGCGCCCTGGGTCCGAACTTTGGGGAAGGTTGCTTGGGGGAGGCCTTAGGTCTTGCAAGCACGTCTCCTCCCTTACCAGATTAAGAACGTCAAGCTGTGGCGTGACCCAAGCAGTGCACCCAGACAGATACGATTTGGCAGCGCAATGAGGTTATGCTTGCCTCTCACCTGGCCGGCTGCCTTTTGCAGCTCTTCCTGCGACGGGTCCGACACGCTTTCGTCCGTGTCGGCCGAAGCTTGGACTCCTCGGCTGACCAGCCGAACGGGCCGAAGGCGCTGGAGGAAGCCCAGTGGGCAAGAACCAATGGCTCCTGGGCGGAGGCTTAGCTGCGGTTGTTTGGATCAAAAACGGACAGACGAAGTGAAAAGCCTAAACCCTTAATAACTTAACCCGAAACCCTAAATGAAAAGTACAAGTCCACAACAACATGGGCACACACACACACAGTTGACATCTTGCTCTGCGAATCCTCAAGACAGACCCTGTCTCCCTCCCTCCCAAAACCCAGCAAGTCGCATGGTCTTGGGGCCCAGAAACCCTAAACCCTAAACCCTAAACCATCAGAAGCCCGAAGGAACCGGGGTCGCCGGCTGTCGTCATGCGCGAAGCCGATCGGGCCGTGCTTCGGAAGCCGCCCGGCTGGGAGGTCTACGGCCAGCAGCCCGGCACCGAAGAACCCTCCTCAGTTAGGGTTTTAGGGTTTAGGGTTTAGGCTTGAGCCTGCTGGTGTTTCTCGGACTTGCATTGCATGGGCTTCTTGGATTCTGGCTAGCCTTTCAAGTTTCAGTCCAGTGGCGAAAAGGTTTCAGGGTTAGGGCGTAACTTCTAAACCCAAAGGCCTGAACTCAGAGGGTGGGTGGCAAGCAAAAACTCAAATGGTCGTGAGTTTCGGATGCCCAAAAATGAAAGCTTAGACGCCCTGAAATGGTCACGAAACCTCCAAGAAGCAGGCACACGAAGCGGCAGCTGTCCGATTTCGCCAGCCAAGAGCTCGGCGCGAGGTGCCTTTGAGTTTGGGGCTTTAATTGCCTGAACACTGAATCCGATTTGGGGCCGGGGTTTGGGGTTGGACAAAAAAGGGGCTTTCGCCGTGCAGCGCACTGTGTGTTCTTCCCAGCTGATGCTCCGAGTCTGAGTCCAAAAAGGGAAACATCCTCAGCCCTACATGAACAAACCCTGCAAGAGGCGGGAGGGCGGCTTTTGTGAGGCCTAAGTCCTAAGTTATAAAGCCCCCTAAAGCAAGAAACGCACAAGAAACACTTGAGGAGTCGAACCGCTCATTTAAAACGTGCCTCTACTGTAGGCTTGAGTATGGCATGGTGGGTTAAACCTTGGGGACCAAATGAACCCTAAAATTGGGGTCATATACCCCATATTACTATAATCCCCTATTAAGGTATATGAACCATAAACCCTTTTAGGGTTCATTTCGTCCCCAAGGAAGAAGGGACCCTTTTATGGATCCGCGCCGCAGGTCCATCTTCCACGATACGGGCCACTACCATGGCTTCCTGCATCGCTTGGATGTGCCCAGCTCTGGCTTAGTCCTTCTGGCCGCGAGCGTTTTTGCTGCCTTTAATGTTGCGATCTTCTCGGTTAGGTTGAGTGTTTAGTTTAGGGTTCAGGGATTATAGGGTTAAAGGGTTGAGGGTGTCCCAAACTCTGCTGTTCAAAGCTCCAGAAGCTACGAGATCACCAGGTTACGCGGCATACTACGATCTCCAGGTCCAGCTGCACTCGGGGCAGGTCCAGCGCGCCTACACCGTCCTTCACCATGGCTACGTGCCCGCTTCCCTGATCCAGGTGGGGGCCCAGCCCGGAAGTATCAGGAATGAGGACCTCTGGTCCCTTAAACGGGCTTCTAGGGATGATTATGGGGTTTACGGTTTACGCATCCCAATGCTAGGGTTCACTTGGTCAGTTCTGGGGGTTCACTCCTCCCAGGTGGAAGCCCGTCTGCGTTGGCACGGGGACGGGCCCACCCTCGCCGGGCGGGGAAAGCCTTCCCGGACACTTCTGGCGCTGCAGTGGTACGCGGACAGCCAGGTACGGGGGGCCTTCCGTTCAGGGGTCGTTCAGGACAGGATTGCTCAGGCAATTATCTCGCGGGCTACGTATCCTTCTTCCGCTAGAAGACCTAAACCCAGACATCAACCCTATAGCTAAGCAACTAAACCCAAACCTCTTGGTGGACGCTCATTGAGAGGAAGTAGAGGTCTGGATGCCAAAGTCCGTCTCGCCCCTCGCCATTACCTCTGAGTCCAAGAGTATTGGGCTGTTTTGTCGCAATTTTGCAACGAAAAAAAAACGGTTTCAACACGTTTCAACTACAGGCGATCTGTTGCGCAGAAGACGAATCCTAAACAACTTTTTCGCGGACTTCTCCCGAAGCCTTGCTGCAGGTCGGCGCCGTGAGCCAGACCAAGCTGGAGATCTGCACGGGCCGGAAGCATCAGACTCCTGACCTTTTTGCCTTCACGCCTTGCCAGAACATTACTCCCCTATACTTCCCGAAGACCCATTCATGGGTGACTGGCGCCTGTAAGAGGCCCAATACTTCTCGGAAAGGGGTTGAACCTTGTTGAGCCCAGCATGTGCTGAGTCCGGACACTTGGTTTTCTTCCGGCATGCTAAGGATTCGGAGCCATGCCGCCCACGTGGGCCACCCCGTAGTCCGGGATGGTACCTATGCACCTCGTTCGGACGGGTCTTCCCTGAATCTGAAACCCCAAGCCCGGCGGAAATATTTTTGCCGACGTAGATGACACGACAGTCGAACACTCAGCCAGGCACTGGTAGAAACACTTCGCCCAGAACCCCTGAAACGCAAAGGGACAAAGACCCACACCGGTGTTTCGTCGCTTTCGGGTTGGGTTTATGAGGGTAAGTCCTGTCACCGTTTTTTTTTGAAGAGCCTCCAGGGTTACGTGCGTTACCTGTGATCTCTTGGTGCGACAGTCGAACTCACAAAAACCCTGAGCTCTCTCTCAATGTTTGGAGCTCTGTGGGGGCTTCTGCCACCTAGGTTGTTGCTTGCAAGTCCGCTAAGCGGACGACAAGAACCCGAAACCCCTGAAACCCGAAGCCCTAACGAAACCCCAACTCTCTGCAAGCAATCAGTCCAAGAAGTTGGAACATCCTTATCCCCATACCCCAGAGGTAGACTAAAGGGAATCCCAGCTCGAATCATCCTGAAACCCTGCTCCAACTTTCCGGAGCTTACAGTATCATTTCTTGGGATGTCCCAAAGAGCCCACTACCCCTTAACTAAGGAATACTCCTTAGTCATTCAGGATCCGTATAGAGAGAGAGGGAGAGGATCCCTTCATTATTTTAAGGTCTATTCCTTACTGTAGAACTAGGAGGCCCAGTAGTCCCCTTATTCCCTTTTTTGGGATGTTAGGTTCCCTTATAAGCCCCTTTAAGCAAAAAGGCTACCCTTTTTAATCCTGGGTTACTGAGCATCCCTAGAGAATGAGGCAAGCCTGCACACCTTTCGGGGCGACTCGGGCCTCTGTGCCCCCCGGCTTCGGGAAGTGAGGCGTGCGTGGGTGTGCCTGGGGGGGTCTTCTTCTGATTGCAATCGCTGCTAGTGACTGCTAATGTTTATTTTTACATGAACATATAAAACATTAGCAGGTTGTTCAAGGTTGTTTGGGGCGTTGCTCTAGGATTTCAGGGCTTGGGGCTCGTGCAGTTGCTGGGTCTTAGGGAGAAGTTTTGGGTAAGCTGGGACTTGCGGTGTTGGCATGGGTACCACACAAATTGTAGACCAACTCCAACTCCCTAGCAGGTCGCTCGTCCCTTGACATTTGGCTCTGGTCTGGGTTCCGAAGGTTGGAGAGTGTTGAAAAGTTTAAGAAATTAGGTGCAGAAGGTGGGGAGTGGCTTTAACTCCTTTAAGGCGTCATTGTCCTCACTTGTTAGGACTGATGGAGGTCCCTGACTACGGAAAGCTCGCGGACACGATGCTATCCCTCCGCCCCCCCCCCCCCCCCCCCCTCCCCTTTCCATCCCCCGCCCGCCCCACGACACACCGAACATCTTCGTTGGGCTTCATGTGACAATTGAGGGACCTACCCAGACCTACCCTGAAATCCTAAACCGCCTGTTTTTTGGAGCTTCGAAGGGGTCCGAGTTGTTTGGGAGCCGAGGCCCGACATTGGCTGCACCGGCATCGCCTGGGTTTCCGGGATCACCTCGGGCGCTGCTGTGAGGCCATCGAGGCCCCCCGTGTGGAATATAATATAGTATAATATACTATAATATTCGATAATATACTATAATATACTGTAAAAATAATAATAATATAATATAGTATAATATACTGTATATTGTTATGCTGGATTAGTATATAGTATTAACGTATGTCTATGTAGGTCATGTAAATCTTCGTGTAGTATTACCTCCGGTTGAGAGAGCAAGAGTGCTGAAAAGGGCCTAGCGTCGTTGGGGCTTGCTTTGGGTCTCGAGGCTTCGGGGAATTTCAGTGCTTCGTCACACATCCATGACACGCAAACGTGGGCTTGCGCCCTTGTTGGACAGCCGTAGTGCATCCCAAGGGCACTGAGAGCCCAAACCCTAAACCTTATAAACTTATAAACCCGAAAACCGAACTCTGCAACCCTGAAGTCCGAAACGCCCCTGAAGCCTCCCTCAACCCCAAGCTTTTCCGAGGCCCTCCCTTGGGATCTGCAGGAGTCGCTGGGGCGTCTCCGAAGAGTTGCAAAGAGGGGCAAAAGACACATCCGGCTCTCCCTCTCCCCTCCTCTCCCCTCCTCTCCCCTTCTCTCCCCTCCTCTCCCCTCCTCTCCCCTCCTCTGCCCTCCTCTCCCCTCCTCTCCCTTTCTCTCTTCCTCTCGCCCTCCCTCAGTCCCTCTCTCTCGCTAGCTCTCGCTCTCTGTCACTTTCACATTCTCTCTCTCTCTCTCTCTCTCTCTCTCTCTCTCTCTCTCACTCACTTGAGAATGCAGCGTACACGAGAGCGAATTTGACAGGGAATCTTCGTAGACTGTTGCATTCGGCATAGCCTCTGTTTGCCCGTAGCAAGCTCGACTCCCCAACCCCTAAACCCTAAACCCGAAAGCCTAAACCCTAAACCCTGAAGCCTGAACCCTGAACCCTGAACCCTGAACCCTGAACCCTAAACCCGATAAACCCTAACCCTAAACCCTATACAGTACCCTGAGGCACCAGCACCGCATGGCCGGCACCGGGTCACTTTGCAGGTGCCCCCCACGCGGCCCCGCACTCCCAACGCTTCATGGCTTTGCAGTGCTTTGGGCTTGGTACTTATTAGGGGACTACCCCCGCCCCCCCCTCCATTAGGGGGTGTCATGGTTTCAACATTCGCGTTTGAGGTCTTGCAACCCGCAGTTGTGGTGATGCATTCCTTGCCCAGAGTTATGACACTACACATGGCAGCCTTTGCCCTGCTTTGCCCTCTGCATCTGGCCGGTTTAATTTAGAGTATAGATCGGGATAGGAGGCCAGGCGTTTTCATACTTCCAGGCTCAACCTATTATAGGAGTGTACGGTGCATGTTAATAGTGCTTCCCGGCCACGATCGAATTTAAGATTTCCGAAGCTTGAAGTGCGCTGCATGATTCCGTCTAAAACCCCTGGCACCCTTTAGCCCGAATCACCCTCGTCCCCTTGCATGTCCCGCTCAAGTCTTTGTTGTGTAGGCTTGGCCAGACCACTTGGTCTGCATAGGTTTGTGAGAAAGTGAGAAACCCTAAAGCCTATACCCTAAACCCTAAACCAGGAGTTGCCTCGCCCGCTTGTGCCAGTGTGAGAGTCGAAACCCTACACCCTAAACCTAACGGCGCTGCCATCTCAGTGTGCTCTGTCAGCTATCTCTCGCCGGTTCCGCGGGCTCTGAGTTTAGCAGTTTAGCTGAAGCTTCCCCGCACAATGTAGTCGCTCTTTTCAGTTTAGGATGATGGCAAACCGCTCAAGCTGCCGGGCTGGGGGCTCATTGCTCGCAGAGCCCGATTGAGGGTACGTTGTACACGATTCCTTCCATAGGGACCCTAGAATTGGGGATCATATGCCCTGTACTACTATTACCCATATTGGGGTGTATGAACCATAAACCCTTTTCGTCCCCAAGGTTAAGGGGGGGCTTCCTTAGATGCCCTTTTAAAGGCGCCTTGAGTATCTTTGTTGGGGGCTGGACATCCCTTTTCATCCCGACTAGCCCTGCAAAACCCCCCAAAAATCCCTGAACCCTAAACCCTAAACCCTTTTTGTGAAGTGATACCTAGTCGAGGACAGGAGACCACAAGGCCCTCTCGCGGCACGGGCTTAGGGGGGGGCGGCACGGGCTTAGGGGGGTGGGGGTTTAGGGGGTTGTAGGGGGATCGTCGGAGGCTCCAGGGGAGGTTTTTAGAGGGGCCAAAGGCTTAAGGCGTTGCAGACGAGCTTACCACACCCAGCCTCCCCAAGGCTCTTGCCCTAAGCCATCCAAGGGTGGCTACATGGTCCCTTCACATGGTCCCTTCCGTAGAGGTCCCGAAGTATTGGCCCTTGGGTTTTATTAGGCTTTTTTCTGGGGTAAGGGCCCATACCCAGGGACCATGTACCTACCCCAAGACTAAATCTGGGGCCCTCAGATCATCAAGGGCGAAGCTTAAAGGTGGGCAGGGTTGGGTTTGGGGACCCATCGTTTAAGATTCCCTGAAATACGAGTCTTAGTCCCTTGAGATCATGCAGGGGAAGCCCGAAACCCGAAACCCTTCGCTCCCGGCATTTCGGCCCCGGCAGCCAAAGCTGCAGCTCCCCGGGGAGGGACCGCTGAGCCATGGCCGAACCCGAGGTGGCCATGCCTTGAGTTGGCTCTTGTTTCAGGATTCCGGGTTTAGGGGGAATGCTCCCCCTTATACTGACAGTCCCTTAATAGGGATTGTAGTACCCCCTACTGGAATCCCATAGCAAGGACTGTTCGTATCTGGTTCGTATAAGGGGGCACATCCCCAAGTTTAGGGGTTTAAGGCTTGGGGTTGCTTTCTTGGGTTTGGCAGGTTTGCTGTAGCAATCGCTTGCGGAGTGCTTTTCGGCTGGGGCACAACATGTGAGAGAGCCCTGGTGCAAAAAGGCTGTTTTTTTCTTGAGATGTCTTGAGTGGCAATGGTGCATGCGTACTAGCTAGACCTCAGACCAGTGGCAAAGGTTGTTTTGCCTGAACGGCTTGTTTTTGCAGGGTCTGGGGGGGGGTTTACGATTTATGGCCCTTATGGCTTTAGTTTTTTTTGCTGTCAGGGCTTTGCGAGGGTTCACAGGATTGATAAATAGTGTTGAGTGTAGCTTATCGTTAGTGTTAGCGATTTTGTTTCCAGGTTTGCGGCTTGTTCGAAGATAGCCGGCCTTTTGTGGCATCACAAAATGCCGGGACTTTTCTATCATCGAGATGCCAGCAAAAAACCTAACTTAGCAGCCTTTGGCTGAGGGTTCCCTTCAGGCTTAGGTTCAATTCGGAGCATATCGCGGTTTCCAGCAATTGCGGGTATAGGAGGTTATAGGGATTACCAGGTTCGGGATACAACCAGCCCAGCGGGCAGATGCGAGCCAAATCTACTCCCCACCTCTTCCGTGCTGCACATACCCAGGCAAAACGGCAAAAGACCGACGGCCCCGAGGAGGAAGCGTTGGGACCCCGGAACAGAGCTGCCTTGTGTATCCTTGGGTTTACTTGGGATGCATATGGCTTGAGGGTCCGTTTATCTTCTTTTTTTGAGCCGGGGGGGGGGGGGGGGCTGTGGGGTGGGAGGAGAGTTGGGGGAAGTGGACTGGGACCTTTCAGCCCTAAAACCCTAAACACTAGGGAAGAGGCCTGGCCTCCGAGGCCTGGGGGGACCAAATGAACCCTAAAATTGGGGTCACATACCCCATACGATCACAGTTCCTATTAAGGTGTGTGAACCATAAATCCTACACGCTAAACCCCTAAACAATTCCTAGTAAGGTATATGAACCTAAACGCCAGACCCCCTAAACAATTCCCGTCAAGGTTGGGCCTGCCACTTGAGCACACAATTGGGGCCCGAGCCCGGAAACCAATCTTCACTACCTTTGGAGCCCTTTTCATACATATATCGCAATGATACAGGTATTTAGAAACATATCTATATATACACACATATGCCGGCACAGATACATATATGTTAATTTATTATTTAGAATATAGAGTATGTGTTTATTTCTTCATTAGGAGCTTACGTTTCAATTTGGCTATTGAGACTGTTGTTGCCCCCTAAGCCATTAACCCAGGTTGCCTTTTGAATTGTTTGTTTGGGCGTTCCATGCGGGGTGGCTGCGAAGGGTCAGCTAGGCGGGTGGCCAAAACAACCCAAAGCCCAAGAACCTCTAAATCCTAGATCCTTAAACGCAAGAACAAACGCAAGAACCGCTACATCCTAAATCCTGAACCCTAAACTCCCTAAACCCAAAACCCAAGAACCCCTAAATCCTAGATCCTTGACCCTAAACTCCCAAGAAGCCCTCAAGCCCAGGGCCCTTTGCATCCTGGCTCCCTATACCCGAAACCCTAAATTCCAAACCCTGAACCCCAAACCCCACACCCCAAACCCCAAACCCCAAACCCCAAACCCCAAACCCCAAACCCTAAACCCTAAAACCAAAACAGCCGAGGCCGCCGCCCGAGCTCGAAACGGATGCCAAGCCGAGCTCAGCGAAGCCGCTTCTGAGACTTCCATTGGGGAGTTTAGGGGGGTTTAGGGGGGTTTAGGGTTTAGGATTTAGGGTTTAGGGTTCAGGATTCAGGGTTTGGGGGTTTGGGGGTTTGGGGGTTTGGGGTTTAGGGCTTCGGGGGTTTGAGGGTCAACGGGGTCGGGTTCAACACGAGTGTAAAGGGTTTAAGTGTTTGGGGTTAGGGTTGTGTAGGGCTTACCCCGAACACACCCGGCCACGCGGAATATTCGTTTGACCAGAACCATGAAGTCGGAACTAAAGCCGCATATATTGTATAGCGTACAGTATCCACATAAATCAATAAATAAATAAATAAATATAAATAAATATATATATATATATATATATATATATAATCTGTACCGATGTATGTTTTATGTGCATATATATATATATATATGAACGTACATATTTGAATCATACACCCTGACCATGGTGCACACCTCAGCTCAAGCAAATTTCCGGCAGAGTCCAAGGTTGAAGAGCGATGCGGGCTTCGACCTGATCCTTTACTTCAAAGCAGGGTTCAGGGTTCAGGGTATGGAGTTTCGAGTGTAGGGTTCCAAAAGAAAGGGTTTGGGGTTTGGGATTTTATGGTTGAGTTTCTCTCTCTTTTTTTTTTTGGGGGGGGGGGGGGGGGTGGGTTCTTCCTCCGAACAATTAGCAAAGTCCAGCTCAAAAGGTCGGAATGCACGCTGAACTGTATCCCTGCCCTGGGCGGCCGGGTGCTGATGCAGCTCACGGACGGGGGTATGCAGTACCTCATCGCAGGCCAGGAGTGTGCGCATGTCAGGTTCCGAACTTCCGAAACTGCCACTTGAACCCTACACACACATAGTCATAGGAGGTTTCTACACATTTGTGGATTAATTCAAACCACCCCTTAACAAACCCAATGACAGCCCCGACCAACCACAAAGCAAAAACGGCTCCCGCGAAAAATGAAGCCTTGAACCTGCAAAGCGCGCCAGAGAACCATTATCTGCTTAAGAACCCCGCAAACATGAAAGCATGTTCTTCCTTATAAGGATACTACTTTAGGGATTGTTCTCTTTCATCTTGGGGGGTTCTTAAGCAAATAGTAGAGAACCCTGAACCCTGTAAACCCCAAAAAGCCCTACAAACCCTTTAGGCCCTAAACCCTACAAACCTCAAGCCCTAAACCCGAAACCCCAAGCCCCAAACCCCAAACCCCTAAACCCTAAACCCCAAACCCCAAGCCCCTAAACCCTAAACCCCAAACCCCAAACCCCAAACCCTAAACCCTAAACCCTAAACCCCAAGCCATGTGGGGATGTCCGCCTCCATGGAGGTGCCCGGGCCAACCTGGGCCTGAAGAAGGGCCGATATCTCTACGAGGTGAAGGTCGTGGAGTCCCTGAATCCGGGCGAAGGCACGGGTTTGGGGGTTTAGGGTTTAGGGCTTTGGGTTTAGGGCTTGGGGTTTGGGGTTTAGGGCTTGGGGCTTGGGGTTTCGCGTTTAGGGTTTAGGGCCTTGGGGTTGAGGGTTTGAGCCTCAACGTTGCTCAAAAGGGTTTGGGGTTTGGGGACTTAGGCGGGATTTCTGTGGTGGGGGTTCTTGTAATAGGGTGCTTTTAGGGAGTTAGGGAATGTAGGGGTTTCCGGTGTTGGGAGCGCGCGGTGACTAAGGAGCCCTGTAGCTGTAACTAGAATTCCCATGGAGGTAAGAGGAACCATACCGTACACTACTAGAATCCCTCGTAAGGTAGTATGAACCATAAACCCTTTTAGGGCATACCCTACACTACGTACTATAATCCCTGCTAAGGTAGTATGGACCCTAAACCCTTTAGGGTTCATTTCTCCCCAAACAAACACGTCGGGGGCTTTCCTGGCAGTACCCACCATGTTCCTTCCGTGGCTGGAGATGTTAGAGGCAGCCCCGTTCCTCCTAAAGCCTCACCCTCTTTGACCCTAAACCCTAATCCTAAACCCTAAACCCGAAACCCCTAAGTCACCAGTCCTGAAGTGTGTCAAAAAACCTTGCCCGACTGGCAAGCCCTTCTTGTGCCCAGGTCCGCAGGGATACAGAAGAGGAGCCTTCGCCAAATTAGTTCCTTCAGAGCCCAAAACCTATGAACTCTTATACTTTTCTTGTAGGGATTTCAAATGGGAACCCCAAGAGTTCATACAGGCTTTGGGTTCGTTGAGTTCTAATGATGATTCTAAGTTCGCCGCTGCGACGGATGTTTTGGACTTGAGACTAGAGCGAGTCGTGTGTACATGCGCAGGTGGAAGCAATACAGTAAGATATTAAGAAGTAGGCATACATCAATATGATCATATACTAATCTAACTTAACAATATAATAGAAATTGTAAAAAGATGGCTATATTGACCATTAGACATGCAAAAAGATACGACAATAGAATACAACAAAGTCGCAGGCTGAAGCCAGTCTTTCAGTTGAACAAGAAGCCAAAGATTCTTCTCAAGCCCCTAAATCCTAAACCCTAAACCCTAAACCCTAAACCCTGTAAATACCCTAAACCCTAAACCCTAAGGCATCCCAGGCCCCCGTAAGAGAGGCCTTGCTGTGTGTGGCAAGGAGCCGGTAGAAACGTTGTGAAGTTCGGCTTCTCTACAGAGGCGCCCCAGGGGTCAATGAATTAGGGTTTAGGCTTTAGGGGCTTTGTGTGATCCAGGAGCTCGGACGATCTCAAAAGGCTGTTGCATCAAGTTTGCTGGGGCAGCCTTCTAGAAGTATTTGTTTTCACGCAGGTCATAAACCCTAAACCCTGAAGCAAAACACCAAACCCTACCGGCAAACTGGGATGCGGTCCGACAGGAAGCCGTCAAATGTTGCCTGTGTGGGGGCCGGGGCCTATTCAAGTACGAGTAGCTTGGGTAGGTTGTATTCGCAATGTATGGGGGTTTTGAGGGGAGTAAGAAGAAGAATCTGTTGATTATGTATAGGGCTTTCCAGGTGAGGGGCATCATCCCTTTATGCGGTTTCCAAGGGGGAAAGGTTTCCAAGGGGAAAAAATCATTTAGGCTCATTTGCTGCAGCGTCCAGGGGTCCTCACTGCTACTGGGTGACACGGATGAGTCCGTCTTCTTCGACAGCGAGGCATCAGTCGGAACCTGCTTTACTCGGTGCTTGGCTTTTGGGTTTAGGGACCCTAAACCCTAAACCCTAAACTTTAAACCCTAAACCCTAACAGGTTTAGGGTATGTGCCGGGCATCAAGGAGGCCGAGATGCAAAAGGGTTTCCAGGTAAACGCCAGACAAGGTCATCACTTGTTCTCTAACTATAGTGGGTTTAGGGTTTAGGGTTTAGGGTTTGACAGAAGTCGTCCCAAGGAAAGCCCACTTACCACTACCCGCTGCAATTCGCCACTGAACGCAGCACTGTTGTTGGCTCCATCACGCGGGGCTAGACTCGGAAAACATGGAAGCTCTGCAGGGCCCTGGGAAGCCTAAGAAGCCTCCCCACTCTTAGGATGGTATTTCCCATGATAAGCTCTGATTCTTGTGGCTGTTAGTTTTTAGCAAGGGTTATTGTGATTGCATAGATTGTTGTCGGATTATCTGGACAATTCTGTTGTTTTCTGGAAGCTATGGTTGCTATGAAGGCTTTCAGGACTAGTATGATCATTTAGCCACTCGATATTATGGATGATGACTATTGTTGCCATTGCTGCATTCCCTTCCCCAGGGCTTCTTCAACGCGGAGCGCAAGCGCAGCTGGTCTTGTTGTTATAGACCCATCGGGATTTTGATGGGTTTTTGGGCTTTCCTCAGTCTGCGTGTGCCCTAAACCCCAAACCCAGAACCCCAAACCCCAAACCCTCAGCAGCAAAGGAAAAAAGAAGCCCTGAAACGGAAACGCCATCATATGTACAGCTTGGGATGTTCCCCCTTGTACTAACACTCCTGAAAAGGGATTGAAATGGGGGTACTCTAATCCCTATCAAGGACAGCTAGCATAGGGGGGAACATCCCAATGTGCAGCCATATATGATTTAGACCGACCCTCCAAGGCGAGCCCTTCGCGCAGCGTTTTGCCCTCGGACGGGACCAGACGGTGGCAGCGCAGCCCTCAGCAAATTCGCGGGCGGAAGAAGTTGAGGAGCTGAGGATGGTTTTGCGGCATCGTGGTGCCCCCCAAACCCCCCCAAACCCCCCAAACCCCCCCCCAAACTCCCCCCCCCCCTCTCCCCCCCCCCCCCCACTCTCCCCCCCCCCCCCCACTCTCCCCCCCCCCCCCCCCCCCCCCCCACTCTCCCCCCCCCCCCCCACTCTCCCCCCCCCCCGCAAAACCCCAGTTTTCTTGGAGCTCGGCTCTTAAACCCCCAGCTTCTGGTGGTTTGAACGACATGTCGGGTGTGCCACAGGGGCCTTTGTTGTCTTAGTCGTCCCTCTCTCTCAGGTCTTAGCCCCAACTTTGGCCCGTGCTGTGCCCCAGGTGCTCCTCAACCTCGATGGAGCGAGCCCCAACAAGAACACGGCCGCCAAGCAGCAAAAGCCCAGGTAGAATCAAGCCCCTTAGTTTTTTGTGAGCTGTCCTTGCACTTCTCTACTGGAAGGACCGTACCACATTCAATGCACCTGACGCATCAAGACAGAAGCCGCCCAGACCCCATCTGGGGGCTTCTCGACTTTTAGCCCCTCAAAGCCTGTCATTCCGTAGGGCCCTACAGACTTCACACGGGGACTTGACCCCTAAAGGTGGTCTCCACTCACCTTTCATGACATGGTCGGCAGTGTGGTGCTGCCTGTTGAGAGGACCTCCTCCCTGAGCCCAGTTTTTCCCAGACTTGCGGCCCAGGTATTTCCTACTTTTTGGGTCGCAGCGTTCAACCACAAGCCCCATAGACTGAAGCCGGAAGCATCCGAGAAGGAACTTACGGCCCTGCACCCAGGTGTCTCTCTTCAAAGCTGCTCGTCTTTGCAGTTCAGGGCTTGGGGGTATACAGGCAAGATTCTACGATACATGGCTGCGCAAATGGACCGCCTTATTTGTGCTCTTTGATTGAGCGTGTCGCATGTCCCGTCATGGGGGGCGGTTCCGGCATAGAGGATTACGTATTCTGCGGGTATACTGGGGGTTACGTATCCCGAAACTGCGAAATGCCCGGTTTGTGCGGCTGCATGAAGGCGCGCGGCCTCCAGAAAGGCATCCTAAAGCCTAAGCCCTATGAACCCTAAACCCTAACCCCCCCACCCGCCCACAAGCAGAAACCTGAGGACCCCCCCTCTGACCCCTCTCCCAGAGGATGCTAAACCCTAAACCCTAAACCCTAAACCCTAAAACCTAAGGATGGCCTTCGTGTCTCGCAGCCGCACAAGCTCCCAGAGGCCCTGGTGGGGAAGACCCTCTTCCCTCACGCAGCTCGATTTAGGGTTTAGGGTTTAGGGTTTAGGGTTTAGGGTTTAGGTGCTTAGATTGGTTGGTGGTCTCTTAAGAAGGGCTTTCTGTTTTGTAGGGGGTTCTTATTGGGGTATCTAAGGGCTATATTCAGGTATAGGGGTAACAGATAAAGAGACCACCGGCCTTTACAAAAATGAGCGCCGTTAGGAAGAACACACCGGTTTAGTTAAGGGTTGAGGCTTTTTCAAGGGTTTCGGGTTTGGGGTTCGGGGTGTCCTACCTTTCAGCCTACAAGGGTTATGTTTGTAACATGTAAACCCTAGACCCTAGACCCTAAACCCTAAACCCTAAACCTGGATTCGCCCCAGCTGTGCAGGAGTGAAATAAAACCCTAAACCCTAAACCCTAAACTCTAAACCTCAAACCCTGCCAGAGCCACCTCAGAACTGCAAAAGGTCATGGGGCCTCAACCAAAGCTCCCAGACCTACTTCACCTTGAACTTGGGGATACTTTTAAATAAATAAATAACAAATAAATAAACAAATAAATACACACACAGATATATATATATATATGTATTGTTTTTCTTGTGTTTTTTGTTTCTATTTGGAAAATTTATGTTTGGGTACTAGGATTTCTAAGAAACAGCTAGAATGATGGTTTTTGCTAGAGTTCCAAGTTCAGTGAAGTGAACCCTAAGCCCAAGGTCTGCTTCAAGAACATGACCTTGCACGTCAACTTCGGCTCTCCTCTCATGCTGCTGGGACAAGATGGCTACTAGTTGCTTAAGAACCCCCAAACAGTTGGGGAGCAATTCCCCCTCCATTCCCCTTATAAGGAAGAATCGTTTATGTTTTTGGGGGGTTTCAATTGCTGTGGCGGACTGGAACTTCGAAGCAAAGCTCAACCAGCCCTCGGAAATCCTCGATGCTTAACACTGGCAGGCAGCCCCTAACCCTGTCCTTCTATCTTTTTCTTTCATTATTCTTCTTCTGTTATCAAGATTAGTATGTTATTGTCTTATTAAACTATGAGCCTTAACCCCTAGCTCTAAACCCTAAACCCTAACCCCTTTGAAGCCACACACCTGGAGCAAGGCCGCTGCCCTTCAAGTGCTTGGGCGCCGCAGAGGCACCGAATGCGGACGCCGTGGCGGCCAAGCCGCAGGTCGGCCGCCGTAGGGTTTAGGGTTTAGGGTTTAGGGTTTTGGGTTTAGGGTTTAGGGTTTAGGGTTTAGGGTTTAGGGTTTAGGGTGCTAACGGCCTAAGAAAAGGGTTGAGGGTTGGGATGTTTCCCGACTTCTCGCATACACTAGCATCGCTTTGGGGACCAAATGAGCTCGAAGATTGGGGTCTATATACCCTGTACCACAATGAATTCCTATTCAGGTATACGGGTTCGTTCGGTCCCCAAGGATGTGATTGCAGGCATGTGTCTCAAGAACAGCCCTTCAAAAAAGAACCCAAAAGATCCTGAGCCATATTTTCGAGATTCCCAGTCCACAGCTTCTCTTGTTCGAAGTAGGCAGATGAGGCAGACTGCTCCGGATGCTATTTGATTTCGTACGGCCACTGAAAAGCTGCCTTTTGCAGCCCCTTTGGACCTCCATCGCCGTGAGGATGGCAAGTACGAGGTGCTTTTCCCGATCGCGGTGCCTGACGAAGGCGCGCTTGAGGTTCGGGACTGGGCTGGAGGTGCTGCACAGGTAAGGGCAACGTGAACCTCCCCTTAGGAAAGGAATAAGAAGGCAAGCACTAGGCATGTAAGAGGTTGTTTCCATCGCATGGTGATTGCGCTGTAGGAGGTCACGACACCTGCGCCATTTCTGTTCGGCAGTATTTGGGCCTGGAAGACATTAGCAACCTAATGTCTGGCAGTCGTGTGCAGCTGAGGTACATTTGACTGGCTAGATGACTTCCTGTCCAAGAACCCCAAATTTGTAGAGCCTCGTGGCTGCCGCCAGGGGAGGTGTGCGCAATCAAGGATGCTAGCAGCACGCTTCAGAACCTCTTCGTATCCACCCGACCAAAACGGGCCAGTTGCCAATTGTCGGTAGCCTGTGCATTAGGCCATTAGGCTGCCACCCAGTCTCCGGAAATTAGACGATGGAAGGTGTTTCAGATACATCTTTCCCGCACTGGCCACCCTCGGAGCTTCTTGAAGTCCCTTAGAAAGTTCTGCAACCTAGGCTGTCCGACCGCGCCATTTTGAAGTGGGCCGAGAAGAGCGGCAGCCAGGCTAATCACTAGCCGCCTTGGGACGCAAGACGAGGCTTCAGCTTACGCAGATGAGGTGGTGGGCGTAGAGCCCTAAACCCCGAAACCCTAAGACGGTTCAGTGCCAATCAATGAAATGATGGGGCCAAGCTGATGGAGTTGTGATGCATGATTGAGCAGAGGAAAGGCGAAGGAGCGAGAACGAGAGACATGTCCCTCAGCACCCCTACATCTCCCGCTCCCCTAAGCCCTAAGCCCCTGAGCGATCAAACCTGCAAGGCATGGGTGGAAGAACTGTCTTCAGCCTTAAGAGCCCTAGCCTGCCCGAGATCAAGGATCCGCGCCTAGGTTTCAAGGATCCCTCCCCCCCAAAAGTAAGAGATCCGACCATGTCCTTTCGTCGTTGCGGCTCATCCTTGAGGCTTTCAATGTGGCGAGGGAAGCTCATGGAAGCAGCCCGGACGCCTTTCAGAGTTGATCTGCACATAGGGCTGCATCTCAAGTGCCACCTTCCGTCTACGCGAGAGATCTATGCCCACGTTGGCTGGCAGTGCGTTGTGAGCGTGCCCCTGCGCACTCGGCAGCCCTCTCCCCCTCCATGCAAGGCACTGCAACGACAAGCCTGACGTGCAGCACCTTCGTTTGCAGAAGTTGCAGGGGCGCAGATTGAACGGGCCGAAGGTCTCCATTATCTCCATCTACTTTGCATATACATATGTATATGATATAAATGTAATATACATCTATATATATATATATGTATATGTATATGTATATATATATATACATACACACACATACACACACACACACATATATATATATATATATATATATATATGTATACATATGTAAATTAAATGCGGCTACCACCTTGCACAGGTTCCGCGTGCCATACTTGGACGACTTCTCTGCCCGGCGGGTGATTCAGGCGGCCGTGGCTTGTGGAGTTCCATGCTCCCGACGCGATAGGTTTAGGATTTAGGGTTTAGGGTTTAGGGTTTAGGGAAGGAAAACATGTCTTGTCCTGTTTCCTGAGGTTGAGCAATAGCCCGCTCTGTAAACCTGAGCCACTTGCCTGACCTCTGTTTCAAACCCTGTAAACCCTAAACACTAAACCCTAAACCCTTCCACCCCTCACGCTCTCCATGCAGGCGGTGGCCCCCATGCAGCCCAGGAACTATGTCGTCCGCCGCCTCAGTGCAACCCACGCCCTTGGGGTGAAGCCCGACATTGAAGAGAATCATCCTCCTTATAAGGGCAATATAGGGATTATGATTTCATATTCTTTTGGGGTTAGTAAGCAAAGACCAGCGGTTCCCCTTCATGGGTCCTTTTTTGAGCTTCCAGAAGGGGATAGGAGGTACAGTGGCAAGTCAAGAGTCAAGTCACCGATGTGCTAACAGCCCATGCTTCAGGGTTTGAACACCTATGAACACCTCTTGAGGTTCTCTGTGAATCCGGGCTTCTAGGCGGTCTGGGTCTGAAAAAGGAGAAGGGGGAGAGTGAGAGTCGTACGAGGTCATGGAGGTGAAAGGGAACCTCATCAAAGAGGACAGCGCCATGAGAGAACGTCCCTCCCCCCTCCCCCCCCTCCCTACAAGGGGTTTTGGGGGAGGTGGGGCTTCCATGTGTGTAATTTAACTTGGATACTTTGGATATGTTTGAGCCAAAGATGTGCCCCCCAACAGGTTCGTTTTTTCTTTTGTTTTGAACTGGTGAGGTCCTTAGGAGCTGTATGACCACGATGGTGATGGTGATGATGATGATAATGATGATGTTGCTGCCTTATTTTGTGCTCAAAGTATAGCCTCTTACTCCTGCACTCAGGCATTCTATCGCACTTCGATTTTGCTGAAGTAGGTCAAGGGATGGTTTTGGGGGGTTTAGCCCGTTGCCAAAAGGGGTCTCGCATGCCCTCTATGATGAGAGTAGGAGCGCGATGCTTGGCTTGGCCACCTCGTTTGCACTGTTGAATGTATAATGAAATCGTGCCCGATGATTGGCATGAACGTAACGTCGGTGACAAGTCATGAGTATCTGTGAATGCTGTCCGGGCAGATAAGACATAAATCCCTAAGCCCTCAAATATATGGTCTTCCCTTATGGTCCCTATATAATTGTACTTAGATATCCCCTCCAAACCCCATTATAAAGATTCAGGCCCCAAAAATAGGGTCATAAAACGTTCCCTAACCACATAAACCCTAAGCCATTCAACAAAACAACCACAAAGGTGTCAGGGTCAACCCTAAACCTCAAACCCCTACACCCCTACACCCTCCTTATGCCAGAGGAGCGGGAGCAGCTCCTGAAGCGCTTCGCAGACAGCTGCTACAAGACAGTTGCCCAGGCGCCTGGCTTCATTTGTTTAGGGTTTAGGGTTTAGGGTTTAGGCTTTAGGGTTTAGGGTTTAGGGATATTATAATGTATCATAAGAGGGCAGGTTGGTTTGGGCAGAGTTTAGGGAATAGGAGCTGTGCTTAGAGTTCAGGGTACTCCGTGGACCTCGTTGGCCTGAACTTTTTTTTGTTTTTGTTTTTTTTGGGGTGTGCTGGCCAGGCCGAGTGGTTGAAGACAGAATCCTCGTTGTTCCTTAACGGGGCGTGTCAAAATATGTACAGATGCAATGATGCATGCATGCATGCATGCGTGCATAAATATTGTAACTTTGAGCTGCTACTGGGCCAGGCGACAATATACACCCATGGGTCCAGATGTCAACTAAGTCTTGTTATTGTTCTTATTGTTGTTATATATATATATATATATTTATATATTTATTTTTTTCGATATAGATATCGATATAGATATAGATATGGAGATATAGATATGTATATATATGCACATACATACATACATACATACATATACATTAGTCTCTCTTTCTATATATGTGTTAATCAGATACTCTTCGGAATGGGAAGACTGTATCATTAGGAGTAACGTTCGCCACGTTGCTGCGCTCTGCTCGTCTGGGAGGTGGTCATGGGAGAGCCCCCTGCCGAATTCAAGGAGAAGGCCCGCCCCAAGAGCAAGAATTGTGGGAGTTTTCAGGGTTTATATAGGGTTTATATAGGGTTTATACAGGGTTGATATAGGGTTTATATAGGGTTTATATAGGGTTTTGGGGTGTTTAGGGTTTGTATAGGGTTTGGCAATTTTGGGGTTGCCTGAAAACCTCAGCTCATGGTGGAAACGGCTTATGGCGGTTTAGGCTGTTTAGGGCTTCACAGGGCTCTTGGTCCTTATGGACCGGGTCGAATCCTTGCCTCCTCATGCCGGCGGTCGGAAAAACTGAGAAGGTGCACAAGGAGCTGCTGGCGGAGAAGCAGGAGAAAGTCACTCAGGAGTGGAAGAAGCGAAAGGCGGAAAGAGAGCAGGACCTTTCTTGGGGCGCGGGGCGGGGGGGCGGTCGAGAGAAAAGTTACGGCCAGCGGTTCAGGGGGTTAGGGTTTTGGGTGGGGAGCTTCAGTTATCAAGATGCCGGGTTTCTGGGTGCCATTCTCCAGCCCTGTGTTCCAGCACGTGCTTCGCTTTCAATCAAGTCACAAACAAATTCGGGTATAGCAAGGCCGAAGGATTTGGGAGTTCTCCCGGGGTGCCAAAAAGAGGAGTTCAGTGGGAAGAGCAGAAAGGGTTTACGGGTGTAGGTTGGGATGTTCCCCCTTATGCCTATTCTGATCCCTATGAAAGACTGTTAGCATAAGGGGGAACATCCCAATGTATAGGTTGTGACTTCTAGAAGCCTCGTGGAGAGGGCCGTGCCAGCTTCGTCAGGAAAGGATCGCCAAACGGCGCCAGAAGGAGCTTGAGGAGGTGCCGGGCCAACATTGGAGTCGAGATTATTTCTAAAAGTATTCCCTTACTACTACTTGCTTACGAACCCTGAAAAAATATTCTTCCTTACTGAGGGTAGTATGGGGATTATCATTTTTCTTTTGGGGTTCTTAAGCAAATAGTAGCTTATGGTCCCTTTATATGTCGACTATAATCACCCCCCCCCCCCCCAATTACCCTCTTCTGATGATGAAGGCCCCGTATATTACACGTCTCTAAGCCCCATACACCTGAGTTTTTGCATGAGTCGCAGCGCATGGCGAATACCGTACTTACACATCCAGATGGGGAGTTCTCTACATTGTGCTCCGAGAAGCGTTGCCCTCCAAATAAGGCTCCGAGGCACAATCGAAACTCTCAGAAGGGGGAAACCTGGCCCCCCCCTCGTGCGAGTGTGAGAGTCGCCCACTGCTTAGTTCTACTGTTTAGTGTGACTCGGTGTTTTAGTTTATTCTGTGTCCCCTCGTCTTCTCCCATGGTCGCATTGTAGTGCGACTGTAAGTGCGAATCATCTGCGTGACTTTTTAGATTTTTCTCCCGGGCATCTCTGATCAGCTAAGCAGGTGGCGCAAAGAAAAGAAGTCAGCCCCTAAACCCTAAACCCTGAAGACCCCTATTTCAGCCCTACACCTGAAATCCCAAACCCCGTCAACCCACATCATCGAGCCTAAACCCTAATAACTAATATTACACCCCAAACCCCGTAAACCCACATCATCGAGCCTACACCCTAATATTAAGCCCCCAATCCCTTTAAGCCCCAAATCAGCGAGTTTGGGCCCCTCGAGATCAGGCCAAGAAGCGTGCAGAGGAAGAAGCAAAGAAGCGGCTTGAGGCCATACATTTCGTGTAAGGGAACCCTCGGGCTTAGAGTTTAGGGTATAGGATTTAGGGCCATTTAGGGTTCAGGAGCCAGCAGTTTCCCCTCTCAAGTGGGACCATGGCAATGGTGTGAGTTGGGGGTAGCATCCCGAGGTCTATCTTCGTCTCAGAGCAGCCTGAGACTTCGTTGTGTTCCAAACTTGTAGCTTATAGGATCAGATGCTCTGAGGAGATCGAGCGCGCAAGCGCCGCCGCTGCTGCGGCAGCCGCCGCCGCAGCTGCTGTGGAGCGGGGGGGGGGGGGGGCAGAGACGGCGGGGGGAGCCGTAGCATAGGGAGGCAGCCAGCCTGTTTTTAGAGGTTCCTGGCAGGTTGTAGAGTGTAGAGGTTCCTACAGGTTGTAGAAGACCTTGCAACCGGTGCCAGCGTCCGAAGTTCTTCCGAAGGAGGCTGCAGCTGCCGCAGCAGCCGAGGCAGGCGAGACGGAAATCAAGCAGGCTCCCGAGAAGCATCCGAGCACTGGTAAGTATACTCCTACAAGGCTTGCTACATGGGGGGTCACGAACATAGGGGCCCCTAATATAGTCCCCGAATAGTAGGCCTTTTTTTATAAGACGGATCCCAGTAAGGCACCCCTAATTTCGGAAACCCCCCACATTGGGCTTATGCAGGCTGGGCCCCTCTAGAAGTATGTACTTGATTTCTTGCATCGACACAGCAACAGGTTCCGCACATGCTGACCGCCCGAAGCCTTCACCTGCAAAAGTGCGAAACCCCTTGCTTTCAGGAGAACGCTGCAGGTGGTGACGTGAAAATGGAGCCGCCCCTCGCCTGTGTCAGCTTGAGATGGTTTGAGGGCACAGAGGAGACATGGCATTCGTAGCCCCAACGCGTGAGATCTCGTGAGCCTGTGACAGGACACAGAGTGAGCCATAACAGACCGCCGAAATACCCCACACATGGGGGTTTACGAAAATAGGGGACCCCCAATATAGACCCCAAATAGTAGGATTCCCCTTTTAATAAGGACCCCGAATATCGTAAGCCCTCATATCGTGCCCCCCGAAGTGAAACTTCGCCAGGGCGGAGGCTGGCATGCCGGAAGGTGCACAAGAGACCAAGGCAGAACTGAGGGGTTTTCGAATTTGGGGGATGATAAGGGCATCCTACTATATTTGGGGGTCTCTTTGAGGGGTCCCCCTATGTTCGTAAACCCCAAGTGAAGGGGCCAAGGGGGGGCCTGGAGTGGTGAGGGCGGACTCGGCTTGCTCCTGGTGTGGCGCCTTCGGGTTTACAGGGAACCCTAAACCCTAAACCCTAAACCCTAAACCCTAAACCCTAAACCCTAAACCCTAAACCCTAAACCCTAAACCCTAAACCCTAAACCCTAAACCCTAAACCCTAAACCCTAAACCCTAAACCCTAAACCCTAAACCCCAAAAAAAACCCTAAACCCTAACCCTAACCCTAAACCCTAAACCCTAAACCCTAAACCCTAAACCCTAACCCTAAACCCTAAACCCTAAACCCTAAACCCTAAACCCTAAACCCTAAACCCTAAACCATACCCTATACCCTATACCCTATAAACCCTAAACCCTAAACCTGGTCAATTAAGACTCCCAACTACGCGACGTGCACAATGCCAAGTCAGGGTTCACATGCCCTCATGTAGGGATGCCTCCGGGACCAAAGGAACCCTACGAAGTGTTAGGAACTAATGTAGTAGTACATGACCCAGTTTTGCTGTTCATATGGTTCCCAAGAATCATATACCCTCATGTAGGGATGAGAGCAGCATGGGGTATCTGATCCAAGGTGACGGGTTGTTTTGGTTTCTGAGGAAGGTGTGTACAAATAGGGAACTCGTTCCTTTCTGGGGCGGGCGGACAACGACATACTCAGGGTTTTGCGGTACGTGTCGCGCGCCCTGGGCCTGCGAGGACGAGCCCATGGCGGCGAAGACCGAGGTGAAAGAGGAGGTGAAGACCGAGGTGAAGGCTGAGGAGGTGAAGGAGGAGGTCAAACAGGAGGTCGAGGTGAAGGCGGCACACGAAGTCGTGCGGAGTTGCCACGTACGTACGCCATTCGTAGACAATCTTCACATGGGCTGCTCAGGAAGAACCCAAGCCGGAGGAAGAACCCGAGGACGCAATACAGCAATCTGCTGTTAGCATCTGGAAGCACCTGGTACCCTGCCCTACAGCCATGTTTCTGCAGCTTATTGTGTGGTTGGGAGGAGCCGGACGAGCCATGCCCTGTCGCCGAGCTCGACGACGCAGACAAGGCCCTCCTCTCAGCGTTAAGAAGGGTGGCGTCGAAACTAGGGGCGACCTCTTTGCAGGACAAGGGCCCACCTTCGGATAAACCCTACGAAGATGTTTCGCTTGGAGCATGAGTTGCTACAGTTACCGTTAAAGTCATGTTGGCCATCCCCTTGTTCTATGCACTATAATAATGACTGGAGTACACATGAAGGGGGGGAGGGGATTCTCCAAAAAAATCGGCGTGAACATTGGGGGGGTTGGACCAGGCCACCTGGTTCAAGAAGAAGGCCGTGTGCCTTGGCTGCATGGCGCCCCACGGGCTTAAGCCCACACCCTGGAGGGTTTAGGGGTTGATGGGGGTTGTATCCTTAAAACCCAAACCCCAAACCCGAAGCCCTAAACCCTTGCAGTGCTCGTTGGAGTGGGCCTGAAGTTCAAGCAGTTTTGAGCGGGTAGGCTTGGATATTGCTTGTAAATGTGAGGAGTACGTATGGTTGAGTTGATGAGTCTCCGGGACCAGCGAACTTGGCCCAAGTGTTTCAAGTTGTCTCATTCATCCCCGAAATTGTTACCCTGCAGTGCTGGTGGTCTGCTTGGCGGGCGGCATCAAAACGTTAAGGCTTTCTTTGGCTTATGGACCCTAAACCCTAAACCTTAAAGGCAGGTGGCAACAAAAACCGGTTGACGGGGTTTAGGTCTGAAGACCCCGCAAGGACCGACCTGACTGCCTGGACGTTCGGAGGTCGGAGCGAGTGTCCAGGGATCCGAAGTTCAAGAACGGGGTTTCGGGTTCAGGCTTTAGCTGGTTTCAATTACACCGGGCGTTGATGTAATTTAGGGTTTGGGGTTCAGGGTTCAGGGTTAGGGTGTCGAAGGTGTTTTCTTCTGACCCTGTTACCCTCTGGTAGCTTCCCAATGAAGCCCCGAATGGGGGGCCCCACAACAAGCTTGCCTTGGGGATTCAGCATCAGGACCCTTGAGCCTTGAGGTGCTTTACGTTGAGAGGCCAAAACCGAGTACAGGGCTTAGGGTTTAGGGTTTGGGGTTTAGGGTTTGGGGTTTAGGGTTTGGGGTTTAGGGTTTAGGGTTTAGGGTTTAGGGTCCCCCTGCGGAGGCGCCTTCGCCAAGTTTAGCATCCCGGAGAAGGAAGAGGCCCCACCGGCGACAATGCGAGTAGCACAGCAGAATAATTGAATAATTACTACTAGTATTCCCTTCTAGTCCCTTTATCAATATACTAGAAGAACCCCCCCAAAACCCGGTTCGAATTACTAGGGCACGTATTTTCGTACAGGGTACCGACAGTGCCAGCTTCTTTCACATGCTGAAAGGAAGTAGGAACACCATGTCTGCCTGCAATCTGTGCCTGTACATCACTAAGATAGCTCACGGCCCCCCTAAACCCTAAACCCTAAACCCTAAACCCTAAACCCTAAACCCTAAACCCTAAACCCTAAACCCTAAACCCTTGCTATGTCTCAGACAGCCCTTGCTTTTTGCGGTCGAGGGCTTCAGCGACATCCGCTACAGCTGGGCACCGGAGCCAGCTGCCAAAGAGTATCTCTCGCCCCTGGGCTGTTTAGGGTTTTGGGTTTTGGGTTTTGGGCTTGTGTCACTGCCTTGGGGACCAAAGGAGCCCCAAAAGGGTTTGCGGCTCACATACCTTAACAGGAATTACATTAGTACAGGGTATATGACCGCAATTTTGGGATTGATTTGGTCCCCGAGGCGAGCAGTCTTCTGCAGAATCCTTTTTGAGGGTTGGGGCGGTGCACCTTCAAGTCTTCTTTCAACTTGCGGGCGGACAAGGGCCGGTGCGGGAAGTACCTTAGAGGCTACTCAGATATATCGTGATGGTATAGGTATACATATGGGGGTTATATAGGGGAATAAGATTAAGGGCCCCTTCTAGGGGTCCCTCCTGATACCCTTACGTAAGTGATGCTCCTGTGCCTGCGCGCGACCCCGCGATCAGTCGCGAAGCCTTGGCAAGCTCTTTGAACATGGACAAGCGGCCATGCCTGACGCAGTCTAGGGTCCAGGGTCCTGCGGAGTTGCGTGATTTTGCCCCGTCGCATCCGAGGAAATTCCTCCGCAAGTGTCCCTTGGCTGGGCCGAGACGTTTTGAGGTTCAAGTTAGTTAAGTTCCGCACTCGTCAGAAAACAAGATAAGAACACTATCTTTGGTACTGCATGAGGCCTCAATATCTTGCCCAGCACCCCAGCGAGCATCCATCACATTCCTTGAACCCCTACCCTAAGGCGCTTAACCCCAATTCTGAGAAACCAAGGCAAGATCACCACCAAGATCGAAGACCTTACGCCTGGCGAGTGGCACCCCTTCTCGATTTAGAAGTTCATAGGGTTTGGGGTTAAACGGGCATTAAGGTTCAGAGAGCACTCCTGGTTGAAAAATCGTTAAGGGTTTAGGGGTGTAGGGCCGTTCCCTTGCATAGCACGGGTTATCACGGGTTCAAAAAAAGGGGCCGTTCCCGGCGATGCAGAAAAGGATCCTAAACCCTAAACCTAAACCCTAATAAACCCTAAACCCTAAACCGCCAGGAACTCTGGTGCATGCAGGCTTAAGGGTGAGGGCTTAGCGGCTGACGGCTTCGCGATTGCAGCTCCTGCTCGAAAGAAATGCTTCGGACACGTTTTTGGGGTTTGGGGTTTAGGGTTTAGGGTTTCGGATACAGCTCTTCTGCTTGGGTGGGGAGGCGCCATGAGGCCATGAAGCAAGCTGAAAGACTGCAACAAATTTCGGGTGCGGGCCGCCCGAAACCCTAAACCCTGAATGGCAGGTCTCGGTCCGATGCTTGGTTTTAGGGGAAACAGGGGCTACCTTTCGTGCCCAAAGGCTACCTTCTTTGTAGGTTACTATTGTAAAAATCCTTGAGAGGATTCGTAGGTGACCTGCAAAGAAGTAGGTTTTGGGTTCTTACGGTAGGGTTTTAGGGGAGCCTAGAAGACATGGCCTTGAAATTGGAGTCCAATCTGGGGCCCAAAAAGGATCCCACCTTGGGTGAAGGGAAACGCGTGGCCCTCTAAAAGTCAGGTTCAAGATCCCTAAACGTCAGGTTCAAGACCAAGCTCACCGAGTGGCAGGGCATCTTCGAAAACTGGAAGGCCAAGCAGAGGGAGCTTCTTGGCCCGTTTTCTAGGGCCTAGGGTGGAGGGTTTAAGATATCCTTGCATATGATTCCCCATGATTCGTCTAGGGTTTCGGGTTTAGGGTCATAGGCCCGAAGCGCTTTCGGAGTGCAAAGCGCCCGCGAGCGCCCTCGTCCGCGCACGTTGAGGTTTCAGATGCGGCCGCCGCCCCCTCCGCCGTCCGATCCACCGGCAGAGGCCACCTACGGAAGTATGGGGTTTGGGGGCCGCAAGGGTTGAGGTCTAAATGTCAAATGACCTTAGAATGTCTTTTTTCCTGATATATATATATATACAAAACGGGGGACTGTGGGCGTGCACTTTCTCTGCCTTTTGTCGCTGTTTAAGAACCAAAAATCCCCAGTAGCAACAATATTTCTAGACTCTCCAGTCCCACGGATAACAAAAAACCTCAAAAAAAACAAACACTATTTCGGGACTCTCCACCAAAACCGTACGGAAAATCGTACGGAAAACCAAAAAAACCAAAAAAACCAAAAAAAACAAAAGAACCAAAAAAACCAAAAGAACCAAAAAAACCAATATTTCAGGACTCTTCCAGCAGATGGCCTAATTTCAAAGAGTCCCTGAAAATTGGTTTTTTTGGTTTTTTTGGTTCTTTTGGTTTTTTTGGTTCTTTTGGTTTTTTTGGTTTTTTGGTTTTCCGTACAGATTTGGAGAGTCCTGAAATATTGTTTTTTTTGTTTTCCGTGAGAATTTTGTGGAGAATCCTGAAATATATCTATTTGGCTATTATGTTCTTTTTGCGAATTTTGGCTTTTCGTGTAGTTTTTTTTGTGTTTTTGTGCGTTTGTGGTTTTTTCGTGCTTTTCCGTACTGCCTTTCCTTCCTGAGACCCCCCTTTCCCTCTAAGAAAATTGTGCTTTTCTACGCGTTTCTATGCAAATTGTACTTTTCTAGGCATCGTATATAAAGAGTACTGTAATTAATGGGTACATGAATAGGTTAGTTTCATATTCAAGTGGCATGTAAAGAGCGTTTGAGCATTGGTTCTGCCACCAAACCCCACATTCCCATGCTCAGTGCTATAGCCTTTACTGGGTGGATGATATGGTTCTTGGAAATTTGTGCTTTTCAAGGCTTTTCTATGTAAATTGTACTTGTCTAAGCAAATAGTATATACATGGTATTTCATTAGTACGTAATTGAATTTGTTTTCTGTAGTCCAGTACCATTTACTGAGCATTATGTCATATTCTGTGTATAATCAATAAATCTTGTACTCACCCAATAGTTGAATATTCACTGACTGCTAGATTGGTAGAATCAGCATGTAATGAGTATTGCATGGTTGGGCTATATTTTGCCGAGTAGAAGCAACATTTGTCTGGAAGCAGGTTTGTTGCCTAGAGTTGTTTGCTTAAACAGTTGCTTTATTTCTCTAGAGAGACTTTAAAACCCCCAAATCCAAACTTCACCAGAAGTTCCCCTGAAAAGCTTGCATTTCGGGATGTTTTTTGCGTTTGTGAATTTACTTGTGCTGTGACCTTTGTGAGGCAACAACCACTTTACTATGAGAATTGTGCATTTTAAAGCCTGTCTCTTTTTAGGCATCGCGCATCAGTAGTCTTTAACTAGTACTTCAGTAGCATTGGTTGCATTACTACGAAACTCAAGCCGCTTCTATTTCAATTAGTGTCTAGTGCGTACTTTACTTGTACAAAAAACAGTCTTTAAAATTGAATTCATTTAGTCAATAGTCAGCTATATACTAAGTGCTGCAGTAGTTAAACTCGCATAGGGCGAATGTTTTGTACAAAATACATTGAATTTTTCATTCATGCGCAACAACAAAGTACTTCAGTGGACTTTCCGTATGGTATTTGATTAATACTTTGCCTTGCGAACCTACAATATCCAATAAAACAAAATTCTTTGCCCTTCGTGCCAAGATAAATTAACACATACAAACTACAAAGCCAGCATTGCCCTGTCAAGATTCAAAACATAGAGTAGCCCCAATGCTGGCTTATCGGAGCCTGTGAGGTGGGTGTCCCAATTGTCCCAATAGCTGTCCTTCATTTCCCGGTGCTCAAATATGCGATTTTAGGATTCGTTCTTCTGACTATACTGAGAAAAGCTGAAGCAAGGGTAGGTCGTTGGGAGGGGGGACCGACACCGTTCCCACAGGACGATCGCACTTGATGGGTCGTCTCTTGTCCCTTGAGTTTTTGACCTGCTACTTGACCAACAGCCTCATCGAAAGTGAGTTCTCCGTCTTGTCCTCCTAGTTCACGAACTGAGCCAGGTATAGACTCACCTGGATATCTTGCCATAGCCCAAAACACTGGGATACTCACTTGATCTGAAAAGCTGTTTCGATGTGATCAAGGCCTGGCATGAAGCGTAGTAGCACTTCATTCATAGCATGTTCTCACATAAATAACGAAAAGGCAATTTCATAATTAAGATAAGAGAGATCACCACCTGAAGATTGAACGATAGTTCTCAAGTACGAGAGAGTAAAAAAACAGAAAAAAGTGCACGCCCACAGTCCCCCGGACTCCAAAACTATATATATATATATATACTTATTTATATTTAAATATACATAAGCAGGTAGACATCTATTCAAATTCATTACGTACGTAGACAAGGGGTACAACGCTCGTCTTGCGACAGCGAGTTGCCCATTGGCATCGCCCGGGCACGCGTCGCATCAAGCCCTGCCCTTGTGAGCCCCGAGTTGGGCTGTTGGTTTAGGGTTTAGGGTTTAGGGTTTAGGGTTTAGGGTTTAGGGTTTAGGGTTTAGGGTTTAGGGTTCAGGGTTTAGGGTTTAGGCATCCTGTTATGGTAATATGAACCATACCCTCTACTACTAGACTTCTTATTTCATTGGGCCATAAGCCCCTTTAGGATCTTTTGGGATTCATGTGGTCCCCAAGGTGTCGTACCCGATCACCCACCTTCATGTACACCGCTCCACTGCAGTTGTTACCTGCATGGGCCATTATACCCTATAACCCCTTACAAAGGCCCTTCATAGGGTTGGTGTTAGGGGGATTGTAAGACCCAATAGCCCATGCTGGTAGTGGCTCTTCAAGCCCTGGTGGTCTCAGGCCGCGCCCGCCGCGCCGGCCCCGCCGGCGCCGGAAGCAACTGAGGCTCCGGCAGAGGCGTTTCTGGGCGGAATGGCAACCACAGCCTTGAAGTGCAACTCACAAGCTCTATGCCTTGGGACGTTCCCCCTTGTGCTAACAGTCCTTAATAGGCATTATCGCAGGGGGTACTATACTCCCTCCCTATTAAGGATTGTTAGCATAAGGGGAAAGATCCCAATCCATGCCACTAAGCCTGCCTTGCACAGAATGGAGGCAAGGAGGTAAGGCTCAATAGGTAAGACGATCTTTTCCGATGTTGGGCCAGCCTTAAATCTACAATGGGTACCCCAAAACCTCAGAAAAAAACAAAAGCTGCCCACAAGAGCCCGATTCTAAATTGTAGAACGGCATAGAACGGCCGAGTCGGTAGTCTGATTGGAATCTCTTCCCCACAACGACAGGAACCCTAAAATCAGGATGGCATTTCCGAGTTATCTTCCCATCAGTCCCAATTAGTTTCAATGAACATCTATATATATGGACCATGGTCCATCAGCCCTCCGTCCATGCTGCATGCTGAGGACGCCTGCCGCAGTGGAGGGTGGTGGCGAGGCCCAGATCAAGCTCCGTGTGCATGTCCTGTCATGTTGGTGACTTCTGGTTGCGTTGTGGTGCTCTGGGCCATATGATGACGGTTTGGGGCTCTTCTTAAGGCACAGCCTACCAGGTCTTACCAGGCAGGGAGAGAGAGAGAGTGAAAAAAAAGAGAGAGATCAGTTGGGTGGTGACTGACTCGGTGGACGCACGCCTTGGGGCCCCCGGTGCCCCTTCGAGGGGTTCGGTGCCCCGGAAGTGAGGGAGGGAGAGGGGGAGAGAAAAGCGCAGAAGAAGAACACGAGGAGGAAAAAAGCAGAGAGCATCGGGGTGAGGGGCATTTTGTTTCCGGGGTTACGGGGAGTGGGAACTGTCGCACGCTAGGCCCTCAGCATGTAGTTTCACGATGAGACCGGACTCGGGCGTGCACTCGCGCGAGGGGTCCTTTTGGGAGACCTCACATGCCCAGCAGAAGAAGCGGAAGAGAAGTGCGAGACGGAGAGGGAGAAGACTGTTTTGTTAAATAGAAGCTGTTCACTTAGCCTTGAACCCCGCACGGAACAATGTGGATCTCATGCAAGAAGTGCAGCATTGTAATTACAGCTCGTTTTAAGATTGTTCATGGCGCTTCTTTACAGATTGTTTACTCTATATATATATATATATATATATATTTACTCTATATATATGTATATTATATATGTTTATTTATTTATAGCAGAGATTCACATACAATATATGAGCTCTACACAAACAAGCCCTCCAGCCGCACGGCAGGTGCCGCCGCCTCCTGTGCCGCCACCTCCAACCGCCTCCGAGGAGGCGCCCAAGGAGGCAGCCTCCGGCACGGAGCTGCCGAAGGAGCCGGCCAAGGCCCTTTTCTGGGCCCTTGTGTAGGGTTTAGGGTTTAGGGTTTAGGGTTTAGGGTTTAGGGTTTAGGGTTTAGGGTTAGGGTTTAGGGTTTAGGGTTTAGGGTTTAGGGTTCATTTTTAATATATACTCCAACAAGGACTCAGTTTTCTGGGATTGCTTTGCTGGCCAGGCGTAGTGGCCTTTTTTGAGTTGCTAAGATCTGCTAAAATCGAATGTAGGGCATGCTGGGTTTTTGGCTAGTTACTAAAACAGTAGTAGGGACATGCAGGGAAGAAAGGGCCCTATAAACATGGGGTGGGCCTTTTTTGGCGTTCGGGGCGGGTGTTCGTTTGTCTCCGCAGAGGTCGCTGTGAGTGCTCGAACCGATAAGAATCCAGCAAAGTCCTCGCACACAGCACGCACGAAAATGTCAGCACAACATGGCATCTTCTTGTCTTCCTTTCTTGCATCTTGCAGTTGCAAATGCCCTGACGCTTGTCCAAGTCGGGGCCATGGAGCTGGAATATATAAGTGAGCTGGGCCTTCGCGTCGTGCAGTCATCACCGCTATTGCTCAAGTTTGGGACATTTGAGTCCCCGAAACCGACCGAACCAGCCGAGAAGCGGGTGCCAGCGAACGAATCGGAGCAACGCCGCGGCGGGAAGGGGGCAGGCCGCCAGAGGCGTAACGGTCAGGATAGGGAGTCGTCTCGAGAGTTGAAGATTTCCAAGACTTTGTCACAGCTGTTGCGACACAGGGCCCTGGAATTTAACATCGAAGTCCGGCCCGACGGATTTTGCCGTTTAGTCGAAGTCTTGGCGTGCCCTTGGCTCTCAGACTTGAAAGCGACCCAAGATGATGTGGAGCGAATTGTCGCAAGCAATGACAAGAAGCGCTTCGAACTGAAGCAAGATGTCAAAGTTGGTCAAGTGATGATTCGCGCCGTGCAGGGACATTCAATGAAGGTCGTGGATGACAACCACCTTCTCCAGAACGTGGATCTGAACAACTTGCCGGATTGCTGCGTGCATGGGACTTTCAGAAAGCATTTTGAGAGCATCAAAAGCAAAGGGTTATTGGCTGGCGGCAAGCAGGGCCAAGGTTTCCGCAACCATGTGCACTTCTCTTCTTTCGAACCTGGTGACGAACGAGTCATCTCTGGTATGCGCTACGACTGTGAAATTGCCATCTGGATCGATCTGAAGAAGGCCGTCGAGGATGGTGTTCCCTTCTACATAAGCACCAATCAAGTGATTCTTAGCCCTGGCATCAATGGCGTTATCGACAGGAAGTATTTCACCCGCGCGCGAGACTTGAAGGTCAAGGAGGATCTGCCCATTGGGTAGCTAGAGTTTTGTCTCGTCTGCCCGTGTTTCCTCACAGACTGCACACGGAGTGGGCAATCAGTGGATGCATACGAGGCATCAAAACCCTAAAACCCTCAACCCTAAAAACCCTTACGTAAAGCCGTAAAATCCCTTAAAACCCAAAAAGCCCTAAAAAAACCCTTAAGACCCTAAAAGCACCCTTCACAGGGGAAATGCATTCATGAATTGGCCAAGCGTGTTGGACCTCAGGGGTTCGAGGGTTTTAAAGCCTCGACTCTAAATGGTCTTCCCAGCGCCTTTTCGGGGTGGGTCCTTGTTTAGGGTTTAGGGTTGAAGTTTAGGGTTTAGGGTTTAGGGTTTAGGGCTTACCTTGGGGGACCAAAGGACCCCTGAAAAGGGTTTATGGCTCACATACCTCAACAGGAGTTTCAGTTATAGTAGCACAAAGTACATGATCCCAATGTTTGGGTTCATAAGTCCACAGTAGTTCCGCAAACCGAATCCCGCGCAATCCTGTCAGCGCAGGAGAGTCGAATGCCCTGAACCCCCTACAGTAACACCCGAAACCCTATAAACCCTAGAAATCCTATAAACCCTATAAACCCTAGAAACCCTATAAACCCTATAAACCCTGTCAACCCTATAAACCCATAAAGCCTAAACCCTAACCCGCGAGTCGGGAAGCCTTGCACCTGCAACAGCAGGCACCAGAGAAGCCGATCCATGAGGCCACCGTGACCTTGGTTTTGTAATTTGTCAGGGTCCCGGGGTTTTCTGGGGTATGACAGGTATTCGCTCACTGAGGCTCACCCCTCCATATCCCCACTTTGTGGCCCCGCCCTCAAAACCCTGACCGTTGAGACTGAACTCACCACGAACCACAGGTGGGGAGCGGGCCGAAAGCCTAAACCCACCACGAACCACAGGAAAGCCCGAAACCTTACCAGGATGGGCTCATAGGCCGTAAAATCGCCATAATGAACCCTATCAAGGGCCTTCTAAGGGATTATTATAGGCTGGGTATAATCGCCCATAACCCGTGACCCATCCCGTCGCTGGCTGCGGGCATGGCCACACATCTTGAGTCATCTGGGGGCTTTTTTTTGGGCTCGAGCCGACAAACCGACAGCTGAGTAGCGCAGGTCGATGTCATGACCGTGGAGGATGTCTGCAACGTGCGCAGCTGGACCCCAAAAACTAACTATAACCCTAAACCCATATAAACCCTAAACCCTAAACCCCTTATACTTATAAACTACCCTAAGCCCTACAAACTTTAAGGTTTCGGGGCTTGCTGGGCCCTGCGGTGGGCCCTTAGACCCTGGCGATAACAAGCGTCGCGGCTGCGGCCAAGTGTTAGGCTTCAGGGCCATGATCTTGTGCGCTTCGTCTGAATTATTCTGGGCTGTTTAGGGTTTAGGGTTTAGGGTTTAGGGGTTAGGGTTGGCAAATTTCAAGCTGGAATGCCAGCCTGCAGGCAGAACCTTTCGGGATGGGTTGGGGCATGGTTTCGCTGATGCGCTGTCTCAGGAAACGAGACGCCGCTCTTTGCACTCTTCACTTTCGAGGACAGATGCTGCAGAAGGTGAGCCTCTTCCATCTGCACTGCTCTGTCCAGCCTTACAACCTAAACTTGGGATGTTCCCCCTTATACTAAGAGTCCTTAATTGGATTATAGTACCCCCCCCCCCCCCCCCCCCCACAGGGGCATCCCAACCCTGAACCCCCACCCTTCCGCCCTGAAACCAAAAATTTTCGGCCATTTTCTGTGTCATCCCCAAGTTTCCCTGCTTCGCCACAGGACTGGGTGCTGGTGAACCTGCCACTCGGCCCCAGGGTTTGAGTTGTGTCTAGTGAAGACCACTGAATGTCACAAAACGAAACACTCCTTCTTTGAACCGTACACCCCCCTACTTCCTCCAAACGCCCACATTACATGCCAAGATCCACCCGCTAAGCTGTAAGTGTTGACCCCTTGGTACTTGGCAGGCCGTTGTGAGGGAATGACACCGGGGGGGGGGGCGGGGGAGGGGAAGGAGAAACCGGGACCTGGGGCCCGTCTGCTTCTGTATAGGGCCTCTGATTAGGGGGTTTTTAGGGGGTTTTGTGGGGGATTGGAGGGTTTGTAGGATGTTCTGGGGATTAGAGGGTTTTCAGGGGCTGAAGGGTTGTAGTGGGTCACGCTCTCACATCCATTCCTCAGGCGAGCTGAGCTGGCGCTGCTCTGCTTAGCTTTTGTTCAGGACCGTGCAACACACCTTGGGGACGCACATATGGGGGGTTTACGAAAATGAGGGACCACTTTTATCGACCCGGAAATGGTAGGATTACCTTATGAACAAAGACCCCAAATAAGGTACTGTACCCCCAATTTCGGAAACCACTTTCTAAGCTGATCTACGTGCGCAGACCACTCCTTTATGCTTGAGCTAGAGCGCCAAAATGGTTTTGCACCACTGGTTGGGGCATGGCCCTTGCTTCTTTTGGGGGACGGGGGGGGGGGGGGTTCTCATGCCCCCCCTTATACCCCCTTATACCCCCGCCCTATGTAGGCTGTGAGCTATGCGGCAAAGCCGCGTGAAGGATGCGGGAGGTCGTCCATGTTCCGCCGGGAGCCACCACCCCCGAAACCCTAAAGCCGAACCCTAACCCCCCCCCCCACCCCCCAAAAACCCTTAAAGAACGCTGCAAATTTCTCGCAGCGCCCTGCAGGACGCCGGAGACCCTGAGCGCGGGGCCCTCGGTCAGCGCAGTTTTCCATTGGGGGGGGGCCTGGTGCACCCGCCGCGCCTCATGTGGCTTAGGTGAGTACCCCAAACAAGGGCAAAACTCGTCATAACCACCGTTATCCTACTTACAGCCCTAAAGCCTACCCTAAGCCCTTTTGCCGGCCTTGTGCGAGAGTGAGCGACTAAACCCGCAGCCCTACCTTGAATGTGGAGGTTGACGAACATAGGGGACCCTAAAATAAACCCCAAATAGTAGGATTCCCTTATGGCATATTGTACCCCCTAATTTCGGAAACCCCCAAGTAGCCACGACCTCCATGTACGTGGGGAACTTCCCAAGGCGTGGGCATCCATGAGTCAAACTTGAGCTTCTACTACCAGAAGTACTTCAAGACCCCCTGGCTGATTTTTGCTGCAGGTTTGTTTTAAGGGTGTTGGGCTCAGGGAGCTTCACAAGGTTTAAGTGCCTGCAAAAGGGCGCTTAGGGGGTTCAGGGGTTCAGATTCATGGGCGACATGTCTGTGTGATTCAATTCCTGCGCCGGCTGCGAATTCAAGCTGGCGTTGGCTTGCATGTCGAGCCTTCTGCCGCCGGTGGGGGGGGTGCGTTTATGGGGGGGGGGGGGGTGTCTTTGCCTCAAGGCGAAGGGCACAAGGCAGATTTGCATTTGATGCGCCTTAGAAAGGATGCTTTTGGGGCTCCAAGTTTGGTTGGGATGCTTCCGTGATCTGGATTCAGGCACCAGCCTCCCACCTAAACCCTCAACTCCTCTAAACGCAGGAAGAGCCTCGTCCCAAAGCAGTTCGGCATGAACACCCATGTGGAGCTCCTTGGGTTGGTGAAGGCGGGGACTTTTTGAGGGTTTGTCTGGGTCACGCCCTGAAGAGGACCAGCGGTTGCGAACTATACCGGGGGGGGGGGAGGAGTCGCTACATGGCTCACTACAGGCGATATGACATGGGGTCGATGGGGTGGAGCCGCCTGTGCCGATTCCCTCCGCTTGTCCTACCTATCTCACATATCCCTTTAAACCCAGAGCACGGCAATGGCACTGGGGTGCAATGGGGTCCCATCATAGATACCGCATTCTAACACGGTTTCCTCATCAAGAATATGAAAAAGCTGCGCCAAGATGGAACTAGCAATTATTCGTCAGCTTGGGGGTGAATGAATTCCAAATACACGCAGCGATATATGTTTATGTACATGTGTGTCTACACACACGCATATATATATATATACATACATACCCATATAGATATAGGCATGTATTTAGTTTATCATGTACATTGATTGACCTTGGAAGATGAAACATCAGGGCAGGGTCAGGGCAGGGGGCGGCACAGGAGGGGTTATTTGAACTTGAGAACTGGAATCACACAGCCTAGGCTACTCTGACTTTCATGAAATTCTTCCATGGGTTAGGATGATCTACAATGTAGGGACCATGGTCGCTGGACGAGGAAACCCCATACAAGGGCCGCAAGGAATCTAACAAGCGGAGTCGTCAGTCTCAAGCCCCAGAGCATGCCAGGACATTGTTGAGGTGGCTGCGGACACACAGGTTGTCACCAGCAAGCGCACGCAGGAGGCAGTGAGTGGGCTGAGCTCCCAAGAAAGATTTGCCTGAGATCTCGTTTAGGGCGGTGAGTGGGTGGCACCGTACACCTTGTCCTTCCCGTACTTGCCCGTAGTCGCAGCATAGAGATTGCCACGGACTACCCCACTCTGCACCTTCGTTTATAGCAGACAGCGTTCATGAACCAGCACAACCAACTTTGGGTACCGGGATGTTCGAAGACTGAGTTTCCGTTGTTTTTTGGGGTTCAGTATCGGTTTCAGCCCACCTTGCTCTGGAGTTTTAGGGAGAACATCCGGCATCACCCCAATAGAGCAGAAGGCAACACATGGCCCCCAAACCCCAAACCCCAAGCCCCAAACCCCAAACCCGAAGTTCTAGGAGCTGGGTGACTTCAGCATCCTCGTCAAGCTCACGGAGGCCTTGTGATGGGTGGTAGAAGGAATGTGGCTTAAGGGGCTGGGGGTTTAGGGTCTAGGATTTAGGGAAACCCCTGTTCCCTGGCTAAAGTGAGCTTGCCACGATTACCATGCTCCGAGCTGAGTGCAGGTAAACCATTTCAGATCTGCACCGTTGCCTGTCAGCCTGAAGCAGACGGTTGAAGATTCCTTAGCTTAGATAGCGGCCATTGGCATGGAAACGGCTACGATGCCTGTGCTCTCCGAGAGAGGATCCGAGGCTCTATGGAAAGGAGTCAAAGATCAAATGCCTGTAAAAGCTCCCTGGCCCAGATTTTTACACCAAGAAGTCGGAGATGACAAGCCGTTCACCAACAACGCGAACAACGCCCGACCTAAATCCAAGCTCTTGACAAACAATTCCGGCAAGAATGTGAAACCGGAGTCCAAAATATGGCAAAGCAGGGCCGTGAACGAAGAGATCAGCAATGTCATTGCGCAAGATTGCATTGGTCAAGCGCCAGTGACCTTGTTGCGAACGCTTGCACAAGAGGCTGACCACAATATGTGCGCCAAAGATGTGAAGACCACCCCGAACACCCAGACCAGCCAGATGCAACCCGCCTCAATGACATGGAACGCAAATCGGAGCTTGGAGGGCATCCCGCTGTCCAGCGGCTTGCAAACGTTGACTTTTGGCAGGGACTTCAATCAGAGTTTGGCTGGTGTCACGCTGCCAAACAGCCTTCGCACTCTGACCTTTGGCGAGTCCTTCAACCAAAGCTTAGAAAGTGTCACTTTCCCAAGTGGCCTACAGACTCTCATTTTTGGTGATAGGTTCAACCAGAGCTTGAAAGTTGTGACGTTGCCGGATAGCTTGCAGACGCTGGCTTTTGGCAGTGACTTCGACAGGAGTTTGGATGATGTCGTGCTGCCCAGCGGCCTGCAGACGTTGACTTTCGGCAGGGACTTCAATCAGAGATTGGAGGATGTGACACTTCCCAGCGATTTACACACATTGATCTTCGGTGACTACTCGGACGAGAGTTTACGGAATGTCAAGCTGCCGAGCAGTCTTCAAACATTGATGCTCGGCAAGTATTGCAATCAGAGCTTGGAGACGGTGGCGCTTCCTGAGTCGCTGCGGACATTCACTTTCGGCGAGCGTTTCAATCAGAGCCTCAAGGGCATCACGCTCCCCAGTGGCTTGCAGACACTTATCTTCGGCGATGCTTTCAATCAGAGTCTGGAAGGTGTTCTGCTTCCGAGCAGTTTGTTGACGTTGACTTTTGGCAGTGATTTCAATCAAAGCATGGAGTTTGTCAACTTGCCCGGCAAGTTGCAAACGCTGATCTTTGGCTCCGATTTCAATCACAGTCTGAAGTTTGTTTCATGGCCAAACAGCTTGGAGACCTTGACATTACGGGGAGATTTCAATCAGAGTCTGGAGGGCGTGGCGTTGCCAGACAGTCTGATCAGATTGACCTTCGGCTGGAGTTTTAATCAGAGCTTGCAAGCCGCCAAGCTGCCCCGAAACCTGCAGACCTTGACCTTCGGCAACGATTTCAACCAGAGCCTAGACTGGATTTGACATTAGCTTTTCGGGCTTAGGACGTTTAGGGTTTAAGCGCTGTCCTGTCAATAAGGTTTTTTAGGAACTGTATTCGTAACAAGAGGTGGATCATGTGCAACATTGCTTTTCACTACAACCCACAAAGCACGTGCTAATCCACAAGCGGCTTTAACCAAAACACGTACAGAACAAGAAACCTTTTAAAGACCTTGTTGACAACTGCGTAAAGAATGCGCCAAGCCCCTCGCCCCCGACCCAAAGCAGTTCCCGAAGCAACATCCAGGGAAACCCTAAGCCAGAAACCCTAAACCACAGGAGCCTGAGGGATGTGGTCCTGCCGTGTGGCCTTCAGACATTGACCTTTGGCCGCCTTTGGCCCCTGTTAAGACCCTTCAGTTCATGTTGTAAATCAGAGATGAAGGGCATAAAGGGGACCGTCAAAAAGGGGTTGAAATGGGGTTTAGGGTTTAGGGTGCTTAACAAAAATGGAGCTATACATAAGCTTTGGGCTTTCGCAAGGGTTTGGAGTTTGAGGGGTTGGGGTTTGTCTTCGCGAATGCTTCTCATAGGATGGCGGTTTAGTGTTTAGGGTTCATGTCTAGAAGAGTTTATGGAAGATGATGATCATGAAGAAAGAGAAGAACTAACAAAAAAACACGGTTTACTCCAGAAATCGGACCTGGGTGTAAGGCATCGTCATCATTAGACACCGCGCGCAATTTGCCGCGAATTGATGCTGAGCGAAATAATTGGTTTGGGGGCTTTACGTTAAAGAGATGAAGAAACATCGTGACACAAAAACGAGTCTTAACACTCCAACAGCAACTGTCAGGACATTTGGCTGGAAGTTCAACCAGAGCTTGCAAGGTGTGACTTTGCCTGGGAGCCTTGAGACATTAACCTTTGGCAGTGATTTCAACGAGCCTTTAAACGGCATCACCTTGCCGGACAGTTTGCGCACGTTGACATTCTGTGGGGATTTCAATCAAAGCTTGGATGACACCAAGTTCCCAAGCCGCCTACAGGTGTTGACTTTCGGCTGGTGTTTCAATCAGAGTTTAGAAGCTGTTGCGCTGCCAAGCAGCCTGCACACGCTGACCTTAGGTGCGAATTTCAACCAGAGCCTGCAAGGCGTCGAGCTGCCAAGCAGCCTTCGGACATTGAAGCTTCGTGGGCGGTATAGCCATAGCCTCCAAGATGTCTCGCTGCCAAGCAGCCTCCAGACATTGACCATTGGTGAATCTATCATTTCTGTAGCCGAAGTCGCGAAGCACCGAACTACCTGATAGCCTGGGGAACCAAATGGGCCCTAGAAAGCTTAAAGGGTTTATGGTCCATATACCCTCATAGGGATTATGCATAGCATACACAGGGTCGACGACCCCCATTTTTAGGGTTCATCTGGTCCCCAAGAGAAGCCGATCGGAGTTTGAAGGAAGTGCGTCGGGCGTCGCGCTGCCAAGCAGCCTGCGCATGCGTGCGATCCACTTCAGAGCTTCCGGAAGTCACTGATTTCAGCATCTTGCCCAGCAGCTGAAGACCTTGATCCTTTCTGCGGGGCTTTCGGCTGCAGCTGTTGAAGGTCTTGTGCGGAAAAGTAGCTTTGCGGCGTCTTGAGTCTTAGGGGTTTAGGGTCTAAGATTTTGGACTTGACGTCCAGGGTTTAGGGAGTTTAGGGCTCCTTACTATGGCCCACTTGTAAGAGATTCTCAAACCCCACCGAGATCATTCTTAAACTGAGCCACCATGCGTAGATTATTTGTGTATTCCAGGTAGGCAATGCCTGGCTTCATTGCTCGAACGACGCAAGTCCGACTGAACCCCAAACCCCAAACCCTAAGCCCCAAACCCCAAACCCCAAAACACCCGACCTTGAGACCCCGCATTGCTGTGGCTAGTCGGGTGCCAAAAAAGACCCCAAACCCTAACCCCCTAAACCCCAAACCCCAAGCTGTGGACTCCCGCCTTCAGCGCTGTTGGACGCTGCAACCGCTTCAGCCCACACAATTTGAGGTTGTAGGGTTTAGTTTAGGGTTCGGGGTTTAGGTTTGGGGTTTAGGGTTTAGGGTTTGAAGGTGAAGATTTGAGGCCTTGAACCCTAAACACTAAACCTCAAAACGCTGAACCCTCACTCGTTGCTGCATCGCAGGGCCGGCGATGATCTGGTTTAAGGTTTCAGGAGTTTAGGGTTTCGGTTCAGAAGGGGAGAAGTTGAGCCTGGGGACTTCTCCTGCCTAGGTCCGCCATAGGGAGGTCGGGAATGGGGTTGCCTGAGATAAGGGCTGAGAGGTCAAAGTAGTGACAACGAGCGACGTTGATATAGTGGTAAAACCACCTGCAGCCGTGCACACTCACTGCGATCTACTGGCACCATCTCAGTTGGCTCCTGCTGCTACTGCTTGCCTCAGTACCAGCACGGCTGGCAGAACTACTGACTATGTGTTGAGCATGCTACGATTATTCTGAAAGCCCGGGCCACATGATGCTCCGGGGTTTGGGTCTGAAAGCCCAGGCCAGTTCTTAGTCTGCCCTTAATTAAAGAATGCACCTTCTCCCGCAGTCGGAAACCCCGATCTTCTTCAGCTAAGGGGTGCACACCCCTCGAAGATGGACGATCTTTTGTCAAGTTTACACTTTATGGACTGAGAGGGGATTGGGGGTAAGTTCTTATTTGGGGGGGGGGGGTTATTCTGTTGGGATAACTCGATGGGATCAGGTTTCCTTCTAGGGTCTTTGGTGTATATACCTGCAGGGATGAAACTAGACTGGGAATTTGCATCATATGCCCTAGAGATTGTTTGCAGCTGCCGGGCCTCAAGCCTACTTGGTGTTTTTTTGTTGTTGGTGTTCGTTTTGTAGGGTACCTAGGGTTGAGGTCTAGGGTTAGGGGTTCCGTTAAGTAGACAATCCCCTAAGTCAGCATCCAAAGTGGCCATGGCAGAGAGAGAGAGAGAGGAAGAAGAAGAAGAAGAAGAAGAAGAAGAAGAAGAAGAAGAAGAAGAAGAAGAAGAAGAAGAAGAAGAAGAAGAAGAAGAAGAAGCAGAAGAAGAAGAAGAAGAAGAAGAAGAAGAAGAAGAAGAAGAAGAATAAGAAGAAGAAGAAGAAGAGAGAGAGTGAGAGAGAGCGAGAGAGGGCGAGAGGGAGAGAGGGCGAGAGCCCGAGAGCTAGAGAGCTAGAGAACGAGAGACCCAGAGACCGAGAGAGCGGGAGAGCGAGAGAGCGAGAGAGAGAGAGAGAGAGAAGAGAGAAGAGAGAAGAGAGAAGACAGAAGAGAGAAGACAGAAGAGAGAAGACAGAAGAGAGAAGAGAGAAGACAGAAGAGAGACACAAAAGGGCAGAAGCCAGGGCCTAGAGCAGGGAAGCCGGCACTTTCGTTCGACTCGCTTGCATGGACTTCGAGCATGGACGCGCCCGCGTGCGGGAGATTCTCTCGGGGCTTTGCATACACCCACACCCCCCCGAAACGCGGCATTACATGGTTCGGAGTACAGAGCGCCCTCCAAAAGGCCGCGCGGCGAGAAAGGCAAGCGAAGATAGACCAAGGCCTGTGGGGGGGTTTAGGGTTGGGCTCAAAAGCGTTCTGAGAGGGCGTATAGTGTTCCAGGGCTCGACGGGGCTCAGGGCTTAAAGGGTTTCGGGTTCAGGGTTTGTATGGTTTCCAGGGCCAAGTGCGGTTTTGGGTCGCTTTGTGGGATCGTCCGGGTGTGAGCATCGAACCTTCTGGGATACTCAACCGCAGCTCTGCAAGAACCTCCTCCAGTAGCCAGGCGACGAGTCTGCGTGCCTCCACTTCGATGTCCAAGCGCACATGCCGCCCCCGCCACCTCAGATGGAGCCCTGGCGTCATCGAGTTTCTCGGGTTTTTGGGGGGGTTTGGGGTTTCAGAGTCTATGCTGGGGCCATCCTTAGTACAGAAGGGAGGTTTCTCAGAAGGACCCGAGGGCTGGCTGCAAGAGACCCGGTTGCAAAAAGGCTCTATGCCGTACAGGGTGTAGAATTGGCGAAAAGGCGATTCGAGGCGCGAGGTCTACGCCTGAAGCCATCGTTGAAAGTCGGGCGGCCCGCGCAAATTCCGCGTGCGGACATATGAGCACATTCCGATTGGGTTTGGAGTTTTTAGGGTTTGGGTTTAGGGTTTTGGGTTTTGGGTTTTGGGTTTAGGGTCCTCTACTCGATGTGCTGGCTGAGCTCGACCTCGACCCAACTCTCGAAGCATCTAAGGCGGCTCCGTACTACCAGGGAGGTCGAGCTCTCAGATCAAGTTCATCAGAGGGTCCATGTGTAGTACTACTATGGAATTAGGCACCCCAAAAACCCTATGTGGTGTGGTTTTTGGGTACCTACTTCCATAATCATACCCTACACCCTAAACCCTAAACCCTGCTGCTGCAGAGAGTGCTTGCAGAAACCCTAAAGCGTTGGCAAGACTTGGACTCGGCCATGAGGTTTGTCAAAGGGCACGGAGACCGGGAATTTTTCCCGACCCGAGTCCCGACCTGTGATCGGTTCAGGGTTTAGGGTTTAGGGTTTAGGGTTTAGGGTTTAGGGTTTAGGGTTTAGGGTTTAGGGTCAGCGCCCCAGAAGCCCCGAAAAGAAGCGGGGCATCCCGTGACACGGCATTTGTGTAGCCGAAGCCCTTGCGATGAGGGTAGCCGGGTTCCACTGCAAGAAATCAAAATGAAAATGACTGGGTAAACATGGGTTTAGGGTTTAGGGTTTAGGGATCCCGGAGCCCTGAACAAATTCGCAAGCCCCAAAGCCCTTATGACTGCCACTGGGAGGACATCAGACTCACCCTCGGGGAGTTGCCAAGTAGAGTGGCGCCCCCGAAGGACCGCAACATCCCTTTCAAAGGCCTCTAAAAACCCTGTTTTTCGGAAACCAGCACAATTGGGAGCTGAACTCCTGAGGTGGCTACAAGGGCTATGGCAGCTACGACAAGGGAGGCAGCTCTGCTTTGTGGGGCCGAGCAGATGAACCCTGCAAAGGTGAGAGGGTTTAGGGTTCAGGGTTGAGGGGTTAGGGTGTAGGGTTTAGGGTCGATATTCACAGTGAGGAGTGGGTTCTGCAGTCTTTTCAGCCGAAGCTTCAGTCAATCCATAAACAATGTTTCGTCACTCTCATGTGTAGTCCTGGGGGCTGGTCAACTGGTCCGTTTGTCATAGACAAGGATGAGTTTCATAGGCACACGAGATGTCGGGGCTAGGGTGTGGCGAAGACCGTAGATCATGATACCCCACTTACGAAGATCCAGAGGCAACACGCGCTGAAGCTCACATAGGCTCGACAGCTCGTATGGCAGGGGAGAATGCGCACTTGCTTCGGAACGAAGCATAGGCCCCCTACATTCCTGTGTGCCCCGTGCATCGGGAAGCTTCAAGACGGTCCTCAGACTCCCAACCCCTGCGAGCCCAAACGGCTTCTTCATGTCAAAAGCGGCCCAAATCTTGGGGTTTGCTGGACTGGTTTAGAGGACCTTAGACTCAGAGTCAGGACTGTAGAGTTTATGAGGTCTATCCCCTGAGGTGGATAAGGCTCCCCCCCAAAGCCACGTACTTCCTCAAGTCGTTGGCCAGGCTACAAAGGAGACAAAGGTGTCTTCAAAGGCTACAAAGGATGCCCTGCAAGCAATCAGTGGAGAAGGGCTGCCTGCTTAAGCCTAGCAAGTTAAGGTGTAATAAGAGCTGCAGGGCATATGCAGCTGAACGTGACTGTCGGGTTTGTATAGAGCTTTGGGTTTAGGCAGGGCGCATGGAGTCTCATGGCGTCCCCTCTCTCAGTTCAGGGTTCGTAGCTCGGAGGTGTAAGGAGCAGCCCTTTCCGTGGTGCCAAGAGGGTTTTGGGTTTAGGGATGATGTCCAAAGGATTCTAGATGCATGAGGGAATGTGATCCTGTTTGGGTCGTAATGAGGGTAGTTACACAGCCCATACTTCAGAACCCTTGAGAAAGAAGGTAAGGGACCGTAACTTTCCTCAGATTGGGGCGCGGGCCCTCCTAAACCCAAAACCCTAAACTACTCTTAGATGTTAGTGCTCACTTGATGGCCTGGGTTGGCTGCTTCTCAGGAAACCCCGGGTTCAAGGGCGGCTACAAGGATGGAGGTCCGTGCCACTCTGCGGTTTATAAAGGGCTTACGGTTGAGGAGTCTTACGGCTCTGTCGGGGCCTGAGGCTTGCATGGTGGACTCAGAGTCCGCAGATCTCCACTGCGGTGCAGGCTACGGGAAAGACTTCGGCAAGGATGGAAAGAAGGGTGGCTTTGACAAAGGCCAGCATGGGCTGGGTTGAGACAAAGCCGCGTGGTTGGTCAGGGCAGAGCACATCTTTTTAAGGAGCTTCAAAGCAAGTACTGTGCCGATTGTTTTGTTTAATCTCTCTGCACGTCCGTGTCCGCGAAGGCAAGAAGGGCGGTCCCTCGGCTCGACTGGACGCGGGCATGCAAACCCTACAGTACAGCCTCTACGCCCTACGCCCCATCTGCCCCACACCCGGCACTGGCTGGCGCCCAAAACATCCTTCGAACCATAAAAGGAAGTTCTCTTGAAGTTGCTCCTAAGCAAAGGCTCCATATTGTAGGAAATCCAAACAGGACCCTGATGTAGAGAACTGCACTATGTCAGTCCTCTGAGCTTTACCATTCCTATAGACAACCTATACATCCTATGAGTTCCCGAATTTGTCTCCACCACCCCCTCAGCTGTAGAAAGCTGCACTTCTCAGCTCTACAAAAACTCAAACACGGCTTTCAGCGACGTCGTCTTGATTAGGGTAGAGCGCACAGGTTCGTAGCGGGAGTGTGAGACACCTTTTTGTAAGTCCCTCAATCCCTACAGCTGCTGCAGCCGCGACCTGAGAAGGGAACATCCCGAAGCTTCTCAGACCGCTGAGGCTTCCAGGTTTAGGCGGTTTAGGGTTTAGGGCTCACTTGGTAGCCCAGTGGTACCCTTGACCCTTTTGTGTTTGGTCCTGGGTTCCCTTCGCATTATGATATGAATGTGGCTACCGTACCAAGATAGGGCAGATAGGGCCGTCTGGGCTTTGGGTTTGGGGCGGGTGGGGGGTTTAGGCCTCAACCCTCTATGAGGCGAATCGAGCAGGGTGGCCTTAGGAAGCCTCTTGACCGGGGCCCAAGGTGACATGAAGGGCTTCGGAAAGAAGGGAAAGGATGGCAAGCCCGGCAAAGGCGGATGTTGGGGTTGTCAAATATTGGGGTGTTACGGCGGGGCTTCGGGATGAGGGTTTAAGGGCGTTTAGGGGTGTAGGGTTTAGGGTTTAGGGACAGGTTGGGATGTTCACCCTTCTATGAACAGTCCTCAGCCAGTTCTGCAGTGTTTTGGGTGTTGAGGCCTCTCTTTCGGGATGAGAGCACAATGTGCAGGGTTTTTGCGGTTGCAGTTGGTTCAAGCTCTATAGCTTCTTACAAGATCCCGGCGGGATATTGTTTCGCCCATATCTTGTGGTACCTCGGGCGGATGTCGGGGTGGCAATGCGCAAGCTGACCGAGAAGACGAAAGCAAAGCCAGGCTCTTTGTACCCACGGCTTGCTATGATAATGTTCCTGTACTCTTGGGTACAGTGTTGGATCGACATGCTCAAGTTCGGGTGAGCCTGCGAACCCGATTGCAGGATATTGAAGTCGCTGCCAGCGGTCATCGACGCCAACAGCAGGAGAGCACCGTGGCTGGCACAGTGCAAAGGGGGTTCCCCAGCGGGCTCCATGTTGGCCTTTATAGGGTTTGGGCGGTTTAGGGTTTAGCAAAAAGGGTTGAGGGTTAAGGGTTGTTGCGTGTGGCTTGGCCAGCTTGGCGCCAGCGCCTTCGACCACGGACAAGGGTTTCCATCAGACAAGTTGTACGTGGCCTTGCCTAGTCAGGCTCCAGTGAGGGGAGGTCTCTTCTACCCAAAAAACCCAATACCCCTTCCTTGAAGCAACCTTTAAATCATATTAAGGATCCCTGCCTGAATTCAGGGTATATATTCCTTAACTAAGGTGTATTGGGGCGTCTTGCCGTCGCCGAGGTCACCAGGCGCCAGCCCTCCACACCCGGGAGTTTTGCGCGCGCAAGCGGTTTCGACCTCGAGTTCGGCAAGACACGCGTTAAGCTACCAAGCCTAGGTCCCCCGACATCCTTTCAGCCTACACACGCTTTATTAAAGTATGCATATATATATATATACATACACATATCACAACATATATGGGTCTTGTATTTGCATATGTTTGGAATATATACATATATATATAATATGTAGAGATGTATCTCGTGGACACTTGTTTACTTCTTTACAACGCCTTGTGTAGCTTAAAGGAACGCAAAGCAGACACCAGCGGATGTCAAACTGGGCCGACGCGTTCGGCCTATGGCCATGGCCCCCCTGCGAGTGCCGCAGACGCTATGTCACGCGCTCTTGCGCCGGACAAAAGGAGGATTCTCGGGGCTACCTTAAGAACCCAAAGCCTACTTCATTGTAGGTTGCTTAAGAATCATAGAAGGGTTTTACTTTTTTGGTAATAACCTACAAACAGGTATGTTTGGGGCTCTAAGGGTATGAGGTTTAGGGTCAAAAGTATGGGTAGAAAGGCGTTTTGGCTTTCGTGTCTTTCCGGGATTTGACTGGTCTTCAGGCTTACCGTACTGGTTCTCAAGGGGCCCAAGCGCACGACCGGCTGTGCTACAATGGATTTTTCGGGGGCCAGAGCCTTCAACAGAAAGTAGCTGGAATTCTTCCCCGAGCCCGCCTTATACCTGAACAGCATTCCGCGTTCTTCTACGGAGAGTGGGAGTTTAGATTCCCAAGGCAGGGGTGCTTTTCCATTCCTTGTAGCTGCGGCGGTAGTGCAGTCTTGAAAGCATTGGTTCAAGACGCAGCTGTGTGGAGAAGATCAGAAGATCTCAGAGCTCGTGGATATGGCAGGCCTGTGGGAATCGGTGGGGGATGTGTGATGATCTGAACTTGTAACTTGGCTCACCAGTGCAACTTTGTAGGGTCGACAGTCGGCCAAGTTTGAGGCGGTCGAAACAAATGCAGCGCCTGGACGTGCCGTAGTCTGTCACAGACGCCTGCACATCCCGCAAAGTGCACGCGGCAAACATTGAACCCCAAACCACAAAAGGTGCCAGAATTCAGAAAGCTACCCTAAACCCCAAACCCTACACCCTGTCACTTTGGGCCGGGGGCTGATCGCCCACGCCCTCCAAACCTCAAACTTAAGCCCTCCTTCTTGGCGGGTGGGGGGTGTTATACCCAACAAAACCCTCAACCGTAAACCCCTAGTTCCCTTTCTGCTGGCACCTGATGGTTTCCGAAACTAGGGGTACCTTATTGGGGTCCTTCTGATAAGGGAGTCCTACTCTTTGGGGAGGTTTATGTCAGGGTCCCCAACCCCCATCTGGCCCGAAGGCGGTGCGCAGCAGGACTCTGCCATCGAGTATCTCTTAGCGCTCCAGGCAGGGCATGTCATGGAGTTGGGGGGCTGGGGGGCTCTCCCGTGAAAAGAGGCACTTCAGGACACAACGGCCAGTAGAGCCTATATAAAGGCTTTTTAATAAGAGGTATATGATGACTAGAATGGTATGATACCTAGAATGGGATCTGATCTGAAGTCCGGTTCGTGTCTTCAAAGAAACTGGAGGGCTTGGACTGTCACAATTGGATGGGTTTTGCAGTTTCTCCAGCTAACTTCCACTTCTGAAAGCCTAGATGCCCTCCATATGTTTGTTGTGGTGCGCTGTGCCTATTTGACCTGTGTCTTGCGACGGCTGAGCTTGCTTCCAGTCATTTTCCCCCCTTCGAAAGAAGGCGGAGGGACGCTTGCGGTGGGTGGCCAGGGAATAGTTTGAAAGCATCGACATCTGTACAGCCACATGGTATGGTCGACATCGGCGAAGCCACAGATCAGCAGTTATGAGGCCCTTCTGAGGCTCTAGGATATGTCTTTCTATAGTCAAGGGCTACTTTGCATCGGCATCCTTAAATTGGCATGGACCGTCCGGCATCTACACTGCGGCACGCTGGCACTCTGGCCAGCGATGGGGGGCGCTTCGCGTGCCTTTGCCAAGCACAGGCCTTCCCAACTTCATGGAGTACCTTGGGGACCAGATGAACCCCAAAAGGGTGTTTATGGTTCGTACACCTGAACAGGCATTGTCGCAGTACAGGGTATGTGATTCCAATTTTAGGGTTCCTTTCGTGCGCCGCGGTTATGCGAGTTCAAGGGGGGCCGGGAGCGTCAGAGAGACCGGTTCAAACCACGTTTTTGGGAGACCCCGCTTCCCAAAACTTACAAGTTTTGCGTGGCCGAGTGGTGGGCTCGTCATCCCCCTGTACTGGGCAGAATCAGAATATTGCAGAATTGCACCCCAAAACCCCCTAAACTCAGGAAAATGGAGACCCAAATGCCCTCCGAAGTGTGGCAGCTGCAAGCTGCCATCCGCGCAGAGCTCGAAAGGCCTCCGTGGGTGACTTTCAGTTTCCCTTGGGAGGGGGGAGGTGTGGGATTTAGGGTTTGAGGTTTAGAGTTGAAGGGGTTCCGAGACAGGAAGGAGAAGAGTATCCCAAGGGGTTGGGGTGCGCCTATTTTGGGACATGCCCCTGCGCCCTAGAGAACTGTAGAGCATGATCAGTTGTCGTACACAGCCGTGTGCTACATAGCATGAGGGAGTCGTCACATCGGTTGATGTTCAATGCATGTTGTTAAGCACAATACCGGTGCTCTCACGATGCGCGGATCTTTATAGCCGAGCGACGAAGATTGAACGACATAGTATCGTTGGCTGCCACATAGCTGCGAAGCACTCAGACTCAGACACATTCAAGCGGCATCTTCAAGATTGTTTAGGGTTTAGGTTTTTTTGGGGTTTAGGGTTTAGGGCTTAGTTTTTGCCCGGCTCGGAACCCTAAAGCCAGCGACAGATTCTTCTTCTTTGGAAACCGTCTCCTTGCGGGTGTCGAGCACTTGGAGGTTCATGGTAATCCTTTAACCAAATTATATCTGTACTTAGAACCCACTTGCCCCTTAAGTGCCCTAATATGGCTATAAGTACAGTTATCAGTACAGTTATAATTGGGTCATAGGTACCATAAAACCTCCAAGCAGGGCTGAGGGCTTGTGAGGTTTACGGGGCCCTGCGGAGGCAGACGCGCCAACTAGAGGAGACGCTCTCGAAGCAGGCGTGGGTCTGCAATGAAGTGGCCAAGAAGTGTGGTATGTCTTCCGACAAATATGGGTCTTGTGAATAACCTGGAGCACATTCCAGAACCCGTGGACAAAATAAGGTTCTTTGGGATAATGTTCAAGTTGCATATTCATGTTCAGCACCACATCTCGGTGAAGTTAGTGGCCCCAGGCACACCAGGGCTGCACACATGGTCAGTTCCCTGCTTTGGAAAGCCGTGCCCAACACGAAGAACCCTAAGCCCTAAACCCTAAACCCCGCCTCATGTCAAGTCCCATGAGGCGAAAGTGGCCCAGGAGAAGCACAGCCAGGAGGTCTTGGGCTTAGGGAGTACAGGAGCCTACAGGATTCCACGCATTTTGGGGCTTAGGGTTTAGGGTTAAGGGTTTGGGGCAGTCCTGGGTTTAAAAAAGGGGATACCCTTCCACCCCCTATACAGCTGTAATACAAAGTGCCCCATTCTAATCACGTAGGTCCCGACAGTATAAGGAGCTTAAGTGTTTAGGATGCAGGGGTTTCGTTGGTAGCTCACTTGGAAAGCTTCGGAAAGGCAGAAGAGCTCTAGATGCTGAAAGACCTAAACCCTTTAGTTCTAAAAAACAGATAGTCCCTAAACCTTACAGTCACTAAACCCTATACTCCCTAGACCCTAAACCGAGACTCACAAGGCCTAGATAGGGCCCAAGTTCGGCGAAACCAACCACCCGAGTAGCAGCACCGACGCACGTGAACCTCACTAAAGGGTTGGGCAGCCAGGATCTGAATCGTAAGCCTTACCTTAAGAGCCCAAACCTACTTCTGTTTAGGTTCCCTAAGAATCCTCTAAGGGGTGTTCTGATAGCGACCTACAAATATGGAGGTTTCGGGTTCCTAAAGTAAGGTTTAGAAGCCCGAAGCCTGAAGCCCAATCCCAACACCCGAAAAAACCCTTTCCAAGCCTTGAGCCTGCGAGCCTTGGCACGATCAGTCCTGGAACCCTGTGTTTAGGGTTTCGGGATGAGGGCTATAGGGTTTAGGGTTTAGGGTTTAGGGCCGTTTAGGGTGTAGAAACCACGCCAAGAGGTGCAGGCCGTAGGCGCGGCCTGGCAGCTTGTGGCACGGGCTTTGGGCGAGCAGCTGCAGGCCAACTCGGGTCCGTCCGCAGGTTGAAGTGGTTGGATGTCGCTGGCACATTTTGGTTGAGAGCCCCTGAGGTAGGTGGGTTCTGATTTCTTTGGGCATGTGTTGAGACCGTGGCAGCTTCAATTTTTGGCGCGGGGGCGGGGGGGAGGGCGGGGGGAAGGAGGTGGAACCCGTTCTATCTCTCTCTCTCTCTCGCTCTCTTTCTCTTCCTCTTTATCTTTTTCTTTCTCTTCTCTTTCTCTTCTCAAGGTAAACCTAAAATCTTAAACCCTAGGCAGAACAAACCTCAAACCTCGGCCCTAAATCCTAAGCAGCGGCCGGCAAACTCCGTGAGGCCGGCTTCAGGTCGTCGCAGCGAAGTTGCCAGGAGCGGAATTCTGCACAAAAAGATGATACTTTCATTGTCGTTGCTCTTGTTTTTATCCTTGTTGTTGTTATTGTTAGTTCTTCTTCTTCTTCTTGTACTATGATATGGTGTGATGGGCTGCGTACTAAATCAGCCCGAGATGCTCCCGACATGTGGGGCATGGAGTATTCGGGACACGAATGCAAGATCTTCGTTTGACCGAGTCTTGAAGCAAAAGCCTGCTTCAATTCCTTGGATTGATTCATTGATTCTGAAATGCATCTTCGGTTTCTGGTCTGCGGGCCCGCATGCCTAACACAGTATATAGCCGGTAAAAAAGTTCCTTTTGCAAGGGCAGATCCACCCCAGCTTATCTGGCATGCAAGTCAAGGACCACTTGAGCCCTATACACCGAACACTCTCAAACCTTAAGCCCTAGAGGCCCCGAAGCCTTTGACCCTCTTGAGTTCGTGTGGTCTCTGTGCAGCAAATCTTTGCGATGGGAAGTCTCCGGGGGGGGGGGAGGGAGGGAGGGAGGGAGGGAGGGAGAGAGAGAATCTGTCACCTTTGTCTCCAAACTAGGGCATCGCAGACACTTCGTCTCACCGACGGTGCACTCACGCCCGTTAGGGCTGCCCCCTGCTACGGTCACGTGCACATGAAGGAAGGAAAGAGCGAGAGAGATAGAGAGAGCGAGCGAGCGAACGAACGAGCGAGGGAGAGAGAGAGGGAGAGAAGGAGAGAGGAGGAGGAGGAGGAGAAGCGGAAGAATAACAAGAATTTGCATGTCTTTTTTCTCGCCGCTCTTTGCGGTCAGTACCGCATTTCCGTCCGACCCGGCTTTCTTGCGATGCGGGTTCGCCCCAGCTGTTCAGTAGGGGAGAGCAAAACCTAAGCCCTCAAACCCTAAACCCTAAGGCCCTACACCCTAAACCTTAAACGCTAAACCCCACAAGCCCACGAACAAATGCCTGGTGTCAGGAGCAGGTGGAGCGCCTGGAGAACCTCGAGGCGGCACTCCACCGAACGCTGCAGGCAGAGGGCGGCGGCAGGAATTTAGGGATCACGAGGGGTTTAGGGGTTTTAGGGTTTTCGTAGCCACGAGTGCTAGGGTCTGCGAGTGTTGCTAAGACTCTCCGGCCAGGACATCATAGCCCGGATGCAAAAAAGGGGTTTTAAGAGGACGGTAGGAGTTCTTAGGATCACGAGGGTTTAGCGGTTATAGGGGGACGGCAAAGAATTTAGGGATGATGAGAGTTTAGGGGTCATATAGGGCTCTTTAGGACGGAGTTTCTAGTAGGGTGGAGGGTTTATGGGTTTTTGCATTTCGAGTTGGGGTTGGGCGCTTGGGTGTACACTCTAGACTATTCGGCTATCAAAGTGTCTTATCTGCGTTGCAGGTCGTAGGGAAGTGCCAGCGCAAGAGCCGAAACCCTGAACCCTACAGCCCCTCAACCACTCACTGCCAGGAAGCGGAAGACCGCGAGGCGAAGCGTCGGCAGGAGGCAAGCTGCCCCAAAGCAGGGTTTAGGGTTTAGAGTTTAGGGTTTAGGGTTAAGGCGCGACACATCCAGGCGAGGATTCACGCAAGCCTGCAGCAAAAGGGTTAAGGCGGGTTACGGTTTAGGGATAACTTGTAGGGGGGTTCGTAGAACAGGGCACATGTTCATCTCACCTCTGCAGGTGCAGGGCGTCAGCGATGCCTGGCAGACGCTTGCCAGGACCATCGGTGAACAGCTTGGTCAGGCGCGGGATCCTGGATCGGGTTTCCAAAGCCCATAGAGAATGGGGAGCATGCTGCAATCAGTACTTGAAAAATAGCAGCTTGAGCGTCTCAATCGCATCATATGACAATGCCTTGTCTCGTGCACGCCATGAGGAGCATGTGAGCATGTCCGGCACTGGCCCAATGGTGGGTACATGATCCCGGCTTAGGGCCCTATAGGCTTTAGAGGCTCATCCTTCCCCTCCCCCACCCCCTCTAAAACAAAAAGTAACACTCGCCCTAAACCCTAAACCCGAAGCCGGAAGGTCCAGCGCTTAGGGCATCGGCTCGAGACGGGCTTGCAGCAACTCTCCGACAGCTTCGGGCAAGGCGCTGTGGGTTTACGGTTGAATGCCTTCCTCTGACCTCCGCAGCCCAAAAGAGTCCTTGTACAACCCTTATAAGCCCTAAGCCCCCAACCTAACCCTAAATCCCGAACCCTCAACCATAGATAATCGCGCGGACTTCGAGGGCATGAGCAGAGAGTTGGCAGAAGACTCTTTTCAGCTCTTTATGAGTCTTTCTCTGCTCCTTGTGCATCAAAGACCGTGTTCTATACTGGGATGTTCATGGGTAGTTCGGAAAGGTCTTCCTAAGTACCCGACAAGAGGTTCTAACCAGAGTTCGAGTTACCCTACTTATAACCCCACTTATCAGTATGGGGCGCTTAAGGGAGGGGGTTTCAAGGGGGGTACCTAGGGAACCTTAGGGGAGCGAAGGGAGCCTGGGGAGTACTAGGGAGTATTAGGCTTGGGCTACATAACGCCCCTTAAGAACCCTAAGCCCCAAACCCTAAACCCTAAACCCTAAACCCTAAACGAACCTCCCAGCATGGCCCTTGTTTAGAGGTGCAGACCGGCCCCAGGGGCGCTCCTTGCGCCCGCAGCTCCGGAAGCCGCAGCCCCGGCAGGGGGGGGGGGCGGTGAGGTTTAGGGTTTAGGGTTTAGGGTTTAGGGTTTACGGTTTATAGTTTATAGGGTTTCGGGTTTCCAAGGGTTTATGAAGGCTTAAAGAGATGGGCTTACAGGGGTTTTAGGGAAACGTATGAAAGCAGTCTGCGGACACTTGTGGGCAGTCTGACGGACGCCGCAGCCATCGAACATGCGCTTTTTGGTTTTTGGAGTTGAATTATGGTATATTATGGTTATAGCCATAGCTCACAAGGTTTAGTGTTGTAGGTCAAAAAGTTAAAAGAGTGTAAGGTTTGGGGGTTTAGGGTTCCCCAAAGAGTCCCAGCTGCAAAAAAGGGTTCCCAGAGCCTCGCTGCTGCACAAAAAGATGGCTCAGGAGCTCTTCATAGCTCGCCATGATCGAGTCAACAGGAATGTGTGCAAGACACTTAAGGCCACAAGGTCACATGTTCGCTACATTAAATTGATGTAAGTCCTGAGTTTTCTGAGTGTCTGAAACGAGACTCGTGTCTTAAGCATCCTGGCTCCTACCGAGTTTACGGTGTAAGCAAAGTACGAGGCACGCGTACCGTCTTGGGCCATGCAGGGTCTATGGCAGTTGGTGTGGCCCGCGGAAGGTCACCTACCCCGTCTCCTGGCAGCCCAGGAGATTGGCCCCATGGAAAATCCAGCAGTTCCCAGCAGCATCTCGCCGGAGATGTTTCTTTGCAGTGGACCTCCAGCGCCAGCGGAACCTGCAAGCCATTCGCCGTTGCAGGCTATGTTCTGCCATGCGTGCGGCATGCACTGTGGGAGTAGCCTGCAGGCGATGATGAGCACGCAGCCGCTGCCGCAACAGAGACTGCCGCACACTTCGTCTCGGGAGGGGCTCTCTAGACTTGACCAGTCACAGAGGCAACTGGGAGGATCCGGCCAGCGCGATGTGAAGAAAGCATCCTGGCCGTCTCAGGCGCTCTTCTGCGGGCACTGGTGTGGCCAAGAGTGTGTTCAGCACTTGCACCAGGCCAGCCTCATGTTGACCAGACCAAACTTTGGACGGCCACCAGCGCATGCTGGGCCTGCTGGGCCTGGCGATCCCGGGGTGGCAGCGGATGACCTGGACCGATGTTCTGTTGTGCCGTGGTCAAGGCCGACGGAGTTGCCAGCGCTGCCCTCGGATGTCGACATGGACGATTGCTATGGCTGCAACCGAGACACCACGAAGCCGAGATTCTGGGAGGGATGGGATGTTGATGGCCCAGGCATGCGGCAAGAGCAGCTGCAAAAGGCACCTGTTCTGCAGGACTATGTGGCGTGCGGTACATCCGCTGCTCCACCGGAGAGTTCCACACAGTCCTTTCCGCACCCGCTTGATGACGGACACACCTGCCCATCACCTTCCATACTGCACAAGCCCGGGACGCGTTCCCCCGGCGTGCCTGCAAGATTTGTGACCTTTACCGTGGATGAGAGAAAATCGCAGCCTGCCCATCCTTTTCTTCCACTGGCATCTTCAAAGCCCAAGGCAGCTCCGAAGAAAAGGAGTACAGACAGCGGAGTGCTGTGGCACCTCATCCCCGGATCCTGACTCACCCTTTCAGACGTTTCACAGAACCAACCTGCAACAAAGAGAAGCGCGCTGCATGTTCTTGCATGCCCGGCTCTTCAGGGCGTCAGCTGAGTAACCCTTATAAGCCCTTTAAGCTTTAAACCCCATAAACCCTAAAAACCCTTAAAACCCTAAAAGCCCTAAAAACCCTCAACCCCCAAACGCCCTAAGTAGACTTTCACCTGGTCCCACCCTTGAAACTTGGGCGCATTTGCCCCTTTGCTCTCCGGACTCGAGACCATGCCAGGGCATCGACAGACGTGGCCGACGCGAAAGAGCCCACGCCCTTGGGCGAAGCTTTCTGTTGTTTTCGGGGTTTGGGGTTTAAGGGAGTTTAGGGTCCAGGGGTCAAGGGTTTCGGGTTTAGGGTTTACGGCCGTAGGGTTTGGGTTTTAGGGCTTCGGGGTCCGGGTTTAAACAAGTGCTTCGGGTCACTGTGGCCCAGGTCGCGGCCCGGGGGGGGTGGGGGGGGGGGGGGGGGGGGGGGGTGGGGGGGGGGGTGGGGGGGGGGTGGGGGGGGGGGGGTGGGGGGGGGGGTGGGGGGGGGGGGGGGGGGGGGGGGGTGGGGGGGGGGTGGGGGGGGGGGGAAGCAAGCAGCGTACAGGACTAGGTAGGCCCTTTGGGATATTTCATATTTTCCCTTTTTGGGTTTAAGAGGATCGCATTTAGGAATATTCTTCAGAGGGTTTTGTAGGGCCATGCTAGAGGAATGGCCGCAAGTAACTGCAGGCATGCCAGGAGCCTACCTAGCTGCCAATATGATCATGCCCGACGTGAGATACGAACCGCCCCCCCACCGCAAGCCGATTCTGCCTAAGTAGGGTTTAGGGTTTAGGGTAGCCCCCCCCTAAACCCTAAACCCTAAACCCTAAACCCTATGTTGGGTGAAAGAAAGTTCTTCGAGGGATCTGGGGTTCAAGAGCCCTAGCCCTAGCCCTAAGCCGCGCGCATACCCAGTAAACCCTGAACCCTAAACCCTAGGCAGTCACCAGTCTCCAAGCAGCAGGACGAGGTGCTTTCTTTCCACCTGAAGACCCTAACGTATTCCTTGTCGGGTGGAATGCTGCAAGAATCCTTAATGGAGACAACCAGAACGGACCCCAAAGGAACTACATTGGAGTCCTTAGGTCGAGGGGTTTAGGCTTGCGCCAATTCAGGGGCTGAGAGTTTTCGGGTTTCGGGTTCAGGGTGAAGCTTTTCGGTTGAGGTTGGGAAAAAAAGAGTTGTAAGACAAATGCCCGTGTCTTTTTTCCCTCTGAGCAGGGCAGACGTGAGTTCGAGAAAGATGAAGGACGCCCCTTTTAAAAGCTGCAGTTTCAATGAAGACCTAGCGAAAGTACATGGGGGGCAACTGCATTTGTTGAAAACTGAAGCCGGATAAGCCCCTCATCGAATCACAAGGCCGGCATTCATACACCCGATTTTGTCGGAGTTACCTCAATACGAGCCTTATCCGCTGCGGAGGAACCGAGCCCCCTGCTGAAACTGCCGAACTCACCGGCTGAAGACGAAGACAGGGAGCAGGACTGCGCTCATTCATCAACGCTGGATATGTGGCAGTGATTCTTTGGGTTTGGGTTGTAACAGACGGGTCGGTTCCGCGACAACAAGACCTTCGTACTTGTCTAACATCTTGTAAGGTTGAGGTGTGGTTGTGCACATGAGCGAGACCCTCGAAAATCTTGATTTTCTCAGCCATTCCGCGAGAAAGGCCTGCGACAAGGCGCGACAACCACGCGACAAGCCCCGTGAGGGCTCAGCCCAGCACCCACATCGCAAACGATGTCCAAGCCAAGCATAGCGTTTTAAGCACTGAAGCAGCCTTGAGTTCAAACGTGCTTCTCCTCTCAGCCCCAGAAGCCTTTGGAAGCCCTCTCTCTGCGCCCCCCATGAAGGCGAAGCATGCTCTAGCACAAGCTTCAGCAAGCCAATTGTGAAATAGGGTTAGGGTTTATAGGGTTCATAGGGTTCGTAGGGTTCATAGGGTTCATAGGGTTTATAGGGTTTATAGGGTTTATAGGGTTGAAAGGGGTTTATAGGGGTTTATAGGGTTTATAGGGTTTACAGGGTTTACAGGGTTTAGGGTTTCTGAGCTGCTCCCTCAAGCCCGGCGGACCCCAAGGCCCGTTGCGACAAGGGCTCGGTAACAGAGGGACCCGCGGGCCGCTGCAGAGTTTTGACACACCTGCCATCTGTGGCTCCGAATTAGGGTTTAGGGTTTAGGGTTTCGGGTTTCGGGTTTAGGGTTTAGGGATGATGTGCCTTTCATGAGCTAAGTGGCCTTGTCAGGAGTCCCGCAGTGTCCCCCTGAGCACAGTGTCTGACAAGAGCTCTATTTTGCTACTAAGAACCCACGCCGTTATTCCCTTTTTTAGGCTGCATGAACCGCCAAAAAGGGCACCCCTTTCCTAGGTTACTCTTCAAGAGCCAAGACTTGGGTCTAGACGACCTTCACCTATTTTCTCGGGGTTGCACTGGTTTGGTTAAGTTCCATAGAAATCAACTCTAGACCTCCCCCACCCACCCCCAGGTTTCGGGTTTAGGGTTTAGGGGTATTCCCCCCCCCGCCCCCCGTCCCATAGTAACCCCCCCCCCTCCCCTCCCTGCAGTGTGAACCTGTTGTGCTGCAGATCGCCCTAAACGCACACGACACCCTAAATGCCCTGCAGACCCTAAACCCTGTAGCCCCTGGGTTGAGACCCTCAACCCCGCTCAGCGCAGGATCTCCCCAAAACCGTCCTTGCCTTGGAGCCTGAGTCGCCCACATCAGAGAGTCGCACTGAGATGGAGAAGCTTGGGCTGATACCTTCCTTGGGGACCAAATGAACCCAAAAAATTGTGGGTCATCTACCCGATACTACCATCCTATTACGTTATTAAGGTATATGAACCATAAACCCTTTGGGGTCATGTATACCCTGTACTTCCATCATTCCTATTAAGGTCATACCCCTTTTGGGGCTAATTTGGTCCCAAGGTGCTTCCTCAAGTCAAGATCCCCTGAACCGGATGTTGAGGGGTCCAGGGGTTGATCCGAGGCCGGGATGCACAAAGAGCTCACTAGGGTTTTGGGTTTAGGGTTTAGAGCTGAGGGTTGCTGACGTTCTTGGAGGTCGGACTTAGCTGTCTGGGATGTAAGTCGATGCCATTGTCAGCGTGCCAGCTGGCGTACAGAGTCTGGGTTCAAAGACAGGGCTTAGGGTCCACAGGGTCATTGTTGATAATTTTCAAAAATCGCAAGGCCCCTCGCAAGGCCCCCCCCCCCCAAGCCCATCCCGGCGTCAACCTGCCGGGCTAAGCTTAGGGTGTATAAGGTTTTGGCGTTAACAAGAGGATTCGGGAAACTTCTGCCTTGCCTGTCTTTGCCCAAGAGGGGGGAGGAGGAGGTGATGTCATGATGTGAATGTCACATGTAGAGCCGCATTTGACTGCCTCATTGAACCCAGGAAGATGGCCAGCCAGAAGTCCAACAAAGCCAAGGCCGGGAAAGCTCCAGATGTGGACTTGAGAGGAGCTCATACTTATGGGTACTTGCAACGCCAGTTGTAAGTCTATTTATAATGTACTTCGAGGGCTTATAGGTACAGTTATAACTGGGGTTCTAAGTACCTTGAACCTCCAAGCATACCTGTGGGGGATCAACCTCAACAGCCTGGAACCTGCCATGCTTATATGCGATCGTTAGTACAGAGCTTTCCTGCGCTGGGGCCGGTGCTAGGGGTCCCAGCGGAGTGCATCCTTGTTCGGAGCGGCCGGTGCCCTTGAATGCACTACCCCTGCCGTCCACCCCCTCTTCCTTCCATTCGCGCTTGCTTGCTGCTTGGGGGTCTTCCTCCATTTTTTTTTTGCTGGCCGGTTCCATTCAGCTTATACAACCACTGGAGCCAGTGGAGGGTGGTTCTGAGGACTGACAGGAAGTGCTCTTGGAGGTTACAGTGATCACAAACCTGCCGAGTGCATGCCCTGAGCTGCCAGCAGGATCTGGCCTACAGCCCTCAGGTAGACACAGATTCCACCTGGCGTGATAGCGATGGCAAAGGCAACGAAGAGGAGTCCAGCAGGAATTCCGCATCTCGCCTCAAGGTTATTGCGGATCCCTGGCTCCAGCAAGGCCAGCACATCACAAATTTTGAAGTGCTTCGAAGACTGTCTCCAGCAAATCGCTTCCACAGAGGAGAAGGACAGTCGTCACCCTCGCTTTTCGGGCTTTGTTGGGGTTTCGGTCCCAGAATTGTCGGTAGGCCTCAAAGAGACAGGTGAGCTCCATGTCATGCATGCAAACTCTGTAGATGTAGACACTACCCTATACCCCAAAACCCTCCTCAATAGCTGTACCGGAGGAGGCGATGGGCCTGGAAGAGACAGCCTGTGCCAGGCCCTGGGGACGCGGGGCTGCTATGCAGGGCTGCTTATTATCCCTGCTTGGATTACAAGCTGGGTTTTGGGGATGTTTGGGCCGAACTCCACCCCCCCTAACCCCTAACCCCCAACTCCTAAACCCTGAACCCTAAACCTTTCCAACCCTTCCGATATTCCCGAAGAGAAGACTACATGAAACCCCTGCCAGGCTTGCAAGGATGCTGGCTTCGTGGCGCGACGCCGTCCACAAGTCGAGCGATCCTGGGGTTCTGGCACAGCACATCTGGCAGATGCTTGCCTCCACGAGTTAGCTGGGAGCTCATGAATGATGAGCTTTACGGAGTTCTTGGCTTTTGGGTGGAATTGATGGTTTTGGATGGAAAAGCTGCGTTGAGCCTAGGCAGTTTACAGGACTCCCTTTGGAGGCTTCGTGAGAGCTGGAGTCCGGGTGAGGAAGCGGGCGCTGCAAGTAATGAGATGTCGGCGTCCAAGGACCGTCGCCGCTGGAGAGATCCTGGTTTTGCCTCTCTTCAATGCTGAAGACCTGCTGGTGGTGTATCCCTTGGCAAGTTCGCCGGAGGAGCTCGTGGTGCTTTACGTGAAGACATGTCCGGGGGCCTTCAGCGCCACTTCCAAAAAGATTCTGACGGGCGGGGCATTGGAGAACAACCCACAGGAGATGGGTGTCTTGGTGCAGGTGCCCTGTCAGACTGCTAGGCAGATTCAAAAGGAGGACTTCCTCGTGAAGGAGAAGGTGCAATGGCCGAGCCACTTGGCAGCCACAGCATATTCACCCCAGGGCAAGAGCGGCTGTGCGAAAGACAGGGATGTGGACTTTTTCAGCACTTTCGTGCTACCCAACTTCCTCGGAGCAGATTACCCAGTCGAGTCGGAGTGGAAGATGGTCGAGCATAGTCTTCGAAGCTATGCGCCGGTCAGGTTCGGTTTGCAAGTGCTGATCACGCATGTGCTTCGGCTGCCCAAGTCCGTGTACAAGCGCCTCATCATTCTGGGCAGCCTTTTTGCAGTCCGTCATGTTGTGGGCTATTACAGTGACCCATGCGGCAGCGTGGCTCGTCTTCCACACACAGCACTCAGCACCATGGTGCAGTTTTTGAACCCTTCGGAGGCCAGAAGACTGGCAGCCGTCAGCCGCCTAGAAAGTTACAAAGCCTTTGGCGTAGTCCGCGCATTAGCTCGAGTTGCGGCGGGCAGCCCCAAGCATCTGCGACATTTGGAGGATTTGTACTGCCGCAAATCTTTGCTTGACGGCCAGCAGCGAGTGGCCCGCAAGCTTGCCAAGCTCGCGGCAGGCTTTGGCGATGACGTTCAGCTGTTCGCTTCCTTGGTCAGTGCTGAGCTCTCGCAGCATCAGGACGAGCTGCAGACCAGTGGAGCTTTAGCACGTCTCCGTTCATTGCGTGCGGACAGCGCCAACTTGCACGCAGCGCTGATGATGGGAATGCAAGAGGCATCTGGGGAGTTTTGCATGCCGGAGGCTTGGCATTCTTTTCTGAGAAGCGCACGTTCTCTGCTTGACGGGGAATCTGCGGGGACGTGCCCGAATCGCGAGTTAGGTCGAGCAAAGCTCGGAACCCAGTTGCTCCAGGGTGGGCCTTCGAGGGATCACTTTGACTCGCTAGTGAAGTGGATGTCCATGGCTGATCATGCTGATGGGCTTCGAGCTGCACTGCATTTTGAGGAGGCAGTGCTAGAATTGGCTTTGTCCGGCAGTTCACTTCAAGATTGGCAGACCTCGAGGCTCGCAGCTGAGGGGAACTTGGCTACAGATGTGTGCCACAAGTTGTTCAACATGCTTGAGGTGTATTGCGCTCTTTGTGCACAACAGGGCCATCCCCGTACTGCCTTGCGGCATTCCCGCATGGTCCTGGTGGTTTGGACCCTGGCTTGCCTGCAGGATTCGCTCCTCCGCAATCGCGGGGAGAACTGCCTGAGGCGGCTGCTGAAGGATTTTGCTCCTCCTCTTGCCATCCATCCCTTGGAGCACTTACTCCTGCGCGAGATTCGATGGCTGAAGCTTCTAAGCTCTGTTGAGGTGTATCTGATGGGCCTGAGCCACATGCCTCATCGACTGCTCGTGTGTGGCGCTGATGGTGTCAAGGACCTCCTCTCCTTGGCAGATGCAGCAGTGCGCCACCTTCCTTCTCTCAAGGACGCCTGGGCGTCTGAAGTCCTTGCAGCGCAGGAGCTGGAAGAGCGCCGTGCCCAAAAGCAGATGGACCTGAAGCGTTGGGTCCAATCCCTGGAGATGGAAATCGAGCAGGATGTCAAGCGACAGAGAGTCTCCAGCCAGGAAAGGCCCAGCTCGCAAAGCGCAACATGCCCACGGAACCGGTTTCTGGTGGAGAAGGCTGCCAAGCGCCGCCGAGTCTGCGACACGGAGTTGTCTTGGAAGAGCGCCAAGTCGGGCCTGACCCACTGCCAGGCACAAGCTTCGTCTGATCGTCAGCTCGAGCTCCAGTCGGTTCGCCGACCTCTCGCGTCCGTTGTTCAAGCGCTGCCCCAGCTAGCTGAGCATGAGCTCGAGGCGAAGGCCGTTGTGCTGTGTGCACATCTGCCGAAGGAATTGGCGGAGCTCGGTGCCTCCTTCAGCCTTGCTAGGCACTTCTTCGACTTCGAGGCAGGCTGGCCGGCAGAAGCTCGAAGCAGGCCAGCATTTTCGTGGCTGGGACACTTCCGCGAGTTCTCCAGATGTTGCGGGGATGCAGTTGGAGGGCGAGAGCACTTCGAGCTTTTCGGGACTACACCCCAGACCTACAGAGACGGCGAACAGCTGAAGAGCTACCTCATGCCTGTGAAGGAGAACCTGGGCATTTATTACCCGACTGAGGAGCTGAAGGGGTTGCATTTGCTGTGGCGGTGGCAAGGTGTCCTGTTGAACCCCTTTGTGCAAGAGTGGCCGCAGAAGCGCGACCCTCCTGACCCCATGTACTGTGTGGAGCTTCCAGAGGAGTTTGTGGATGAGCAGTGGATGCTTGCCTTGCCACCAGAGAACGAAGTGCTGGCCCAGATGCCCTTGCCCCCCAAGGGCTTCACCAAGGCTCAGTTCAGGTCCTTGGGCTTCATCGCCAGCCAACCGGAGCTCCACTTGCGCAGGCTCCTGCCTTCCATCCACAAAGCGGAGCTGCCCCTTCAGGATCCTAGAGTTCTGGCCTTGTGCCAGCAAGTCCTCTTCCGCGCCGGGCCTCGGAACGAGGAGGAGCCCGCCTGCCTTCTTGGCCGATGCTGCAAGGCGGACCTTGAGGAGGTGGCCGCCTGGCCCAGCGCAGAAGGCCTGTGCGAGCAGGTGAGGGCGCTGGAGTTGCAACGAGGGCCTCTCGATGCGCTGGTATGCCTGATGGCGTGTTGCGGGTATTTGGCACAGTTCAACTGCTCACGTCCCCAGCTTGACAACCGGGACCGAGCTCAGGAAGCTTTTCGCCAGTGCCAGCAGCTACTTCTGTCTTGGATGCAGGATGCCGGCACAGAGCATCGCTCTCCGGGACACCGCGTCAAGCTGTAGGCGGTCCTTGTGCAGTCCTTCTGCTATGTGCCTCCTGGGGATCTCACGCAGGAGGCTGCCACGGAGTTGCTGCGCGCGCGCATTGGCCTAGAATGCTATCTGGCCGTCAGCAACTCTGTGCTGCCACCATTGGACGCAGCAGCAGTAGAGGAAGTGTGCTCGGTTCACGAGCGCCAGCTCGCAGCTCCCGTAGTCTTGGACGCCATCCTGCACGAGCATTTGCCCGCCCAACAACGCAAAGGTGAGTGGTGCACGTCGGCGGGCTTTGACTTGGACCCCTGGTGCAAGGCTGAAACTGCAGAAGGGATTGTCAGTGTCGAGCCCATACGGGGTCACCTGCTCTTCAATGGGGTTCCGGTGGATCATCTACCGAAGGAGATTCGAGGCCATGCCACCTTTCGTTCGGTGATTGGTGCTGTTGACTGTCGTGGGTGGCTTCAGACTCAGGTCTTTGAAACAGCGCCACTGAAGTCACATGACGGCAGAACCTTCAGGTTGGGTCTACTTCCTGATGATCCGGACGTCTTGCTTGTGCAAGAATCCCGTGGTGAGAATCTCCTGGTGCCTCCGAAATGCCTTCCCCGAAACCTTCGGCCGGCCTTGAAAAGGGAATGCAGCCATTGGGCGAACCAGAAACGGACCATGATAGAATTCAGACCGACTTCTTCGGCTTCCCCTTCGAATGCCAGCAAGAGGTACTGTCTTCGAAAAGAAGATGATGCTTGGCGGTTGCGCTGCTTCTACCAGGATACCGAGTTTCGTGTTCTGCCCGCTTCTGAGCCCTGCCTTCAGCAGCTCAGGGCCGTCTTCCGCAGAGTTGAAGATGACGACTGGGTCGAATACCTAGCTGATGCCAATGACCTGTTGACGGAGGTGCATTTCCTGCGCCTGGATCTCAAGTTCAAGGTGTCCCGCGATCTGAGCTTGGACTCCATGGACTTCCCTGGATACCGCCTCGCCCCAGAGCAGGTCTTGGACATGATCCACGGCTTCGAGGCCTTCCTTCTCCTGGAGAAGAAGAACTTCCATGTTGCAGCATCAAGAGCCCCAGGGTTGGTCCTGTTGCCCGATGGCTCTGTCACCCCCGGTTGCTGGGTAGGCCCTTGGGATATTTTACATGTTCCCTGTGATTTTGGGATATGTTGGGTTTAAAGAGGATCATATTCAGGAAAGCTTTAACATTTTTAAGAATCTAAGAAGGTTTTAAGGGCCATCCTAGGTTTCGAAGAGGACTCCGGCGACTCTTTGGATTGCTGCGGGCTCACTTTCTCAAGGACGGAGTCGAGGAGGAAGTTCGGGAGCTTCGAGATCCATTGGGAGGACGGCCGCGTGCACGTCCAGACGACCGCTGTCCGCCTGCAGCTTGCATCTCTGCTTTGGGCCTGCGGCACCCCTTTGCCGGAGAAGCTCTGGGGACACCCGGCGCGCGTCGAGGCCATGAAGTTGCTGCGGGGATGCTGGCAGAACCAGCCGTACGACGAGGCATGGATGCCCCCCAGAATGACCAAAAGACCTTAGCCTTACACGGCTGTCTATATATAGACTCCATAGACCCTGCCATAAACATCTCTGAGCCCCATGCTGCAGGAGGAAAGGCTCTGGTTGAAGAAGCCCAAGCCTCAGAAGTGACTTCTGGAATATACAGTGTAGACTCAACAGACCATACCGTGTAGAATTGTACGGTAGGCTCACTAGAGAAAATTCGGGCAGCAAGGCTTCCCAAACACGTTGTTCAGGCTCGCCAAGCTGGCGGAAGGCAGCAACTCACTGGAGCTGAAGTTGATCCTGGCAGAACTCGAAGTGGGCGCTCATTCCTTAATGCCAGGGCCCGAGGGCGACTGCGAAGGGGGGACGAATCAGGACCCCGTTTATGGAGTTCTTGATGGGGTTATTTGTCAAGTTGCTTGTTGCAAGACCCTGTTTTTCAAGGGCGACCTATTGAGGTTGTTGAAGCTGAAGATTGGCTGCCGAGACTCTTGTTTGATGATGTCGCATGCAGTCACCATCACGGCTGGAAACTGGAAAGGTCACTTGATGGAGATGTCGGCTCATCTTCCAGCTGTGGCCATGCGTGCCTCATCTGCTGAAGGGTGCCCCTGGAAACAGATATCTCCCATAGAACGGCGAAGGGTTAGAGTCAAGGCAGCGGGAGTGAGTACGCGGCAGCAAGCCCTCGTGTTTGTTGCCTCTGGCTCTGCCTTGCAATGCCAGGTTCAAACCCACGAAGAACGATCGTGCAAACTTCTGGCGCGCATCCGATGTGCTACGCGGACTGGGCGAGGACACCGTGCCCAGGGCGGTATCGAATCCCATAGCTGGCTCGACTTAAACTCATGTTTGTCTCCTCCTCTTCCGCTCCGCTCCTGTTTCGTGTGGCTTTGCTCATTGAGGCGGGTGTCAGCATTTCCTCCTGTGATGTTTCAGTCAGTGCGCGCCAGCCTGCTTTTTGCTTAGCGCTTTCGAGGAGAGCTGCTTACTTACCCCCCGCGAGATCAGGCAGCTAGGCGAGGCTCCTGCAGTGCAGATCACCGCATCAACCAACGCTCAGAGTGCCCTCTTCCTCGCAGAAATTGCCACAATCTCTCCGAAAGTCTTTCCGGAGCCATCAGCTGTGCAGAAAGGTCTGGGCCCGTTAGCCAACGGTGAGGCGGTGGAAGTCCCAGCCTTCCTTTGGCTTCAACGCCCCGGAGGCGGAGGCCCTGCGGGCACAGGCTGGCATCAAGACCTGCCGGACCCGCGTTGCTGGGCTCGCCTCTGGCACATCGCCAAACATGCGGGGGGAATTTCCGGGGAGGAGCTTCGATGGCGCCTTGGCTACGCCAGCTCTCGGGCCGGGCGCGGGCAGAAGGACCTTGAGTGGCATGCAGCGGTCGCGTGTGCGATCTCCCTCTTTCCAGATGACTTCCCTTCGCCACCCAGCTGGGTGCACTGTGCCATGAGGCACCAGGCAGGTCTGACCGATGTTCGAGAGGTTAAGGCTTACCTGACATCATCTCGGGTTGTGAAGAGATCCGACGCTGATTGCAAGGATGTCGCGAGGCCGAGCTCGGAAGAATGTCTGAAATGGCGAGATCTGAGAAAACACCAGCTGGAAGAGGAGGCAAGATTTGCCCAGGAGGCTGACCGCCTTGCAGACCTGGACCGGGCATACATTTGCGAGGATCGGCAGCTCCATGAGGATTGCAGGAAGAATGCGAAGCAACTGCAGAGCACACGTGAGCAGCTGGCGACGATCCAGCAGGATCCTTGGCATGTAAGTCGAGCCAGCTCAGCTTCATCGTACATAAATGATGTCCAGTGCTAAGTTCCTATAGAATTCTAGGCGCCACTTTGCATTGTTCTACCCGAGTGTCCGAGGAGGAGGAGGAGGAGGCCATGCAGAGGGAGGGGGCTTCATGGGCAATCCTTCGCGATTTAGGCATCTCCTCGAAGAAGGGGCGGCTTCAGCGTAGTTTGGAGCGTCTGGAGGTCACAGAACATGAATTGAAAGCCAAGCAGCGAGATCTGCAGGAGAAAAGGGCGCATCACCTTCAGGACAGCACGAGACTACAAAACGACCGGGAGAAACTTGCTGAAAAAATCAGCAGCATGGAGACAGCTCGGCGCAACCGATTGCAGAGCTGGGCCCGCCAACACCTGGCCGAAGAGCAGCACTCTGAGAAGAGTCTCCACAACCTCGGGGCAGCGGCCTGCCTCCTCGCCGAAGGGTATGACCAGGAGCACCCGAACAATGTTTGTACCCTTTCCACGGACTGCAGTGCCTACGAAAAAGACATCCGGCAGGGGGAGCGCAAAGCCCACGAGGCTGGCAGGAAGCGCCTGCACGTGATTGGTCGTCGACCGCCTCCGAAAGCTGTGGACATCCCATCGCGACTCCGTGGCGCTCTGCAGCGTTTGAGCCAGTGGTGGCTCACGTACGATGGGGAGCTTTGGGAACAGTATCAGAAAGCTGAGGAGAACGAAGTGTGGAGGCTCCTTCAAGAGCTGAGCCCCTATCGGCCCGCTACTTGCACGGAAGCGCAATGCGTGCAGCAGGCCTGGAATGCGGTGCTGGCAGAGGTCCAGCCCTGGATCGAGAGTGGCGAAGCTGACTCCTTGACCGACTCCACCGCTTCCTTCTGCTTGGAAGACCTGCCTTCTCATCTCCCTTCCGTGCGAGACCTTCGAGGGACCATGGAGTTGCTGAGGTTGAGGAAGGAGGCGCAGGCCACAGTGCTGCGAAAGCTGGAGATGGTTCGCCTCCTCTGGTTGCGGCAGCGCTTGGCCGCCCGGTACGTGGAGGCTTACGAGAGAGCCTATCCCAAATGCAGAGCGCTCAAAGAATGGGACTTCTCTGGCAAGCTGAGGGACCCGAGCCTGAGGAGTCTCAGATCGTTGAATCCAGTTGAGATGCCAGAGCTTGACGTACCAGACGCACGGCAACTCAGAGATCAGATTTCCAGGAAGCTTCGCGTCCTTCTGCAGGAGGCTATAGGTCCAAACGCCCTTGCGCAGACTGAGCCTCTCAAGCTCGAGCTGCCCCGGGGATCCCCTGGCTCACTCCTGGAGACTTGGTAACCCAGTGGTACCCTTTTAAGGTTGCCTCATACAGTAGCCAATCCAAAAAAGGGTAACTACCCTTATTTCAAGATGGTGACTGGGGTACCAAGGAGAGCAGGCTCAGTCACGGTCCTGGCCAGGTGTTGCTCCAGGTGCTGCATGACAGTTGGAAGGCTCTGGGTCATGAAGACTTTTGATGAGGGTACAAGAGCCCTAAACCCTACAAACCTTAAACCGAACCCTAAACCGAGTAATCAGAAGGAACGAAAGTGCTGGGGTTCGACTCCTCTGAGAGGCGGAATTTCAGCGCCAGCAGGAGGCGGAGCGGTTGGCTCGGCTAGCATTGAGCTCTCCGGAGGTGCGCCGACTCTTGGTGCGGGTCGTTCATGTCAAAGGAAGCTTCCGGAGCCTATAAAAAGCGTGCCCCTATCACATAAGATCGGGTCCCTTGGGTAAGGAGAGTATGTAAGTTTAGGTGTTTTTCAAGGAGAGGCTATGTAAGATCAGGTCGTGTGGGTAAGGAGAGTACGTAACCTTTGGTGTTTTTCAGGGAGAGGCTAAGAGCAGGCTGCCTGACTTCTAAGTTCTGGTGTTTTTTGGCAGATGCTGCATGGGTCTCCTGCACAGGTTTGTGCGGGCTTCAACACGGGCCTCCTACGGGGACCCTTGGCAACTTGCGGGCTGCTTACGTGCCACTTACGTGCCACTTACCACTTACGCGCCACTTACGGCCACTTACGTGCCGCTTACACGCCACTTACATGCCGCTTACGTGCCGCTCAGGCCCCTTGCGAACTTACGGGCCCCTCATGGGCCTTCGCGCCACTTACAAGCCTATATAGAGCCATTCGCGAGCCACTTACGGGCCTCTGGCTGCTTCGAGCCTTCTGCGGGCCTGGTCTTGGAGTTCGAGCGACGAGAGCTTGCGTGACGAATGCTGCGCCCGTTCGACTGACAAAAAAACGGGGCCCTGACTAACCCTGGATCGGGTTGAATTCTCACGAGAGCTTACTCAAAGACAGGGTCGGCGCAAAAACATGCTTACACAGGATAGCCAAGCCTCAGCCCTTTTTGACCTTACAAGCTTCTCATTTGCTCTTCCCCGAGACATCCCCTCACATGTGCCTCACATGCCACTCACCAGCCACTCACCGACCTAACCGCAACCTCTTATATGATAGGGGCACGCTTTTTATAGGCTCCCTATTCTTCCTTTGATTCATGAGGACTCTTTGACACGCACACACACACACCATGCATGAAGGTCTATAAATGTTGTCATGAGAGCTTGGGCGCAGGATGCTGCTGACTTGGGTGAGAAGATGGCTTCTGCCTGGAGTGAGCTGCTGAGTCTGATTTCGGGATCCGTTCCGGAAGATGCGGCCGGGCACGCCTTCCGAGCCCTACAGGCAACCCATGCCGTAGGCGCAGCTGTCCGGAAGGACGCAGTGGCCCTGCTGGCGACTTGCCCGGGTGAGGCTTTGCCGTGGCCCCATCTAGCTGCCCTGAATCCGTTCCTTCAAAAGAAGCAAGGGCCGAAGCCTTCTGGTGCACGGCCGCGGTGGACAGAACATCGAGGTGAAGTGCCCCCAAAATTGCTCGGCTACATCAAGAGAGTGGTGCAGCTGCAAGGCTTTGCCACTTGCCTCTGCAGCATGGCCCGGGAGTTCGACAATGCACAGATTGGTGCTACCTTGCAGAGACAAGTCGCTGATCTCTTGGAGCCGACAACAGAGCAGTGGAGCACAGATAGAGGTCATTGGCTGCAGATGGAGTGGGAACAAAGCCTCACATGCAGGCCAATACAGCTGGAGGTTGCCCAGGCGATGCTGGAAGGTTCTTTCGATCGACAAGTCCTTCAGTTGAACATGGGAGAGGGCAAGAGCAAAGTCATCCTGCACCCGCCTTAGGCACTTAGACCACGTGTTGCTGCAGGCGGTTGTCATGCTGGCCTGACCAGTTCCCTTTTTTCACACTCCTGTCGCTTTCTGGAACTGCTGAGGCCTCTGCTCTGCACTGCTTTGGGAGATGGAAAGGAGCTCGTTCGAGCAGCTTGTTTTTCCATGCCATGGTCCTTTCTCCGTTCAGTGCAAGGGAGGCCGTTTCAGGGTCTTGGTTTGGGTTTAGGGTTCAGGGTTCAGCGTTCAGGGTTCAGCCCAGGTGGTGGTTCTAAGTTCTCTGCTGCATGCCTCCGTGGATCACCTCCGGCAAGTACTTGGCGGCATGCTTGGCCGCAGGCGCGGCTCGAAGCGTGAACCTTGAATCCTAAACCCATCAAGCCCTAAAGCCTAAGCCCAGGAGCGCAGGCAGAAAGTCATACTATTGCATTGATTACATCTCGGCCCTGCGAGAATGATCGGAGGGACTTAGTGTTCGCTGTCAAATGCGCAGATCCAAGTGGCATAGCATTTTCGCATGTTATACAGCTGAAGTTTGGCGCAGGCTGTATTTACTTCCATTCAATCGCGGGAAGTGTGTGACCAAAGAGTCGGTGAAGGCTATCAGAGAGCAGCTGGGCGATTGCAGGAAGCTTGTTTTGCAGCAGAGCTGGCAGGAAGCATCAGCAATCACCGTAGTTAGGCTGTGTGGCCTTCAACACCCACCCTCAACCGCCATAAACCCAGTAAGCCCTGCACCCCAGCCAAGGAGGATGGGTGGAACACTGCTCATGACGGAGGAATCTGTACGGAGCCTCCAACTGAAGCTGCGCGAGTGTTGCCTCAGAGACTCAGCCCAGCTTGCCTGCGACTTCGCTGGAACCTTGGGTGCTCATTCAGAACAATCCGGGGAGATTTGCGCTTATACTAGCTATGCCAAAAGGACACATCGCCGCACCTGGCCTCAAACCCTAAACCCTAAACCCTAAACCCTAAACCCGCAGGGACTCAAACCCTCAACCGACAATCCTCCACCCAAAACCTATCACGTGGTCGACTCCCAGGACTCTTCTCTTCAGAGCTGCGCTCCTCCGCTACTCGGTTACGACTGCTTTGGGGCCCCTGAGTCTCTAGGATCAAGGGTGAACAATGGCCGCTTTTCGGCACAGATCCTAAGCCCTCAACCCCGTAAGCCCTGGAGTTGAAGGCGGAGACCTTGAGGACCAAGATGAACCTCAATATTGGATTGGGATCACTATGTCCACAGCACTTCAATCCCCATTATTCATTAAGGTATATAGACCATAGACCCTTTTGGGCATCATCTAATCCCCAACCCAAAGGACACAAACTACTTAGGTGGACATCTTTGACGAAGTGGATGAGGCTCTGCGGCTGAACAACGAGCAAATCTACACGCTTGGTCAGCGACAGGCTAGCCGCCAAACCCTGCACCATCCTAAGCCCTCTACCCTATAAGCCCTAACCATTGAACTAACTCACACTCCTTTTCTCTCAGGCACTGGACGGTGAGGGCATGCGATGGCGAGTGCACTTCGAGATCTTCCGTGTGCTGACCGGGCCTCAGTCTCCCAGAGGGGGTCCGACTTTGTCGCATGACCGCTTTGCCCTGTGCTTTTCTTAGGGACTGAATGAACGTTCCGTTTTGGTGCCGAAAACCTCCTACTAGGGTTTTGAGAAGAGTTCCTATAACAGCGGCTAAGTAACATAGCAGAGGATAGCTTTGCTCGTGCAATTAGTGAGTGCCTTGAAGCCTGCAGGAAGGAAGACCCAGAAGTGCAGGCTGTGTTGGACAAGCTTCGCGACCGTCATGCAGTGGAAGTTGGCGTGCCGAAGAGCGACGCAGGAGCAGAGTTCGAGACAGGGGCGGAATTTCCGCGCGTGCGTTTTGTCGAAGTGCTGCGAGCCTCGGGCGCATCCTTTTCACTGGAGTTGTGATTTTCGTGTGCAGGCCCTTCTAGAGCCTAGCAAGCCTTGGGAGCCTTCACGCCCTCCCCCCCCCCCGCCCTTCGATTTAGACCACCGCAACCTACGTGCCTTCATTGAGGAAGCCAAGACGACTGGAAGCAGCTGGCTGTTTGCCTTTGCCGGGGCCTGTTGCAATCCCAGAAGTCGTCGGCCGATCGACTTGGCGGGCTCGGAAGCCTGCCTTCGCAAGTCCGCGCCCTGACCAAAGCGTTTTCTGGACCTTGCTCAGACAGGGGTGCTGCACGCACACACGGACACAGAGACAGACAGAGAGCTTGTAACGTTTTTTTTTTTTTTGGGGGGGGGAGGGGCGGACGCTTCTGAGCATGCTGAGGCAAGCAGCTGGAGCAGTTCATCTTGGAGCCCGACTTGCCCCAGCAGGACCTGAACAAGATCCTCCAGTCGGCTTTGTGCTCGGAAGGCTCAGTGGACCCGACCCAGCTGCAGTATGCGGCCTTGACAGCCAGGGGCTTGTTGGCGGGCGATGTCTTGCGAACGTGCATGCACAAAAGGCACCGCGTGGAATTTGGGGTGGACAACATCACCTATCGCTGCAAGATCGCCCTTCCTTTCCGGTACAAGGACGCCCCGAGCGAGAGCACCGAGTTTGGCCACCCCGACGTGGCCATCGCGCTCACCCTCCGCGCCTACTACGAGGATGGGCTCAGCCAGGACGGCTTTCAAAAGCTGCTGGATAGGCTTGCGGAGCTCCCGGCATGTCAGCGAACAGAGCTTTACCGGACCTGGTTGCTGACAGCGAAGAAGGAGTGTGATAGGCGTTCGCCTGCGGGTGAGACGGTCGAGGAAGCAATTGCGAAACGACTGGGCCTGCCCATATCTTCTACAAGCTTGGTGACTGAGGACAAAAGTGTCGTGGAGCACCTGTGGAGGAAGCTCTCCCTGAACATGCGCGTCATTGAGACCTACGTGGAGGAAGTGGTATTTCCCACGGAGACGCGGCAGTTTCCACACAAGGCCAACCACATTGAAACACAGGGCTCTAAAACAAGGGTCGGGCGGTCGTGAGGATCTTCGGTCGTAAAATGTCGGGCCCTGATATCCCTTCCTGATATCCCGTGAGGTTTCCGCCAGTGGCTGGGATCTTTCGGCTGGCCGCTTGCGTGGGTTCTCCGGCACGGCAGACAACCGGCAGCTGCTCCCCCTGGGTGTGCAGCAGTATGAGCCAGAGAGTTTGCGGCATACAGACGGGCGTGCCTTGCGGTGCCTGCTCGATCCGGAGATGGGCGGTCCTGTTCCCGTCGAAAGGCTGCAGGCAGAGGAGGCAAGGGAGATGCTTCGCGAGATTCTCGTGGATCACAAACCAGGTGGCCGTGCATCAGTTTTGATCGATTGCGGTGCCTTTCTCACTGGCCTCTCCAATCGTCAAGTTGCCGAGGCCTGCTTGGACATGCCAGAGCTGGAATTACGTGCTGTCATCTACTTTGGTGAGGACAAGAAAGTATGGGCCTTGGACAAACAGAGGAGGGACTTCTTGCTGTCCAAGAGCCCGCTGCAACCGGCCGACGACGGGGTCTTCACCTACCTCGACGACCAGCACACCCGCGGCACGGACCTGCGGTTCCGTCGCTCGGCTGTCGGCGCGGTGACCGTGAGCCGGAAGATGACCAAGGACCGGCTCATGCAGGCAGCAATGCGCATGCGCTCCTTGGGGCAAGGCCAGTCTGTGGTCCTCTACCTGAACGGGGAGGCGCACAGGCAACTGGTGCAGGACGCTGGACTCCAGGATCTCCATGTTGACATCGGTCTGCTGTTGCGCTGGGTCGCGTCCAACACGGCGCAGCAGCTACAGGCCTCGGTCCCCCTTTGGGCCACGCAAGGGGCCTCCTTTGCTGCTCGGGTCCCTTTCTTGCAGCAAATCCAGAAAGGAAGCCAAAGCTTGGGTGCGGACCTTGCGGACCTTGCCAAGCTGTGCCGTGAGCCAGAAGCCTTCTCATTGGTGGCCTACAAGCGGTCCCTGGCACCTCAGCCCGCACACAAGGACATCCCAAGGGGTTCAGAAGCAGTGCTGCAAGGAATTTGGGAGGCGGCCCGGATTGCTGGTGAGAAGGCAGAGGGCTGGAAGCAACAAGCCAGACAGGAGATATCGCGGCAGCTGGAGTACCTGAAAGAGCACAATCTCCTCTCGCACGACCCCATGATGATTTCCTCGATGGAAGAGGAGCAAGAACGTGAACGCGAACAGGAGAGGGAGCGCGAACAAGAAGTGGAGCAGGAGGTGGAGGTGTGCCAAGAAGATCCGCAGCCTGAGGCTTTTGAGCCCTTGGGGGAGCGGGGAGCAGAGTTGGGACTGGAGTAGAGTGCTTGCACCGGACTTCGTGTCAATGTGCAACGCGCAAGTTGCAGGCTATCCCACACTGCACGCCGTCACTGCTCATGCCCTGGAGCTGCACGGTGTGTGTCTTCCACCGCTCAAGAAGCTCAGGGCCTTTCCTGGCAACCTGTGGATGACGGCGAATTGGCTTGGCAGCATCGAGAGCCACCACGACCGCGGCTCGGAATCGGCACAGTGCCTGAGGCCGGTGGATTCTTGCCTGCTCTTCAGGCGGGAAGGGCATCCGAGACGCGTGCCCTGTGGGAATCCCGGCCATCCCTTTGACTTCGACCGCGAGCCAGGCAGTGCAATCCATGAGTCAGTGGTGCTGCTTTCGGGCCTGGAGGCCTCCAGACTTGTGCCGCTATTGCGCAAGGGGCTGTGCCCAGCACCACACAAGGCCAGCGAGCAGTCAGTGCAGCTTTGCCACCTTCGGGACCCTGGCATGGAGATGGTGGTGTGCCCTTGGGGCCAGCCCAAGCGTGTGAATTTCCACTTCCGAGCCTTGCTGAAATTCTTGAACGGGGACAGCCGCTACTGGCCGGAGGAGCAGGCCGAGTTGGCCAAGTTCCTGGGCATCTTAGAGCCGACCGCCTTGCTGGACTGCGTGGATGCATGTGGCTCGCTGTCAGAGTCGAAGGGTGTTTGGGACATTTTGAGGGACAAGCAGGTACTGGCCTTGAACGGCTTCGTGAAGCGACTCACGCGCCGCGGTGATGTCGAAGATGGCGTGCTGCCTCCCTCATCGGAGTTGCAGTTACACCATCTTCTGAAAAGGTTCTTTGTACGTTCAGGGGAACTGAACCCGAAAACAGCTGTAGAAGAACTGGTGAAACTCCGATTGCAGATGGATTGCTATCGTGGCTCGAGCTTGGAGGATTTAATCTCAAGCTGAGCACGGAATGGACCAGATCGAGAAGTGATCTGAATGCAAGACGTGATCTGTAAGCAAGCATCTTGCTCACAGTTGTTTTGAGTGGCCACCGACTGAGGCGAAATGCGGCACGGGTTGTGCGCACCCAATACCCAACATTGAAGATGGTGTCTTTGAAGATCATCGTAGCTGCATGTCGCCAGAATGACTATGAAATGGATTGAGTCAGGCATGGTTGCAACAAAAGAACCCGTGCTTTAGAGATCCATCTCGAATGCCTTGATCCACTTGCTTCTTGAAACACCCGTCCACCGCCCGTGTGTGAGCTTGCTGATGGCCCCCCTAACCCCCCCCACTTGACTCCTGATGAGCCGATTCTTTCGCCTGCGAGGTGCTGCACAGGTCTTCCACTGCCAAGGAAGACGGGCTGACGTTTGCAGAGATGCAGAAGCAGTACGGAGTGCAGTTGGACTTGATTTGAGTTGGGTTGCTTCTTTGTTCCTGCGCCGGCATGATATTCATATCTCACCAGGAATAATTTTTCAGCGTGCAGCGTAGGATCATGTAGGATCATGTAAGATCAGGGGATCACACAGAAAATCAGGACCCTCGTGAACGCCATAAGCCCCCATCTAAACCCTACTGTAAACCCTGTAATGTGCTAGTAATGTGCCGAGGAAGGGGAAGATGCATTCGCTCACCCTCATCGAGGAAAAGGACGAAGGCGTCGCTTCACGCCAGCCCGAAGCCGGTGTGATGCGAGGGCCTGCCAAGTTGTTTAAGCGATGTACATTTAAAAAAAAATCAGGTATCGTTTTGTGGGGGGGGGGGGGGGTAGGGAGGGGGGTATTGTGATCAAGTTAGCTCCCATATGGTGACAATTTTGAGTCCTTTCGCAGCAGTCCGGCTGCGAACCTGCAACCTGCTTGCTGGATTCCAGGCAGTCCCTTTGTTGAGGTACCAATTGCCCGATCTTCCTGTACTTGTACTATGTTAAAACGCAAGAAGCGAAATGAACTACACCTGGGGGGTCTTGAGGCGGAGCGAGTCTGACATTCGTCGCGAAAACCCAAGTGTGCGTGAGCATCGAAACCCTCAGAAAGGTGGCAAACATATAAACCCCAAACCACAGAGGCCCTCGAAACATTAAAAGATCAAAAACCAAAAACGCTCAGATCTCCCAAACGGTATAGGCATCGGCTGCCTGCGGCGACGGAGCATTGCCATAGTCACCCACCGGCGTTTCGAGATGGTGTGCGCCAGTTTCTTGCCTGCCCTGGGGTTTGCCAGTTTAGGGTTTAGGGTTTAGGTCGGCACCATTCTGGCAGTAGCCTGAGTGAGTTCCACGTCGGATTCGTGGGACCCTCAAAAGGGAACCCTTCTCGATTTTGTGCTGACTCTCTTAAACAGGGACCTTGTTGTCTGGGTAGGCTCCCCCTACCGAATCCTAAACCCTAAACGCTACTTCCTAAACCCTAATCCTAAACCCTAAGCCCTAAACCCTAAACCCCAATCCTATTCCCTTTCGTGAGTGAATGCTAGGCTTGGTGATCCTCTGCGCCGCCATGATCGGCGTCGAGGCTCGCGCATGCATCTCGAAGCCACGTCGGGAGCAGTGCCGGAGGGCCTTTTTGTTTGGCGGCATGTGGCGATTTCCCTGAAGTTAGGGGGGGCCCCTCTTCTTCAGTTCAGGGTACCCCCCAAGAAAGGAACCCTCATTTTGGGAACTGAGCATGTGGGGGCTTGATCTGCATGATTGGCCCTTTAGAAGATTTCGGGCTGCCTCGTAGAAGAACCCTAAACCCAAAAGAACCTGGGTGGCATCTAGGAAAGTTTCACATTTGACAAGAATCATATCCTTGGAGTCGGATCGCGCGTATCACCCAGGGGGCAGTAATGCTCAGCCATTGTAGGTATCACCTTGGGACCTTGGGCCTAACAGGGCTGCAAGTGCAGGAGGGTGAGCGAATTAACCCTATAAACCCTACACCCCAAGAAGCACCACGGTCTAGATCAATCAAGCCGCACATTTTCGGCTAGCCGATCCTCACAGCCTGGCCTTGCTGATGCGCGCGCATGATTGGGTTGAGGGTTTTTAGGGTTCAGGGTTTAGAGATAACTCTATAAACTCTCAAAGGGTTTATGGTTCACATGCCTTACTAGGAATCATAGTTGTATGGGCCAAATTTAGGGTTCATTTGGTCCCCAAGATAAGTCCCCACCCCTCCCCCCGCCATGGTAGGCCGACTATGACATCCGGAATGCTGAGGAAGGTCACTGCCTCGGAAGCCGGAGACAAGCGTTCCTTCCTCCAAACCTGGGGGGGTGGGGGAGGGAGTGGGGGGAGCGGTAGTGTGGGGTTTAGGGTGTATTACAGGGTTTAGGGCTTTTGGGAGTTTAGGGTTTAAGGTACAATTGGGGGGGGGGGGGGGGGCCCGAAGGCTCCGTCTTGACTCTTGCATCGTTTGGCAGCACTGCGTGCAGGTCAACATGCCATCTTCCGCGCTTTCGACGTTGCCTTCAACACGTGGTTTGCTGCCCGGCCGCCGATGTGCAAGCGCGTCGAGGGTGGTGCATGCGAGTCTGGCTCGCCTTCAGTCCAGTGGCAAAAGGGTTTAGGGTTTAGGGGAAATACAGAGCCCATCCCCTCACCCCAAAGCCGAAGCTCGGGCCTCACAGGCTATAGAGCTGGCACTGCGCTGGACGTCTGAAGGGCTTTGCCATTTCTTCTCTTGCGAGAATCCCTCTATGCGGTGGCGGCTTGGCTTTCACTTTCAGGGACCAAATTAATTCTAAAATGAGGTCATGTAAATAAATACACATATATATATATATATGTAGATACATACTCACGCCCCATACTTAGGCAAAGGGGCCCTAAACGCTTCATGTCTCGTCATCATGGCAGTCTCCGATTTGCAAGGCTGTGGCGGAGCAGTGGCGCAGTGGCTTACGTACTGTGGAGGTTCATGTTTAGGGTTTGGGGCTTAGGGATGTGGGGACGTACATGGTGTGAGTAGGATATAAGAGTCCTCGACACTATTTGGAGTACTAAGCCCTCCCAGCTCAGCCCTACGTAAAATGACCCTTGCGTAGGAGGCGATGTCTTGGCTCCGGCCTGTCTCTGATGACTTCTGCCAACTCCTCCGCCTGGCATTTGAGCGACACCCCTGCCAAAAGCCAATTGGCCAAAACACACCCGTGAAAAGGAGGGCGTAGTTTTTGCTTCCCTTTTTTTTTTTTGCTTCCCTTTTTTTTTTCCTGGGGTCCTCGTGTTCTCCAGTCTCAAGACAGGAAGCAAACCAGAGAGAAGGAAAGAAAGAAAGAAAGAAAGAAAGAGAGAAAGAAAGAAAGAAAGAAAGAAAGAAGGAAAGAAGGAAAGCAAGACAAGAAAGAAAGAAAGCAAGAGAGAAAGAAAGAAAGAAAGAAAGAAAGAAAGAAAGAAAGAAAGAAAGAAAGAAAGCAAGAAACAGAGAAAGAAAGAAAGAAATCAAGGAAGAAAGAAAGAACGAGAGAAAGAGAGAAAGAAAGAAAGAAAGAAATAAGGAAAGAAAGAAAGAAAGAACGAGAAGCAGGCAGAAAGACAGAAAGAAGAAAGAAAGAAGAAACAAGAAAGCAAGAAAGAAAGAAAGAAAGAGAGAAATAAAGAAAGAAAGAAAGAAAGAAAGAAAGAAAGAAAGAGAGAAAGAAAGAAACTACTAGGTGCGCGGCGTGTTCACGCCCCTACAACGGGAAGCATGTTCTGGGGAAGGGGGGTGCAGGAAACACTGGCAGGCGTGGGTTATTCATGAAGTAGAGTCATTTCGGTGATTTGGAGGAGGGCCCTCTCACACTACTGGGTAAGTTTTGTAAGATAGGAGTTTGATGGCAGCAACAGGATTATGATGGCAGGGCGGCTTGCGGAGGGGCATGTCCGGAAGTCATCAGGGCAGTGGCTTTTTTTTGAAAACACTGTAAATACCAGTGTTTTGGGCATGGTCGCCAAAGGCAAGGACACTTGTGAATGCTTTTCTTGTTGCACATCCTTCCGCAGTATGTTGTACAAGCGGCGGAAATGCTGTAAATACCAGTGTTTTGGGCGTAAACACCAGTGTTTTGGGCATGGTCGCAAAAGGCATGGACGCTTGTGACAACGTGTCTTGTTCCGCAACCTTGCACGGTACGTTGTACAAACTGGGAAAACGCTGTAAATACCAGTGTTTTGGGCGTGGATGCAATATGAATGATGTTCTTATCCCCCCCCCCCCCCCCCCCCCCCCCCCCCCCCCCCCCCAAACCCGCAAGGAAGAGGAAATGCCTGAGCAAGTGCTGAAAAACGTAGGGGCGGGAACGCGCCGCGTTCCAACTACTACTACTACTTCGACTACCAATGCTACCACCACTACTACTACAAGAAAGAACGAAAGAAAGTCAGCCAGACAGAAAGAAAGAATGAAAGACACAAAGAACAGAAAGGAATAAAGAAAGGAGGCAAACAATAAGAAAGAAAGAACGAAAGAAAGTCAGCCAGAAAGAAAGAAAGAAGGAAACACAAACAACAGAAAGGAGTAAAGAAAGGAAGCCAACAATAGAGAAGGAAAGAAAGAAAGAAGGAAAGAAAGAACGAAAGTAAACCCTGAACCCCGAAGCCTTGAACCCCTGAACCCTAAACCCGCTAATGTATATTTATATATATATATATACGTTAATATAAATATATATATATATATATATATGACTAGATATACATATATATATATATAGGTACTTATTTCATGGACGACATACATGTAAGAAATATATGGTATGTATATATATATATACTCGATATATAGTCTACATAGTATATATATATAGCGTTTATAGTATGTATAAATATGAACCAAAAAAAACAGCCAGCGAGGAGGACGCCAGGACCCCGAAAGAAAAAAAAAAAAAAAACAGCCAGCGAGGAGGATGCCAGGACCCCGAGAGAGAGAGATAGAGAGAGGAGAGAGATAGAGAGAGAGAAGAGAAAAAAAAAAAAAGCCAGCGAGGCGGAC